CGGGAATTTCTCGGATCTGCAGCAATTTTCGATCCAACATCGGTGTCACGCACGTTTCGATCTCCAAACAAAACTTGACGTCGCACAGTGGAATTGATAAAAATTTGTTCGTTTATCTACTTCTGCTCAGGTGAAATTACAAGCTTCAAAAGCGTTGATCGCTGAAACTAAATAAACGTCCGAGCTGCTAAATTTTGATTGTGGGCCATTGTGCGTCGCATCGTCGATGAACAAACAACAACGTTCGCTGGAATTTTCGGAATGTTCTCTGCAACAAAGTATCTTTGTCACGCGTGAAAGGAAGAATTCGCGAAACGAGCATCCCTTTTTCCCCGCCGTTCTAATGGAGCACTTTGTAATCGACTGCTCAAAATCGGTGCAAAATATTCGGGAAAAGAAACGTTCGAGGATGAGGAGGAAAAGTTTGTTCCGGCTTTCGCCCCGAAACTCGAGGCTTGCTCCGACAGTGTAACTTTGGCGGAAACACGCGGAGAGCGCATCGATTATGCCTCGAGGGGATACATCCGACTGGCAAGAAAATTAAAGAACCTCGGAGACTCGTGACCCAAATAATCCTTAAAGCTTCTTAATCGAAAATAATCGCGTCCCAGCATTTCCATCGATTCAATTACACCAATGACCAAGCCTGCCTACGATTGCAAAAGAAGAGCGGATAATCGGTTTTACAATGTAACGATTTGCATAGAAGACACGATCGTACGAAACAAAGGCAATTATTCGCAGTTGCACGGTACGTTCGGTGCTGCCCCGTTCCTTCTTTTAATTCTTTTGAATTTCAAATCAATTGCCTCCGGCTCCCGGTGATACTTTGACCTCTTCCTATAACTTTTCTCCGTTTGTAAAAAGTTTATCGCTCGTAAAATGGCCGATATACGCACGCGATCCTCGTGGATCTACGTGTCCACGCGGCTACTACATAGAAGATATCGCCGGAAGATTCGATAAAGTATATCACCGTGTCTCTGGTGCCTAGTTGCCGTTTTTACGGCTCTCCGAGGGCGCAATTCACACCTCGAGACCTTTTTACGGACCACGTCCCACCGATTCGCGGGGAAATGGTAATCTTTTGGTCTCGTTCCACTAGTTCTTTAACATGTTCAACGACGCCACGAATACACGCGGGGATTTCCACAGTTTTCTGGCCGAGTCTCGCGACGAACGAACCGAAGAAATTTCAATCGTTGCGAATCGTTATCGAATCGCGATTACTATAAACCACGACCGTCTTCGTAATCGTAATGCTATTCCAGTTATATACTTTCGATTCGACCGAGGAGTCCCGACGTAAGAAGAAAAGTTCTCGAGTTGACTTCTTAGGTCTCGCGGGTTACTCGCGCATTCTGTGAATCCCAGGACGCGAACTTGGAGAGTTTTATTGTACATCTCACGGATCGTTTTCTCGGTCCCCACGGCTCTCCTCGACCCCAAGTTGAATCGAACATCGAGACACGAAACGTGTCCGGAGAATAATTGTCCGATTTGTCATTACTAAACACCGCTGCAACAAAAAAATTGATCTCTTACGTTAAATCCATATTAACAGTTTAGGAACTGTTCAACCCCCAATTGCATTTCTCTACAACGGTAGGCGCCTACTTTGTCATTTTAATGATACTATCTGGAACATTTCTTGCCGATCGGCAGTACAGAACTTCTTCAAATGACATCCATACATCTGAAAAACGGTGTTACTGTGATTACTAGTTTGATATTTATCGCCAGCAAACACATTGTTTATAAAAACAATATTTTTTTAAATATTTTAAATAGTCTTAAAATAACTATTGAGAGAGTTACATGGTTCGCGGCATGGTTGTCGCCGGACAATACGATTCTTTCTCGCTGGGATTCCATTCCCGTTGTTCGCGTGTTTTCGCGCAATCGCCGACTGCGAAACAGATGGGAGTTCCGGTCTCGAAGGTTTGAATGTAAAAATGTGTTCACCGCGTTATCGGAACCGCATCGAATTCACGGGCATCGGATTCGGATCCGATCCAGCACCTCGATACTCGCAGTCGATGTCGGCAACGAGGATAATCTCGGGCTTAGTCCTGCGTCACGTACCGAATGGTTCGAAGCTTCTCCAGCTTTTCTCTATTCCACTCTCCGACACAGCCCCGGTCAAGTCAGGTTCGTCGTCTCTCGAAAGAATCTACTCTTTCGTAGAAGCCTTTCGTTTCACGGTTGTCTCTCTCTTATCCAGCCTACGCTCGTCGCTATAATTCCTTTCAAAGTTATCCACTCGCGCGCGCACGCTATCTCGAACAATTTTGTTCTACCTTTTGATTCGACGAACATTCGCAGCGTAGCGTCCATTTTATTTATTCACGGCACGAACGCGTGTTCGTTTCCAATCAAAAATCCGGATAGAGGCGACAAAAGTACTCGCGCCGAAGCGATTCAACGAACGAGGTGGAATAATTAAAAGCAAAAAAGCGAAATTACTTACTTGTTCGGAAATCCTCGCAATAGGATCGCAATTAACGAAGGTTAGTTTCGCGGTTAATGAGATGATTTTGTAATTATCCGAAGGCTAGTACGAGCAGGTACGTGTGTAAACACACGGTGGCGATTATAACGTTGATCGAAAGGGGGAAACTGCGTTGTCGAATCTCTCACTGGTACCGGCCAATACTCGATAACGAACGGCCCCTCCGTGCTATAACGAACCGCTTCCGTAATAAATATTTGGAATCAACATACCAACGGATAACGATGAATAACGAGCGTTGGTAATCGAGTACCTATGCCCCCTCCGACAGCTACTGCCGCACGTTTGCTGAACGGAGAAGAAGAACGATCGTAGACGCGAGGCGACACTGCAAAATCGATCGGCGACCGTTAATAGCGGAATCAGTATTCACCGTCTCGCTCGTGATTTACGGTCCTCGGTGAATTTCATTTACAGTTGGAACAGCCGATGGTCAAGTATAAACGGGACTCGGTGAAATTTAATAAACACGTTTAAACGATTCCCAGCAGTCCATAACACGCGACGAGGGCCGAACAGCCACGCTGAAACTGGAAACGCATCCGTTCGTCCGACCTCCATGCGAAACAGTAATTACAGCAATTAACGCGCGTTTTCCGGACGAATTGCCCGCGACCGAAACAGTAACCAGCCGACCTTGCTTTGCTCCCGCTTTATTTTTCTCATTATCCCGTTTGCGTTCTTCTTTTTTGCTCGCGTCTCGAGCTTCGTTTGCTCCTCTTGCTCTTCACGCCTCGCGTCCAACGTTTGCGGAATATTTCCTTTTAATCTGCCTCGGTGCACGCGAGGAATCCGCGATTAATTCTCCCGCCTGTCGCCCCTTCGCGTGACACACGGCTGTCTTACGTAGATAATTCAGCTTTCCGAATTTACGAGTGTATTTGTCGCGCGTTTCTATTGCCTGCTACGAGCGTGCTCGTGTTACGAATAATTGCACTGTTGGAAACTCGCACATGAAGGAGAAATACACCATTGAAATGTCAATGACAAACTGCATCTCAAAACGGGCACAACAAATCTATACAAGACTACTTTGCACATTGTAGTGGTGATTGCAGTAATTAATTTAGCATATAAGCAACACATATCGTCTGTCATAGGGCGCAAATTGCTTGCACATCACAAATTACAGTACTGGTCCAATCTAGGCGATGTTCGAAATTCGAGTCGGTGGAAATAAAACGCAAGTACGTAGGCGTGAAAATAATGTAGTGGGTTGTCATCGTTGGTTATTCGCGGTGGATTCTTGCTGTTGGGGTATAGGAAGGTGCGAGATCCGGCAGTTTCCACGCAATATTAATGACCGAGGAGATCCGAGATAGAACACCTGCGCACGGGGAACGTTGACTGGATATTGCACGAACATCCTTCGAATATTGACACTCGATATCCGACCGAGCATGAGCATTTCACGGTAACGCACCAGCTACGCGTATTTACATACATTGGATCGCATCGGTCGTACCGATCCGAGATTGCATTCGTGGTCTTCCCTCGTTCGACCTATTTCTACTTCGATCCAGTACGATTACATAGTACGATCTTTCTTCTTCTGGGACTTATTCCGATATTCAGAGATTTTCGTAGTTACGATCGATGCGTTACAGCCAGCGTGGTATTTCGGATATAGGATGTAAGCGATAGCCTTCGGAACAATACTGTCTCGACCAACGTTGCAAGCAACTTAATTAGACAGACGTGATACCGATAGCCCGAGCTTGTCTAGTCTTAGATTTCCCGGCTACCAACGACGTTCCCAGTTCGAGGTATATACATTTCGATCGATAGGGTATACTTTATCGATCGTGGTACGCCGACTGCAATTAACCCGTAACAAACAAATATGCAATCTCGAGTTACAGCGATACCGCCAGGCACAAACAGAGTTCTTTCAAACTACGGGCTACGGTTGGGCATTTCCAATTTGTTAAAAAAGGTCACAGCGGTGGGAGGGAAATCTTCGAAGCACGGATTTTTCAGTGTAAATCACCGATTCCTATGTGTATCAAAGACGAAATGCGGCCGATACATTCTCTCCGACGCGAAGACGTCGTTACGAAGGTCCGTATCGTATGGAAGGAGTATCCCTACGGGCTGTAGGTCCGTTCCACTAAAATATTGCGCGATTTTTTCAGCCGATCCTCTACTTGTAGCCCCCTATATGTATACCATCAGGAGAATTTATTTCACACGATCAGAACGACTCATGGACCGACTACTAAACGGTTTCTTTAGTCTCGAGCCTATGTATCTTGGAAATCCTTCCATTATGACATCCTGCTGCCCAAGAACTGGCACGATCGATCTCATTATCATGTAGATACGAAAAGATAGTTTCCTCCAATAAAATACGATGCTCTCCGGTAACACTTGCCGTTCGATTACTACAAGTTTCTACAAGTCAACGGAACGCCGTCATTTTCGGCAAGAGAGAGAAAAGGGACGACGAAAGAAGCGAGAAATCTAAATACTCTCGGATTGTTCGCAGGATTCGGAGCTGTGCATTTCCCTTGGGTTCAGCCTGCAGTATCTTCGGATGACGGTGGTTTGTTGGCTGGCCGCGATGTGTCATCATCTTTACGCCACCGTTGCCTCGATCCCGCGTCGCGACGACCCGCCAACCTACCTCAAGTACAGCGTCTTCGCCTGGGGTGCGCCCTTCCTGAATCTCGGCGTCGCCGCGTTTCTACAGATCACAGAAACGAACGACATATGGAACATCAGGGACCTTACACCTTTCAACTGCTGGTAACACGGTTTTAGTCACGCTTCCGTTATCTTAGTCCGCCTCAAAGAAGGAACAAATCTTCTGAAAGTTTTCTATGGCCGAGGACGATAATTATGGAGCGTTACGCAATGAATAATCGATTAATCGGTAAAATTTCACGCGTTGACCGCCCTTTCTTCCGATTTCGAATAATACCTAGAAACTTTTCTTTTAGTCGAAGCGCAATCTTCGAATGGCCGCGATATTCAATGGCATTGGACGCTTTTCACTTGGTCGATTGAACGTTTAACGTCTCTTTAAGGGTTTCAGTGAAAAGCATCGTAACTCGATAATCACCTTTCCTCTTCTCTCGGCGAAGGAACGAGGTGGTTGTTTTAGTCGAATTTAACGTTAAACGCGCGGATAGCGACGAGTTGGATATTTCACAACGGCGAAAATATCGTTACGTTACATTTCGTAGTCCAGGTTGTACGTTGTAGCTTACGAGTAAAGCCCGGAAATTTCTCAAACGGTTGGATAATACATAAAAAACGCGGAGTATATCTAAGCGAACAAGCCCATACCTTTGCTGGAATAGGATATTACGAAGAGTATGGACGAGATTATCCTCCAGCTGGAAAGTCTTATCTCTGCGGTCGCTACGGCCGATATTTTCAACCCAACCGAATCCATATTTCGAGGCTTGTCCCTTTATCTTCCGTTCTCTCCCTACCCCGGCTCGCGTTCCAACGAATTTTAAAGAGAAAATCCTAGACCAAGCGAATCGTAATTTCGTTTCCTTATCTGTTCTTACCCTCGAGGAATGGGTAAACCTAGCGAACTATTATTCCGTTGGACGCATTACGACGTCTGTCCTGTAGGAACACGAACGAAACGCGATGAAATATGTCTGGTATTCGTAACTTTGTGATTCCTCGGTTGCAGGTTTCTGGGAACAAAGGCAACGATTTACGCTTACGGTTTGCCCGTCGTTCTGCTGCTACTGTCCGCGGGCTACTATCTAATCAAGGCTGCGATCGTGTCCAGGTATACTATATGCGTAGCAACGCGATAAGTGTCCGTGTAAAACGGGGAATTAATTTTCCTCGTCACCGCCGCCGTTGCCCGTCGCGTGATTTTCCCCCGAAATACACGAGGGTCGAATGCCCGTCGGACAACAGAAGACAGAAACCGTTTCGCCTATCGTGACGCTAACATTCCTCCCGGTAATTTCGTTCGCACAGGTACACGTGTAGCATGCAGCTGGAGATCAAGCAACGCGAGAAAATGAAGAGGAGGAGAGCGTTGCAGCTGATACTGTTTCTGAAAGTCAGCATGATAGTCGGCGTAGTGGCTGGTTGCGGGATCGCGTCCAGGGTTTGGAAAGTTCCCTTCCTCTGGGCTATCTTCTGTACCGGACATTCCTTGCAGGTGCGGATCTAAACGACCTCCCGAGTTCGTCTCTGTTAAACGGCACCAGTAGATTTTCCGGTTCGAACGTCTACACGGAGATAACGATACAGTCGGAAAGCTGACGCGAAGGAGGCCACAGTCTTTTGGAACGGAACCGTCGTCGGTATTTTAGAAATCTTCGGATACGATAACAATGAGAAAGTAACTTGCGCCAAGGTGATTGCCCCTTTCTCGCGATACCTTTAGCTGACCACGCTAGACCCAGACCTCTCTTTATGGCCTCGCTGGGATTACCGTCTGGCTATATCGTCACCTCCGAGTATAATTTACCCCGAAAGTTACATTTATCTCGGGGCAAACTTTCACCAGACCATTTGCGCTCGCTCGACTAATTAAATTGAACACGAAATGTACGAATGCACAATATTTAGTGTAATTATAATTCCGATGGAAAGCGATCTTCAATTTGAAAGGTGACACGCGACGTTCCCCATCGATCGAGAGCGCAAAAAATTGTTCTTTTTTTTTGTCCCGCGGAATTTAAGCTACAGAACTCTCCGTCGACGTATACGTATACCAGTCGAGTCGTAAACGTCTTCTCGACTAGACTTCCTCCGCGACCGTCGAGCGTCTTCGACGAAAAGTGGATTTTTCGTCGGTGGAAGAATACTGGAACGACTCGAGACCTCTGCCCACCTTCCACATATTTCTTCCAATCGATTATTCAATTCCGTTCGTCTTGATTCTTCGTTTCTTATCTAGGCTTCTCCGCCCCGCGTCCCGTAAGTGAGCCCGGTTACCCCTGCTGGCTTCCGGGTCGTTCACGATAATTTATCAACGTAGCGCCCCACCGATTCCCGCATAAACAGCACGGTAAAATACAGATCTACGCAACAAATTTCAGCGCGTAGATTAAACAGTGAACAGCCCAACGCTGCGACTTGTCGATAAATCGCAACGAAAAGTAAACGAATATCCGCACAAATCGATAACAATTCGAATTTTTGCTAACAAGGGGCCAATAGAAAAAGGAGGAAATTTCAGCTTTACACTTATAGACGCGAGACACGTTTTACAAAAAGGAGATGAAATTCTGAAAGCAGAAAACGTAGAAAACATACACACCGTATCATTTCCAAAAATTCGATACGACAATGTTTGTTTCTACGTCCGATCGCGTTAACGCGAAAAATACTTTGAACGTTCACGCTGGGAATACTACGTTTGAATTGTAGCGGGGTAATTGCAACCGTTGCCGCGGCGTCAAGCGTTCTCGCGGCTCGAGACAGAAACACGGGCGCATTGTAACGCGCGTATCACAGGTACGAGCCAATTTGTCAGAAACGATACATTTAAACGTCACGGATCAAGACGAACCGGAAATTGGGTCGCGAGCTCGAGGGCAAAAGCTAGTTGCTCGCGGCACATGCGAAACATCTGCACGATAACGAAGGCGAATTATTCATACGAAACGGACGCGGGCGGATGCTTTTGCTCGAAACAAACGGTTCTCGGCTCGAGAACCCCCGACGAAGAACCCCCCAAGGAGAACTCGTAAAGAGGGAACTATGAAACTTTCATAACGAGAGGAATCTCATGTTTCGCGTCCCAACGAAATTTTTACACTCGAACATCGTTGACATTGAACCTGCCTGTGCACAGGGTTAATCATTTCGATAAGAGCACGAATTCCAAGTCCATCTGACAATGAGGGATTTTGGAATACGTAACAGGTTTGCCCGTCACTAGCTGCGAGTTTTAACAGTCGAACCAGTCTGGGTGGCGAGAATTTCGATCTGTCAACCATGGTGTTTGCGAAGGAAAGGAAATCCGACGTCTAAGAGTGATTTTTTTGTTTAATGTAATATAACATGTCATCTTTATTAACACTTTGATGTCGGATGACGTAGTAGTAGGTCTTTAAAAAAAAAAGCTGAGAGCAGTTGACGTAGTAGTACGTCAGTCTTAAATAAAAACTAGAATAGCAAAAAATAGGGAAAAATCGTTTTTCCTATATGCAAAGTTTGACAAATAAAAGTTGAGTAGTAGTTTCTAAATAGTTTTTGTTTTGTGCATGCTATTAATACAGTCCGCTCTGATGCGATTTTAAGTTAAACTCTCCCGCGAGTAAAGTGTTAAGACAGATGATAAGGATAAACGAGGATTCTATGTCTTTTTCATCGCGATTTCATAACGATGCGGCGAAACGCGCAACAGATGTTCATGGTCCAGTTTATTTCTAGAACTAACGCAAAAATGATTTTGTTTCATTTGCTCGACGAACCAATCGGACGGGTCACAGGGTCTGGCCGTAGCGTTGTCCGTCGCGTGCAACTGCAGGGTTCTAAAGGTCTACGCCAGGAAATCTTACAGGCAACCGAAGCAGCAGGTAAATCTTTCAGCTCGATCCTCGAAACTTGGACACGCGGACGATCGAACCGAATTCTCTCCGGAATTCTTCCTTATCTGTTTCTCTATTGGAACAAGGAATCCCGTCGTCTGCGCGTCTCGCGTAATTTACTACCGTAATCTCTATCGGAACCGTTCTAGTTTCCTTGGAAATTTATTACACCGCGCACTTTTGCGAGTACTTTTTACGCCCGCGGCGCGACAAAGAGAAAAACAAAATGTTCGAATAGCAAAGTCAGGTGTCGAGGTACGATTATTATATTTATAACGCGATCTACCGTGACGCAAAACGGAGAAAATCTCTCTCACTCCGTAAGGACCAGCTGCAATTCCTCGGCTTAATTTATCCTCCTTGACGACATTGCATCGACAACGTGTGCGTCGTGATTCGACGTTACCGCGACAAAGCGAAACTTGCATTTCCGTTCTCTCGAAAGATATTCGAAAGGTTTCAGCCAGAAATACACAGGGTGTCGTGTGACTGGTGGTGCAGCCGGGTAAGGCTGATTTTCCACGTGAAAAATTTCTTCATTTCAGACTTTGTTTTCGAGATAATCGAATTTGTGAGTCTGCTGGATATGCATTCCATTTCTCCTTACTACCACGACGACGAATACCCGCGTTCCAGATTACTATTGACAAGTCTCAAATGAAAAAATTTGATTCTATCTTTTCGACGTGTTTCTTCGCATAGAGTCACCTCCTACTCGTCTGTACCACTAGTTACACGACAACCCTGTATGAATATCGATATTTGATGCTGCATAGAATAGAATACCACGACATCGCTTACCCCAGTTTATACATTGTCTGTAATGAATTAATTAGCTGCCGGTAAAAGCAACCGGTCTAGAATTAGGCGAGATGTTCGAAGAATAAGCGAAGCTGCGCACGGCTGACGCGAAAATCGTTGGTTTTCCAGATCGCGCGATCGAGTAGCAGCATGCAGTTGCTCGCACCAGCACCGGACCCAGTCTAGATCTCGAAGACGGTGCTTTGGACGAGCTCCGCCACGGAAAGAAACGAACGAAACGGCGGACATCCGCGAGAACCACCATATCCAAGAATTTCAACTATTTTTTCAATCGAACCGCCCCCCTGCGATCTATTCCGAAAGGGCTCACGGACTTCGAACACGAGTCAGATAACTCACATATCCCTCGGGGGATTTGTTTATCGAGCGACGCGACCGATCGCGTCCAAACTTCCGGCGGTTCTCCAACTCGTGGAAAGACACGGCGAGTTCAAACTGACTGGACTCGACCGCCACGTTACTCCAATTTCCGACGTGTTTCCCTCGGTTCCCGCGCTGTGCACAATTCACGCCAGCAGACGACTCGTTGCTTCGATACACGAGATATATCGGGAAAAAGCGGAACAGGCAGAAGGTTACGAGGAGAAACAATCTCGTGAACAGAGAAAAGAAACGGAAAACCAACGTTGGACTTGTTCTCGAGTTACCTTGAATCAGCTTCCCGTCGTGTTCAAAGTTTGCCAACATCGCTATGCGAAATCGAATGAACCCAATATTTGTTTCTTCGAATAACGAAACGGTAGGCGTCCAGTGCCACGCTGAAAATTACGTTTGTCCGATTACATGGTGGTTAATCGAAGCGAAACATCGAGCGTGCGAGGAACTCTCAACATATCCGCGACATTCACCGTCGCTTACAACGTGTATCCTCTTTACGAATCAGTACAAACGCTTTGTTCGTGTCGATCGATTTCAAGCTCGCTCCGAGCTTCTTACGAATTTCCTCCGATGATTCACAAATATTCGTCGGCGATTGCCGCGAAAGAAAAAAAAACGCCAGCTACTAGCATCACCGAAACCTCGTCCCTCTCAAGTTCGTTCGCTTTTATATGTATGTAGAGAATACCGTATCGCGTGGGAACTAAGGGCTTACTACACATTCGTATCGCGAGAGACCCTGATCGAAAGACAGGGGGCCTGGACACCTCGATTCTATCTAGTCAACGAAAGACGACGATCGACAACCTGCCTTCTTTTAACCCCGGTAAAAGAACTGTCCAATGCTTGGAAACGAGCATGGATCGCGAACACTTTTCAACAGGAAACCTCCGGACGATCGAACGAAGGTATACCGATTGTTACATGCTTTTCGGCGGCAGGCATAATCGCGAACAGAAATGGAACGGCGGATATCGATCTGGTGCGAAAGGAATTCAGCCACGTTGTATTTGCACGCGTTCCCAGCGGTTTTGCGGCTGACATTCCCCTGCGATGCAATCAACATTCGGTAATGACCTATACGATCGCATTAGCACTCGTAACCACCGGCACCACGTAAATGTAAGCGCATGTAATTACGACGAAATAAATATTTTCAAGTCCTGTACATACGACGCTCGATATGCTCCTCTGTGTTTCAGTCCGATACACCTTCTCCGACATCCTCTTTTCTCGTATACATATATATACCTACACTCGATCGTGACACCGACGACGCAACGCGTCAACCTGCAACACTCGAGAGACAGGATTGATTCGTTCGCAACCGCGATTTTCCAGGCATCGTAATCCAATCTCCCCGACTCGATCTCGAAATCAATGGGCATCGCGGCTCTAACTGCGAGAACAGTTAATTTACACGAGACCGTCGACGTTGCCCCAATAACCGCGTGGATTCCGTGAAACAGAAATTCCCCGGAGTAACGTCGCCACGACACGACACGACACAACGCTACGAGAAGCGTCGGGACGCATCGGTTTATTTGCCAACAAAACAATTTTCAACCAGAAGTCGAACGCAGACACCATCGTAGGGAAAAAAGGCAGAAACTCTGTTGGACGAAATTAATCAGTGAAACATTAACATAGAAGAAAACACGATCAGGAAAAGTAAAAAGCGATTTGTCGCGAGAGTGGGGCAACTGCGAACGGAAGAGACGAACGGTGAAAATTTTCAGCTGAACGCGTAATTATTGGAATACACCGGTACGGTTTAATACCACGGCAATACGTTAGACGAGATTGGGAGACTTCGTCGGACGGCTGTCGAAGGATCTACGACACGGGACGTTGAACGACTGGATATCTCCGTCTCCGAGCGAAGCGTACGTAGGTATATGTATGTAAAAAGAAAGTTTTATTGCGAACGAATCCGATAAAACTATCATAGAAAATACAGTCTTGTTAAATTCTGTTTATTAACTTCACTTCACGGACTATAACTGTTGTTTTTTTTCTTCAAAAGTCTGTCGACGACGAGATGTTTAAATGTTCCTTGGCCGATCCGTGAAAGCGTATCCTGAAGCCGTATCGTAATGCGGGTAACGTAATAAAATGAATTAGAACGACTTCCGAGGATATTCCGACAATTCCTACGGTATTCGGCTGACTCGTATATGTAAGAAAATCTTTTACAGTGTAAAATCGGGAGACTGGGTGACAGGATTCGATCGTTTTCGATGACGCCAGGCAAGAAAATAGATGAAGCTAGCTAGAATAGAGACTCGTAACAGATGTAAGCGTCGTTGAACCGATTGAAACGTCCGTGTCATCTCTTCCTGTTCTGCCAGGTTCCTGACATTTAATTATCGAAAAGTACCGAGATGGGTGGTGCACGGTGCATCTAGCCGCACCCGTTTGTTCTCCTTGTTCGCTCGCAAACGGCCCCTTTTATCGGTTAAACGTGCTACCAAGGCTGCCCAACGCTTCGATCGAATCCTTCGTCCAACCGTTCCACTACTGCTTCAACTCGCGACTGTCCAAGAGAAATCGAGCGAGTCCGTTGACGAAAATCTTTTTACGATCAATTTTCCCCACGAGAGGTCAACTCGGAAGATGAAACGTTACGAGTGCCGCCTGCATTGAAATCTCTCCTAAAGTTTCATTCTGAAAACACTCGCTTCTTAGCTCTTGTTCGGTCAACGATTCGTCAATGAAAAGTTCTTTCGTTTTCCTTCGCTATCCTTGCATTTACCTTTGCTTCCCCTCTCTGCCTTTTACATTGATTCTAAAAACAAAATCGAGACTCAGAAAACGCGTATCAAAGAAACGAGAAGTGTAGCATTAGTGTAAAATCAACGGTGGCTTACTGGCCTACGATGTAGACCACGGTGCTGACTGTGAAGACGTCGCGTTCCGAGGACACCAGTCCCCGACCTCCGAGGATAATGCCCGTTTTCTGAGTACACGCTTGACTCGCCTTGTTGGCTCTTATCGTTCTGTCGCACAAAGGGTGTGGACGCGCAGATCCGTTGCGGCTGACTCTCGTGAGAACTCTGTACGGAACATCAAGTCGCTGGTTCCGGTCTCCTCTCCGCGGTGAAACTAAACTATAATAAGCACACGAACCTGTCGCAACGAGATGCAATGGGACGCAACGAGATACGACGAGACGAGAATTCAACGTTTCCTTCCCATACTGCTTTGATTGTACAATGTCAACTGAAATTTTCAATTAGTACACTGCTAGCTGGATGGGAATCAGTCGAGACTCGGTTACGCGAATCATTAAAATTACGCCCTTCTGTTGAGTACATCGAAAAAAAAAACAATCTTGATACGGTACGAATGGTTCCGAAAAATATTAACTCTGTTTCACATTTCAAAGCAATTATTACTCTAAGCTTGTTAAAACCGTGAAACGATCACAAAATTCTGAAATAAGAATTTGGTAAAGGTCAGAACGTTTGAATTTGTCCATCGTTATTACGGCTAAACGTGAATGTAAGCTTTCATCCGGTCGTTATCGATTTCATATAGTTATTTCCGATCATATATTCCACACCTTCTCGTAAAGATCGTACTCGAGAGACTAAGACCTATAACCTGATCGAACACGAAAGCCGCATTATGAAACGGATAAGTATATGGAATACAAATGTTCGACTAGTTTGTCGTTCAACCATAAAGAAATGGTTTCATCGTTTCTTTCGCGCCAAAAGTCCCATTTTTTCAAGCAATTTTGCCAAGACTGTAACAAAACTACCTTTGCTCACTTTTTTTTAACATTGTCGATTACTAAAGAACTGAATGCATTAAACAAACACGCGAAACTATTTTCTAACATCTTCTACAAGCGTAAAATGCGGAACGTTCAAAGGCAGATGTGTTTATAACAGTGGATCTATGCGTTGATCGATGGTGAAGCCAAGCACTTGCGGCTATAAAATAGGACGGAATACCCTCTACTGGAAAACTTAAGAAGCAGTACGCGGATTAATTTTCGCTGCTGATACCAATAAGTAAGAACGCTGTGAACAAACCATAATATTTGTTGCTTCGTTCCTTAAACAGCAAATATTAATTTGAAAAAAACACGAACTAATAATATGCTTCGTTAGTGTGACATTTTTTTTACTGAAACGATCGCTTAAAATCTATACGCTCTTTGATCATCTCGCAGCCATCAATTCGTTCCTTTAGAGCGCAGTTATTTCATTCATGCAGCAACCTAAATACATATTAACATAATATAAATATACTGCTTTCTAAGGCTATGTAATAACGTTTAACAATTACTTGGCGCAGAAAGTTCTATTCGGTCGTTTCATTCAAACGTTGTTTCAAGAAATCCACCTTCCACATATGTATGTTCACTTTAGACCTATCGTGTGTTAACGTACCGATGCTGACACCTATAGTAAACCACGTCCAAGTTACTATACGCACCATTATTATCGACTATCGATAAGCATGACATAAATCATAACTTCAAAATCTACCTGTATTAAACAACACAACTATATTTTTGTTTATTGTTATAAGTTATAACGATTTGTTCCTCTCATCAATTGCGCACGCTTCCCCGGTCACCCTCCGTTTCCTCAAACAAACAAGAAAAAGGAAACAAGGAAAAAAAAAAAGAAAGAAAAAAGAGAAAAATCATATAACTTGCGCTTGTCGTAAAAATTCTAAAAACAGAATGTCAAATTTTACGAAATCTATTGGCGTCTTTTTTATCGCACATAGTATATTAGCATGACTGCATTTAAATTCGACTGTAACTATTCGTTATTTCACTAACGATTATGTATTCAACAAAATTTCTATTTACATATTCAAAATCTAGCATTTCATTCAATGTGTACTCTTCAAACTTACCATTTTCGTACCGCGAAAATAATGTGCATAAACTTATAGTGTTCAATTTTCTTTCTTATTATCCGGCAAGATTATAAATTTTTATCTTTTTTCGGACAGATCGCAGACAACCGTATTCTGTAACGATTTTTAAATATCTATAAGATCCAAACGCATACAACAACGCTTCCATGAACGAATTCTCGATCGTTTTATTTTCGTCTTCTATTACTGAATTACAAATTCGTTCAATTTCTATAAAAATCAACGCATTCCCAGAAATTGCATCGTCAAAACTGTAATCCTTCACCCCTAATCGGTTAGCGCTAAAATTTTGCCTTTTACCCGATATTCGCACATATCTAACGTTTCATAAGACTCTCAAAATAATGGACAGAATTGTTAGATACCAGGGATGTCCAGTACAACGCAGGAACCGCGAATCCAAACGTCTGTTAGTACATTTACATAGGACAAATCGTATGAAAATCTTTATCCAAAAACTGTACAAGCATGCGCGCGTCTATACGTAATACGTTCACATTTTCAACAAACTACAATGGTCTACCGATTAACTTCTATACCTCTTTTATTAAGAATTAAAACTGTTTTAATATAAAGACAAGGAACAGTAAGAAACTGTGTACCATTAAATTTTTCATCTGGTAGAAAGAAAGAAGGTATTTCTTCGGATCTAATAAAAACACATTAGCATGTACAAACAAAAATGGATACAATTAAAATTGTAAATATATCATAAAAATTGTAACATTGAACCTCGTAGGTATATCTCCTTTCGTAGATGATAATCATCCGCATACTTATGCATATTTAAAATAAGTTTACTGTATATACATATATATACCTTATGTAAGATAGTGCTCACACTGACACACACTACGTTCCCATTCTTCACGCTACTATCAGAGATAAGATCAATTGCCACACACGAAGCTTAACCTTAACTATATACACGCGTATCGCATTTGATTTTAATCCCTTGTCGAAGCTTTCGTCCTGTCAATGTTATTAATAAGAAAACGAAAAAATACATGGAATGGCAAATCCCATCGTTTTTCTCATGACAGAATAATCATCGGAAGAATGTGTGATTCGGCTAAAATCAATTTCTTTTTCCTTCACCTTCCCTTGTTTACAAACTTTAAGTTACTCTAGCGACGCGTGATTAAATTAAGGACTTATCTGATACACAATTTTAGAATGTTTATTTAAGACATATGCAGAGAATGTCGGGCCGGAGTTACTTCCCAGTTATGTTCACTAAGAAAGCATTGCGAGCGCGATCGAAATAAGTCGCTTTCCTTGATTGCACACGTATAAACGTTTTTTGTGTTCGATGAATAGATTTATCATTCCACTTCTATGTTTCATTAAGATATGAACATTTTCAACTCATAGTGCATTGAATTATATAATCTATCTGTACACTCACAACCGTTCAAATACACAATAATATCAACATATTTAATATTGGACCATTCTGAACAAAAAAAGATGCTTAATAGATAGATTGACAGATCACAGAATATCAACGTGTCGCGAAAATTCTATAGCAGAAAATACATATGCACACGTCTATCTTACAATAATTTCTTTTTTACTCAAAAAACAGAAACGAAGGACATTTCGTTAAAGTGTTAGTTACTTGCGGAAATAAAAAAATTTTAAATGATATATCGGTTAATATTAATAGCATTACGCAAGGAAGGAGACAATAGATATCACGCTACGAGGCGTTTCTCAGAAAGTTTATTTCTGCATCCATGAAAAAGAGAAATTGTTTCACCATAATTCTCATATATTCCATTTCATTCAGTCATTATTTATATAAGATAAGGTATTACAGTAATTTCCTATGTACGAATTAATTTCAGCTACTTCCATATCAGATCTGAATTGAAGGCTGTGTTTTAGACTCCGGCCTCAGCTCTGATTTGAAAACAACTTGTCTCTATATAAGTCCATATTAAATATATTTTACAATAATATTATCATTGTACATGAACAACGTATGCTCTACACCTTGCTTGCTATCGCCAACTAATCAGTGTAACGAGTACATTTATTAGTTTGACAATAAGTGCGTATCGTAAACACATCTTAATGTTTTATCTTTGAATTAAGAAAGGAAATAAAATAAAGCTCGCGTACGCTGATCAAGCCAACGATTGGCAAGAAGGTGTCAATTTGTTAAAATAGACAAGGGGACTGGATCTGTAACCCCAATGTGTGCGCCGCCCTGGTACCTGCTGCAGTAAAATGAATATTTTATATACAAAAGTCTTCATCGTAGAACAAGATACAACTACATTTTCACAACGCTTTCTCCGATTCAACTTTTGTTATCGAAATTTTCAAAATGTTTCTTAATACAACATGTATCTTGTCATCTCTAAGACGACTAAAGAAGCGTCGAAGCTATTATGAAAACATTTTTTTTACGGCACTAAAGACTCCAAACTCATCACGACATTGTACAGCTATTAATCATAAATATTTCATACTTTACAAATTGTGGCAACCTTTGACTACTCAAAGTTCAATACATTCAAATGAACAGTGCGAACACATGAAACGATGTATACAATTTTTCTATACCCAAAATTTCCTAATATTGTCTAATCGGCTAGTCTGGCAATGATCTACCCAAAACTAACAAATAATTAAAGAAACAAATGTAAAAAGATGCTTACGTGAAGTTGGTAAACAGGCGAAAGGAGGTTATTCCTTATTTTCCTCGGTAGTAATGATGATGTTAGAGGGGTTCTGAGACTCTGATGAAGACGACGGTGGTGCTTCCGCTACTGTGTCCGTCGCATCTTGACTCGAATCCGAGCTATCCTTTATGTCTTCCTCCTTTTTCTCTTCGCTGACACAAGTGCTCTTAGTTTCTTCCGTAAAATTTTCCGACTCTTCCGTTACTTTCTCCTCCTTGAAGTTAGATTCCTGCGTTTTTTCAGCGATTTCTTTGCTCTCTGTTTTTACAACACTTTTGTCCTCGTTGTCCGCTAATTTTTTTGTTTCTTCTTTATTCTCATCCACATCCATTTTCATAGATTCCTCTTCGGAATGCTTCTCACTCTTATTGTTTGCTGCTTCCTCATCTGTATTATTCTCATTGTTTTTCTCTTGCCGTTTAGGACGCCCGCGTCCACGGCCAGTACTTTTTGTGGATGTGTCTCTCTTTTCTTTTTTAGGTGGAGATGGTACAGGCGTCGATGAAGCGAGGCCCCGTGCTGAACTACGCGTACGCCTCCTTCCTTCCATTTCTCCAACGGACGCATTCAAATCCTATAAAAGAAAACATGAGCTGTAAATTCACATAAAATTCTATGCGTAACCATATTTTACTCTGTATCGATCTTTACACTGGCATATTAAATTTTATACGAGTATATAATATGCACTTTGAAAAGATAAAAAATGTGTATATACATTGTAATTAGTATACATACATATATCTGAACCTCAGAGCCAGGTGTTAAGTCGATCTTTTGGAAAAAAAAAAAAAAAATGACATTTCACATATTTCCCATATCAACTTTTTCTCTCTTTCCGATGGTAAAAATTATTGCGTTCTGTGTCGTGTAGTTTATAATATAATAATTTAAAAGTATTTTCAAGTACTCTCAAGTCTATATCTTGTTCCGAGCGAAACAGTGTAAAGTTCATCGCATAGGGAACTTAATGCAATGTTCACCATTTCTACATATCGAGATTTGTCTTTAGTCCATGCAATACTTAGTTCGAAGGTAGCGATTGTTTCCCGCTGAATTCTTACCGAATGGTTCCAGAGTTACAAGGTTTTTGCACCTTTGAATTGCTCTCCTCTAAAGTTTGAAAGGTGTGATTTAATATACTCTAGCTCTGGGGTCCAAATATGTACATTGTAGTAATTAATTAATTAATTAACTATAAGTACATTGTAGTAATCAATTAATTAACTATAAGTATGTTGTAGTAATTAATTAATCATAAGTACATTATAGTAATTAAAGCGATAATAAAGAATCTGCCAACCAGTCTAGAAAGAACAGTTGGCTATTCATAATTGGCGGTCATGTAACGTATTCGTAGTGAACCCTCCCCACCAGACACGAGAGAGTTCCCCTTCGACCCTTCTTCCGCCCCTCCCATCCCCACTCCTGATACCCTTTTGCTCACGTAGACAGTGAGAGTCAACAGGGAGGTTAAATGGAGGGAAATGCCCAAGCGAAGGGCTGGAATCTTTTTGGCTGTTTATACTTGAGAAATATTTTCAAATTTTCGATGAACAAAAGGAGGCCGATTGATTGAATTCGAAGAAAGGAGAAACGTACCTTTGTGAGTTGTTCTCCTTCCCGAGCCACCCTTTCAAGCGTGGAAAGTCTTTTCGTACCTCCTCGTTTGTTTTTCGCTGGAGTCGGTTTCTCTTCTGCAGAATGGTCCTGCAAATATTTCATCGTGGTACTTTATTCAGTCTCGATAAATACAAATACCCGAATAAGATTCGTAAGTCACTGGAACGTAACTCAACGTAGAGAAAACGTCGACAACAGTGAAACTAATCGTGATCGTTTTAAGGATTACGATGATCTACGCGTAGAAACGTAGAAACACGATGATAATTACAGGCGCGATAAGATTATCAAGGACCGTTGAACCACACAGGCGAACGCGCTAAGTTTGTTTAAGTTTCCCGCCATTTTGCCAAGTCGATATGTATTTCTAGCGTCGTAGCCTCGAACGATGTTCCTAAGCGAGGCCGCATTTTCGTAGAAAACCGCGTGGAACACGATCTCGCTATCGAAACACGTTTCCCGCCTTTTCGATATGGTCCTATCGTCGCTGATCAGCAACTCTCCTCGTCACGAGAGGCGCAAATAAAAAACATCCACCATCTTTGCTAATGAAGGACAAACGGCGCAGCTTTGAAAAATCACCGAGTCTGTGGCCACGCGCAATAAGGCACCCTTGACTTGTGATCATACGAGTTTGTAGCTCGTGTAATCACTCCTCGAACAATGTTCATTCGCCGTGGTACGCGTTATCATATCGAATTTTCGAGAGAACGAGCGTCTCCTCGTATTCGAGGGGAGCACACGCCGCCTTAGCATGAAAACTCGGCTTGATGAAGATGTTTCTCGCATTTCTGTCCGCTTACCTTCGACACATCCTCGATGCTGTTATCATTCTTGCTCTCCGCCTTGATCTCGGACATTTCCACGCGATCGAATCACTCAAAAACACTGGAAAAACCGCGATTTCTCGGCAAGAATTCGTGCTGAGCCCGGTCGCACTGTTTATACGATAAGCAAAGATGGCGGTTAGCGTGGGTCACGTGACACATCGTCAAACGTAGAGCGGGAGTTCAGAGCGCCTCCTCGCGATTAACTCGCCAATTCGACACGTAGCGACGCAACGTAAACGAACAAACTTTTGAATTCTATCGTTACATTTTTTATTCTATATTATACCCCCTTACGTTTTTGATGATCACACTATCTCGTGATTCTCTCTTCGACCCTGTCGACAGAACTCTGTTACGATGAATGAGTTTTTCTCGCACAGTTGTTCAATGTTTCTTTGGCATGACGAAAGCGCTTGCTTATTCCATTTCCGGTATTCCGATTAAAAAACGAAACGCAAAGCGTTATTCCGTATATTTATCGTTTGTAATTTTTCAAATGTAAAATACTTGATAATTTAGCGAATACTTACCTTAATTATACTTAAAATAAAGAAAAACGTTTCGAGTCGTTTAATTTCAATTATTATAGTCGACTGTTTAATAGCGTATAAATTGCATCTCTTGCACTTAGTATTTTCGTGCATCAGTAAATATTGACAATCGATACAGATCGGTATCAAAAGAAAACGACATTGTCGTGCTTGTGTACTTCAAGGTAAAATGAAACCGATATGTACAATATTTAAAGTCAGATTGTATGTCAGTTTAACATAAATTATCGAAATAAATTTTTCTCTTACTTCAAGGCACGGTAGTCGAACAGTTTCATCACTGAAGAACATTGTACAACAGTGTTTTGTACAGATTTTCACACATTTTTCTATGTTATGTTTTTTTAATTGTCTGTTTGAATACTTTCTCTTTGGTGACTGTATTTCAAACGGCAAACTTTGAAACAAATATCTTTCATCTCAATGTCAATGTCAAATTAATGAGTAGGCATTCTTCTAAACCAGAATCTTGCTCTGAAATCGTCACTGCACGTCAAGAATGCTGGAGCAGTTGGAGAGTGCACGATCAGTCTGACTGGACCATTGTGTCCCAATGACAGTAATTGTTTCCTAGACGCGTTTCGTGAATTCCATGCACACAGCGATGTCGTAGCTTCGTCAGGAAACATTACATAATCTTCGGTATGATTGAAAATAGCTTGTGCTTTGTGTTCTTGTTTGCCTAACAAAAAGAGCAATTAATTATCTTGAATATAATACACACAAAAAATATGAAGAAGGAAACTTAATTGTTTGTGCGCGTATATTCTGAGAACACATTAAGGATTTGGCTTTTTACCTGTAGTTCCAGCACCTGTATATGCTATTAAGCATCTGCTAGTAGATAGCTCCCATAATTTTATTAGAGAATCTTTTCCAGATGACAGTAAGTACTGAAATTCATAAATATAAAGTTACAAAACTCTGCGTTCAATAATTATGCTTAGATTTGTCATGCAAGGAAAAAAAATATATTTTAGGTGTTACTAACTTTCCCGTTTCTCGTAAAAGTTACTGAACATACTTCATAACCATCGTGTGCCTTTACAAAGGTGTTTATACATCGATTTGACACACCATCCCATAATTTTATACTTCCGTCTTTGCCGGCCGATGCATAAGTTTTTGCATCTGGAGAATACTTAATACTAGTTATGCCAGCAGTGTGTTGATGACTAGGTATACTACAGACAAAACATTGTGCTGTGTTAACATCGTACAATCTTACGACCGGATGATTGGTTCCAACAACCAAAAAGTCACCAGTTGGGTGAAAAGATAAACATCGTATTTGATCTGCATCTGTAATAGTTCTAAATGCTTTTTTGACGCTGGCCTTGCTGAAATCGAACAGCTTAATGGAAAAATCTCTACTGCCAGATACAAGAATAGGTTCCCTCGGATGGAATTCGAGACATGTCACTTCTTCCAAATGATCATACAATGTTCTTATAACAGGATGCCCCCCTGTTTGATCTCCAGGTGCCATTTCGTCAGGAGCTGATTTGGCCAACATTCTATCAACATCTAAAATCTTAATTGATGCATCCACTGATCCAGTTGCTATTAGTTGACCATCTGCAGAAAATGCTCCTGCCCTACAGTTTCCCTTGTGAGAAGTAACATAGGCAGTCTCATATTGTGCTGGTTCTGGAGCTTGAGTTTGAGCTTCTGTCTCAAATTCCAAATCTAACCCAGGTCCCAAAGTGTTATCAAACGTTGAAGCAAATGTGGACAAGTTACTTGTCTCTTTTTTAGAACGATCAGGTTCATGAGCCAACCCAATCAACATCAAATGTAGTAAACGGTCTGACGGAGGACATGGTGGTTCTGCTTGAATTATATTTGATAGTTGCACAGCCAATGTTTGATGCCCATCGTAAAATAGTTGGCTGAAACATTTCAATCTACATGTGAATGTACTTTTACGTAATGTAACTTTATATAGGTAAAAACAAAGCAAGAAATCATTTCCAATGTTTTCATGTCATTGTAAGCAGTATGCACATAAAGAGAAGAGAAACATGTAACCTGATCATAAGTCTGTAAAGTAATTCCCTGCTCTTTATAATATTCTTCGGATCTACTTCAGGTTCCTTCATTTCGCTGGAACTCTGTATTTTGTGAACCGGATTTCTCGGTAGAATGCACTAAATCGTTGTTAAAACGCCCATCAATCGATGCCTCTGATTTTTGAGGTTATAATTCGTTGTTGATTATTTCGATAGGTACGTTTAATATTCAGTTTGTACACGATTTACTTAATTGGCCTGTCTATTTATTTAAAGTAAACCCTTTGCCAATCGGAACAGTTCGTTACACGAGGAACATCAATGGAACATCGCATGCAGTAACTGTCAGAATGGCCGATGCACACGAGTGTTCAACGTCTGGTCTGGATTTTTCGAAAGAGAGGAACGCACCTAGAGCAAGACGCAAGAAGTTATTGTCTGCCGACTATACTATTAAAAAGAGACAACCATTCGATCTGAAGAAAAAACGGGACAAAGATGTGTTTATAACTAATAAAACTAATTTTAAGGTAATAATTGTCGCGAAATTATAACCTTGTCTTTTGTCACTGTCAATAGTGTGGAAGAAGTATATGTACATGTAAATAGAAGTTTATCGTTATGTATTTTGTTCGATAATTTTTCATTTTTCTTTCAACATTATTATGTTCATATAATTAAACCAACTTTTTCATCCTATTTCTACCTTTGTGAGTAATATAAATAATTTGTTCATTTTAATTAGCTTTTTCGTTTCTTTTGTAATATAAGGCACAATTGAAGATATGTGAAAAACTATTCAACAATGGTGCTGGTGAAGTGATCATACATGGTCTTGGTGCTGCTGTACATAGAGCTTGCAGTTTAGCGTTACAGTTAAAAGAGATTCATTATAGCGGAATTGATTTTGATATTAAAACTTCTACTACGCCTATTATTGGTATGTACTTCAAGTTTTTTCTCAGTGTTACATTTTTACATACTCATAATAAAAATATTGCATTGCAGATGACTTTGAACCCCTTCAAGATAATGCTGATTATGAAACAATTAATAGGAATAATTCTGCCATCCATATTCGTGTGTTCAGAAAATTTTCAATAGGTAGTCTTAAATATCAGGAATAATATGCCATAAACTTTAAGAGCATCTGAAAGATTATTAATAAAAAATTAGAACTAATACTTGAAACATTACAATATGATAAACAAGATAGCAAGAATAAATCAATAATTTTGTTAGATTTAATGTGTTTAAAATGATATTCTCTTTGAACGAGCTAGTACACTGGTTGGGTATAACAATTTTTGAAATATGGGTAAATTTAGTTTCACTAACAATCTTTACAATGTTACTTGCCCTTAAACTAGATGACAATTACTTGTTAGGTAATGCAGGATGGTGGACAGTTTTTTCACCACTTTTTGTCGCAGATGGGTTAAACACTTATTTTTGTGCAATTATTTTTATAAGAATGCGCATGGAGGGAATAATTAAAGCTGCTATTTTAAGAGCACTAAGGAGCCTTATATTATTGCTATTGATATTTGTTTTCAAATATCTCCTATGTAAAAAACTAACAGGACAAAGCACTTTGGAATACTCAGAAATGATGAGTCCCATATTCATCCTCTTGCAATTAATCGCAGTCAGAGCATGTCAACTTCATTGATTACTATAAACTACCACACATATGTATAAGTTACAGTAACTGTGGCAAACACAACAGAAATATTGAGCAAAACCATGCCACGAAATTGCTTTTACTTCTTTGCGCTTATTATGCATTACTTTACTGTTCCCATTAAGTTTGCATTACGCATAATATCTTTGGAATGTGTGATAAAGCATTTAAAAATATGATTAAAGTACAAACACCAGAATGTAAATATATCGCTGTAATAAAGGATGATCTATTTAAACTGGTCTTTTTTTTTTTAACTTTTTAGCCATATTCTTCACTTTCAATAGTGCACTGTTAACATAGAGCATATTTTAAATACAACAGCATTCACAGTGAGAGTTGAAATTTTCTTGAACTGTTTTTAGTGCCATCGGTAGTCTTGAATTCCAGATCAATACTTTTAAACTTTGATAAATTAGATGCTTTGAATGTGATAGTATTTATTGAAGTATACTACTTATGTACTCGTTCGCCATTATAAATTAATGTGCTTTCTCATTCGTTAAAGCTAGAGAAGTTCAGGCAATTGTCTGAAATGCTAATACAAAACGACAGGCATAATTGATTTAAACCTAAATATAGAGTCGATTTATGTCAATGTTTTATTATGAAAAAAACGCTTCTTTTAATAATTATATTTACTTATAATTATATTAACGATATAATACTTATTGAAAGTAACATATGAAGCTGAATAATAGTTATTAATACTATTACACAATGGTGAATGAATCTCCGGAGAATTTGCAAAATGTTAAGGTAAAAGACAATAACGCTTCACCAATTTGTATATATCTATGAATCATACAGAGTAAAGAGGTGCGTAATTTTTGTAAAAAGAAGGTAAAAGTAATGTCTTATGTTTAAAAAAAAACATTGTTTTAAAAATATGGAGTTATAACTTTTAAATGGCAAGATAACACACACACACGACTATATAACAAGGTAATAATAAACGATGAAACGGGATTGATTTGATATATTTAGTAATGCTCTATTTAAATTCTAAAGATAAATAATCGACAAGCTTAAAGCTTAGGCTGCTCTGAACTCTCCCTCCAATCCTCTTTGTGTAAAATCAATATTTCTAACAGGAGGGTAAGAGAAAGGGACGGGGCCGAGGGTGTCTGCGGACAGGAGAGGGTTGCGAGTCCGGCTACGCTATAGGTAAAGCCTGTTGCTGCTGCTACATTTCAAAGCTCGTCCTTGCGAGTATTTGATCGCGTTGTAGCCAATTGTAGCAGGTTGTAGTTGAAAACAGTTCGATTATCTGACCTTATATTTCAAGAATTAGAATAAGCATTAGTGATGTGCTGTGGACATCAATCCAGAGATTATGGATAGGCAGACTAATTGGACTCGTGGTCAGTTCTTTCATATGCTATTATTTCTTTTTATAATATTATAAACAATATATTTATATAGATGTTATAAGTCAGTATAATAATATTGACTTAGTGTTACATATGTAAATAATTAAAAATGATTATTTTATGTCATTCTATTTGTATTTCACAATACTTTAATATTAATAGAAATGTTTTCTTTAATAATTTTTTTAAAAACATGGAAACGTATACTTATAAGTGTACTTTCCCATTTGAAAGCTAATACTAGTTAATCCTTTTTACTTTATTAATAGGTATGAATGAAACGTCATCAACACCAATACCTGGACAAAACTGTGTCTCAAATTCATCAACGTCTTCAGTTTTAGACAAATTTCTAGTCATCGCTCCATCATTGGTTTCTGTAAATCAGGACCTCAAATGGATTTTTCTTTTACACACATATGGTTTTGCGTGTCTCTTTTTTATACTTGCATTTTACACATTTTTATCTATTCTACATTTAAGGTACATACAAAGCAAGCATGCTTGTGGAAGAAGTACAATACAGTTATGAAAATGTTGTGTTTCTTTTCCAGATCTCTTATATCCAGCCGGCCTTTTATGTCAACAATTAATATGTTCTTGTGTATACTTGGGGTTGCCAGAGCAATTTGCCTCTTTATAGATCCGTATAATCTTAAAGATATTATGCCAAAAATCATTGGATCAATAGTATGGGATATTGGATTCCCTTGTGTAACTTCTGCCTTTAGTCTTATACAGTTGGCTTTCCTTCAACTAACTCAGGTAATTTTAATGGCAGTGAAATTTGAGCAAAACGAAAAACAGACTCACCGTATAAATTAATAAAGTTTCAGCTTAAGTTTGGACCAGAAAACATACGAAAAGAGTCTTGTATAAGCTTGATCATAACAGGACACTTTTTTTTCGTGATTGCTAGTGACATAGCTCTTACTTCCCCGAATTTTTACGTGGTAAATTACGTAGTACAGACAGTGTTCCTTGTATGGAGTATTCTTTTATATTTAACATCCCTACATGCAGGATATAAAATAAATCATTTATTACAATCTGTGCCAAATAGTATGCTGTTGAGAGATAATTCCAATGCTCATCAGAAAGGTTTGTTTTTACAAGTAAACATTACTGTTTCATCTAAAAGTTGATAGGTTTCTAGACACTTAAAAACACTTGATACTCTTATAGGTATTATGCAACTGGCAATGTTAGCACCTTACAGTAATTTAGCATCATCTGTTGCTGCTGCCTTGGTACCTACCTTGCTCAATCCTAAAGTAAAGAATGTTGAAGAAACAGAATCGGCAACTTTTGTGATCGATTCGGAGAGAAATTGTAAAGGTAACGAATAAGGAAATCTGTAAATATACGTGAAACTGCTAAAATAATAAATTTCAACGTTACAGATCGATTTATGAAAATATCTAAAAAAGGAGAACAATTACAAAGGGAATGTGACAGATCTTGTAAAAGTGCATCGCGTCAAGCAGAGAAGCCAGTTCCTGTATCAACAGTACCGGAAGTATATGTTAGACCTCCGACACCTACGCCGTCAGCAGTTAATTTGCCTATAATAACCGTATCCAGTCCAAGCCGTAGAAGCTCTATGGGCAGTAGGCGGAGCAGTGATGCATCCAGATCATCTCGTAGAAATTCAGAGTGCAGCGTTAGATTCATAAACGATGAAGATGGTTTTACATCCGAGTATCGGCGAAACTCTGATTTTAGTCCTAAATATTCGGCTGACATTGATAGAAAGCGATCTCCGGATAGAATGTCCAGGAGACATTCTGAAAATGTTACACCTTTGGGAAGTATAAAAGATCTAAGGCGATGTTCTGATTTTTCACACGAGAAAAGCAGAAGTTCCCAGTTTGCAGCTAAACTGAAACGGAACAGTGATTTTGGAAACAGAACACCCAGAAGAATGCTGCCCCCGAACGAATACAAATTGCCCCGAGTGGTAGATTTAAGCCCTGCAGGTAAACACAATTTACACGTCGATTTAGAGATAATGTAAAATATAAATAATACACCGTACGAACAGTGCAGCTTACTTTTTTAATTGCTACCTAGGTTCAAGACGGAACTCAGATATTAGCGGCATTATTTCCAAAGCCGAATTACGGAGAAATTCAGATATTTCCTTTCGACGTAACTCTGAAATGATTCAAATTAAGCCATTAGATTTAAATCGTCGAAGCAGCGACATAAGTATCCGAACTTTAAGTAGAAGTCCTACACACGGTCGAACCATAGTTCCGGAAAAAATTGAGATACATGAAAAATCCGAATCAGATTCGGATCAGCCTGACTGCAGTGAGAAAGCAGCCTTGATGACAGAAAAGAATAAAGACAAGGAGGATGATGGAAAAGGACGGAAGAAAAATTTATCCTGGAAAAACGAGAAGGGGAAAGAAGATACTGAAGATATAACCGTTGAGACTAATCTGCTTCCTGAGAATACTGCGTCCGATACGAAGATTGCGGTATCTTTAGTTTTGTTGTTTTATTGATTTCAATACATATTTATGTTATTTATTGTACATTTGAATTGTTTGCTTTCAGAGTAGTGACTTCACACTACATTCGATATTGAATCACATTGCGTACGCAAATAGATCCATATCCGAAAGACCTCTACATATATTAGAAACAATCACCGCTGCAAGGAGAAGGTCACAAATCCGAAAAGTATTAAACGTTACGTATGCAACCGCAATTTTTGGAATCATTTTATGCGTTACAGACGTTGCACGTATTTTCGGCCCATATGGTAATTTAATTGTACAATGCAAAGCTACTTTTCGAATGTGCATGGTTCTGGTTATATTACTTTATGAAATAAGATATGTAAAATTTATAAATCTCAGTTTAATATATCAATGGCTACTTCGAGCATTAAATTATTACACGGGATATATCTTTGATTTATATTTTTTTAGGACTTTTAGCTGAGAGAGTGAAATATGGTACACAACCAACCAAGACTCAGTATCCAAAACCTTGGCTATGGTTTATGTACCAAACTCTATGCAGGACTATAGAACTGATAATGTGTTGGGCAATGGCATGTATTAGTAAACAACCATCGGTAAAGCGACACCAATACCTAAGTGGTTACCCTAATTATAACGTACACGTAAAACGAGGTAATAATCCTTATATATGAAGCAATATACTATTAAGCAGTGGATCAATCAATTGAAACGTCAAACTGAAGATTTTTTAAAGTTTATATTTTACTTGTGTTCCTACTCTAAAACCTGTAATAATATAATTGTGATATTCCTTCGACAGTATTAATATTTTTCTTACACGTTATAGTTAAATGAAAAAATGTCACTTTTCACGATTTCATCTGAAATAGAAGAGTTAGAAGCATCTCTTATTATCTTTATCGCGTAATGCATTACGGTAATTTATTTTTATTATTATAAACTGAAAATTATAAAAACTGTTATTCAACTGAATATAGCAATAGATAAATGTGTCGTTGGATAGAAGGTGTTCTAACAGCTCATAAATTTATATATGTATACATACATATGTATATCCATTAATATACATATACAGTTTTAAGGAAACTTTACACAAAAGATGTTCTAAAGAATATATTTTGATTGAAAAATATTACTATTCTTCGAATTAGATTAGTTTGAAAAATTATTATTTTAATAATATTTTAGGCTACTCACTTCTTTACCATATTCTTATAAAAAAATGTGTTGAAGATGAGAAATCTTTTCACTTTATAATAGTATTAGCAAATCTTTGAAAGGAAAAAATACTATTTCCTACTGAAAGAACCTAGAATCTGTATATAGAAACACAATGTAGTAATACACATAGATAAATCACTCATAAGTAAGAAATTTTTACTCTTCGTCTACTGCACCAATTGATAATTAGTAGTAATAATACCAGTTCAACATTGAAGTGCCCTACTATTAAATGTTCAACAAAAATCCTTTATAACTGATATAATGATAATCTACTTACAAATGCAAATTGTAACAGTGTTGTGATTCTATATGTGATACACAATTTAATTATTTAGAATAGGAGATCCTATCATGACTATGTAAGCATCAAATAAGAATGCATTACTTCATGGAACAAGAGACTGGCAAATGTGATGTATTTATTATTGCCAAGATACAGGATTCTGTTTTTTTTACGTGAGATTTATGTCATTTTTTTTCATACAATTGACGTCTTTTATACTTAAGAATTTGGACATAGAAACTCTTTACATGGTTCCTGCATAAGTAGAAACTTTTTGATAATTAAATTCCAGGATTCCTACCAGAACATCTTGAGACCATAGTGATTTTAAATAGAAAAAGATAGATATTATAATATTATTTTCATTTATAGAGTACCTTCTAAGACTGCGTTTGTTATTGGATTTTCGAAAAATATATATTTAAATAGCACGACATGAAATCAATCATAACTCGTAATTATGTACTAATATTTTTAGTAATGCTGTTCTATTTTATAATTTTCCATTATTTATCAAATTTATTTGGTATTACTAGGAAATGTAGAATTAAAAAAAAACTATTACATATTATGTTTACACAAGCATGAAGGGTCTCACTATCGTTTGTTTAAAACTACAATAACTATATATATATATATTAGTAATTAGTATATGATAATACATCATTAATGTTCAATGTGCCAAATACTTGTGTTACCTACATTAAATGTTTATAAAAATGTTTATAAAAATCAACCCATGTCAACTATATAATATTATATGCATATATATAAATGGATATTTATATACAAACTGAATGTACAATAACAAATGATATCATTTGGATTAAACTGATACATACTGTTCAAGATGGTGCATAATAAATCACTATTTTTATTGATAAAAATTATATTATTACAAGACCTGTACTATTCTCACGAAGTTCAGTGAAAATATTAAAGAATTGAAAGAACTCACGAAAGCGTATTATTCCTGTAAGAAAAATTCTCTAAAGAGTTTATCTAAGCAATTGAAACATCTATATTGAAATTACAATGTAGTCAAATAAGATTTCGATATATTTGTTTATGTTCGATAACATCATAATATATGTAAGTAATTGTTGGTTGATTAACAATAATATCAACCTAATATACAACTAAAAATAATCATTTTTCGACAAGCTTGTCTTTTTCACTTCATTTTGTAGAAAATTTATTTTCTAAACATTAATTTTAGTAGTGGCATCTACATATTAAATAATATCGCTATATAGTATTGTATAGACGTGTGTTTATTTTTCTCTCATCTTACAATATTGTCATGATACTTACTTAGCAAACGTACAATGGATACTGAAACTGAACAAATGTTAAAAGAAACAATCTGTAAACGATAAAAGTTCATAAATCAATGAATGTTTTTCTTGTCATGATTGTAATGATACTTCAAATTAGTACTGTATAAAGAACTCTACAATTAAATCTTCCAAATTAACAGAACCATCCATGTTCTCTTCCTGCTTCTTTGTTGAATTGCTTATTATTTTCTTACAATGCTGTTATAACAGAAAAAGCAATGTTGCCGTTAAGTTTTAATGAAAAAAATCTAGTTATCAATAATCTTGTTTCTGCTATTTTTTGATTTTACAATTTCAATACACTGGTACTTCAAAAATTATTTAAACAATTTGCATACATATATGTGTGTATATATTAAACAAGCAGCCACACTTTACAAATACGAACGCCCTGAAACATTCAATTAATTATATTTAACAACACCAATTTCCCCAATTATAGTATTATGTATGTCATTCACATTACACTGTACAGGATATACAATAATAATCTTATCCCTGATAATCAAAGTAATCTATTTCTGGTTCTAGTATTTTTGTGTTTAACTGTGTTTCTGGTTCTTTCTCGCGGGCAGTGATAATATTGTCCTAATAAGAGAAGAAAAAAATAAATAAGCATGAACATACATACAAAACATTTCATATTTCTGGAAAATAATAAAGCATATACGTCTGAAGTACTTACTTTACAGGCCCATCAACTTTTGAAGTATTCAGCATTGGACCAGGAACTTTCCTTTGACCGTTTTCTCGTTGTACAATTTCTAATAAACTATAGCTGGGTAACCAGCACTGCGACAAAATTATTTAGATAAGAAATAAAATAAATACAATACAGTTTGTTGCCACTAAAAATAAGCGTTACCTTGTCCTTTACTGCAGTAGCAACAATGTTTCTTTTAGGTTCCTTATCATATGCTTGGCTCTCACAGCCAAAATGCTCGCAGGATTCATGAACAAAATCACGTCTATCTTTTTTCATACAATCAAAGGAATAACTGCGTGACTTCTGTTTCGAAGTCTTTGCTAAGTGAACTAATTCTGTTAACTTTTCATGAACCATTTGACAAAAATGTGGATCTTTCTTAGCCCATTGTTTCATGGAATCGCTATATCTAGGCATTAATTTTCCACTCAGATCCGGATTCACAATTTGCAACCCTAATGCTAATTTTCTATTTCGTTCTATTAATTTACATTCGTCGTTACATTCTAGAGTTTTCAACTGATTCTGCTTCTTTGCACCTTGACCAAACACTTCTTCCAAATTAATTGAATGACCTAGTTGCATATCAGCCATTTTACTAGCTAGTATGCTACTTGCTATTCTCTGATATTCCTTAGTATTTTCCGCACAAACGCGAGACATCATCCTATGTCCACACTGACAGGTTACCTGAACACAACAATTAATTTTAAAAAGAGATGATACATTTAATGCAGTACAAATGTTGAAATCATTAACTTGGAAATTTTTTTTTACTAAAAACATGTAGTTCCATCGTTTACCTTCACCATTTCCTTGCATGGTACATCCGGACATTTACCGTCGTGACACGGGGCGGCGCAAATATGTCCGCACATTTCTCTTGAAATAGTGCATGGTTGAGTACATTGCTGTCCTGGTTTCTCACATGACCCAGGATGACAAATAGTGATACACTTATGTCGACCGCAAGAAATTGGTTTATTACATGGCAAACCGCATGATATTTCATTAACGTAACACGCCACGGCTTTTCGTAGTTCATGCTTTCCATGACACCACCTCTGAGTAAGGACAGTACAAGGGGGACAGATTGGTTCACTGTGACAATTATGGAGCACTTCGTGCCCACAGGAATGCTGTCGAGAACATGGCCTATCGCAAACAGGTCTCCTAGTACCACAAGGAACTGGAGGATATATCACAGCTGCTCCGCATTCACAGTATAATTCATCAAAGCTACTACGCCAACAAGGTTGACATCTTCCTATATTAACAAAACATTTCAAACATATATTATCATGTACAATTCAAACATACCATAACAATTTAAAATCAATTGATTATTACAGGATCATCCATTTCGCAATTTTATGTAATCGTTTTTATTACATTAAAATATAGTTCTACATTTTGCTTATATTTGGTATAATACCTTTATGACAAGTTTGTTCACATTTGTGTCTACCACAGCTTAAAGTTTTAGAACACATCATAGGACAAATATGCTCTACTTCTATGCAACATAGCTGATTACATTTATGCCTGCCACAAGATCTTCTTTTCGTACATCTTTTTTCACATCGGGCATCGTCAGCTTTCGATGTTAAATCTTTACAAGCTATTTCTCTGTCCATATTACCGCAACGACATTTAACATCTGTAGTCAAATCGCAAATAGGACAATCTCCTTCGTGACATTTTACCTTACATGTGTGTGGATTGTCTATGAAAATCATGTTCCATTATATTTTTTTATATTTCACGTAATGAATGCATTATTTCAATTTCAAAGTACTTACTAGGTTGACCACATTTCAGATTTTTAGAACATACTTTATCACAGCATGGAATTGGATCTGAACAAGTTTTTCTTTCTTCTGTCAGAAGTGTTTGTCCACAACAACAGGTTGTAACTTTCTCCGGTGTCAAAACACATGGTTCGCAAACATCTGGATGACACAGCTTTGTGCAAATGTGATTACCACAGTCTAATAGTTTACCACATACAGTTTCACAAGAGTATTCGCGCGGAACGCCATTCTGACAGATTACTTCTCTCTTGTTTTTGCCGCAATAACATTCTGAAAAGAAATTTATATTAGTCCTACATTTCTTACAATAACTGTAGTAGAGTTAAATACAAAATCATCAGTATCATATACTGAAATTTCATACTTTGCTCTATTGTTTTTTCACAATTTGAACATTCTCCGTGATGACACTGTTTTTCACATTTGTGTGCTCCGCAAAGTAAATCCTTATCGCATATAGATTCACACAACAGCAGCTTGTGGGTGCTACATTGCACTGTTTGTGATGTTTTTCCACAGCCGCAGTACCTTGTTACCATTGCCACGCATTGTGGACATGATCCAGGATGGCACAGAAGAGTACACTTGTGAGGACAATTATTTTTCGATAATGTTCTACCACAAACTTCTCCGCAAGAATGTGCAACATCTCTACGATTCCATTCGGGGGCTTTTGTCTTGCCACAGAAACAGAAATAGTCGTCAGGAATTGTTGAACTTACATTCTGACATGCTGGACATCTCCAACCATTATCTGAAAAGACACAATTACATTTTCAAGCCAATATAGTGTTATTACATTCATGATAGTTTTACTTACCTGCTTGCGAAGACTTGGCCCATTTTTTAACACACTTCAAATGTAAAACATGATGGCAATTAGAACATGACCAAATGTAATCATTTTGTCTGATGTTCTCGCAACACACTAAACATTCTAGTTGTCCCCTATTTAATTGTTCCGTCAGTCTTTCTCTTTGACTTGCATCATCATCTAAATTGAATAATAAAAAAATGGGTATAGCAAAAAAATATGAAACTTTACATAAAAACGGCACAATTAATTTTACTGAAAGTATGTACATACCAACCAGAGATTTTTTATTTTGTATTCGTTTTTGAATACCATTCTTTTCACTAATGTCCCTTTTATTCCTCCAATTTTCATTTCCCTTTTCTTTATCATCAAGTATATTATTTTTGCTTCTATCTCTCTCTTTGAAGGTTTCGATTTTATCTTGTTTGTTGCGTTCTTTATGCCCATCACGTCCTTGATAACTATATCCTTTCTCTTTTAATTCCTTTGTGCCAAGTTGAACTTCTTCGCTAGAACCTTGTCTAACTTCATTGTAATTCTTTTGGCTACACAATTGTTCTCTCCTTTCTAATTGTTTATCCTCTTTACTATGGTTCTCCCAAGTCTCATTCTGCCCTTGACAGTTGTATCTTTTCTCTCTGTAATTATATTCATCTCTGTTATGTCGAATGTTATATGGATATTTCCTTGTATTTTTATGGTATGCATACGATTGCTTTGATCCTGAATTATAATAAGTATATTCCTTGCTTTGATCGATAGATTGTTTTGTTCCATTAGACTGCACATTATTGTACTTGGCAACAGTATTTCTTCTCTCTCTGTTCTCATTTGCTAGTTTCCTATTCCAATACAAATTTGCATCCATAGTTGAACGTGGTTCTTCCTCATTTAAATTTACTGCAGATATTTCTTTATTGTCACTTGTATTATTACCGCTTATCGGACTTCTGCCTGATGCACGTACAGATATATCCTTTGTATCCATATGTGATTTATCAGAATAATGCTTACTAGTATAATATTTATTATCTTGAAACTTGTAAGAACTTCCACCTTGTTGATGATAAGAATGTTTGTATGCATTGTTTTTGTAAAAATAGTCTTGCTGTCCTTCTTTGGGCTTGTAAGTTAAATTCCTTCTATTATCACGTTTCTGTTCATACTTATTTGTGTTGTCCATAGAATACTTGTCAACTGTTGCTGCTGCTTCTTCCATGAATCTTGTGTCTCTCGGATAAGAATCCACATTATTAACACAAGAATCTGCATTTTGTAACTCCCTCTTCTTATTGGTTAATTTTGAATTATTTGGCACAAATTCTTGAGCAGTAACATGTAAATTTGACTCTTTTGTTGCATTGGTTGTAACTTCTTTTGTATGATTATGCTTATTCTTAGTTGTCTTTAGAACGTAATCATTAGTCCGATAATCAACTGCAGGTAGAAAACACTGTTGAGACTTAACATTTTTTGGAAAGTATTCTATACTAGTTGACATTTGAGAGTTGTCCACAGGATTAGTTAGATGTTCCTGATAACCATTACTTGTGGAAAGAACGTTGGGCATGACATTCGTGTCTGAATGATAGAAAGTATTGGGACAATTCTGCTGGAACGCAGCATCATTTTGTACACAAAATTCACGATTAGCTCGTGAATAATCGTTATTTACATTGTTAGAAAAGTACGTCCAGTTGCTTGCTGCAGGACCAGAAACATTCTGATCGGAGTATACGTAGTAGTGTTGATCGTCTGGTTCCGAATACGAACCATCCCAAGTGGCCATAATCTCTTCACCTCCACACTATCTCTGACAGCAACTTTCTACGTTTACGAAAATAACAGAAAGAAATAATTCTACTTGTTATTTTTGTGCCGTCTATTATACGATTGATATTAAATTGAATAATATATACATATGGTTACCTTGATTCTTGTGAAATAATAGGCGCCTTTCGGGATTATGTTAAACTGTGTTAAACTTAAACTGTTTACTTGTTAAACTTGAACGTGTGAAACACTTGTAAATTCCATAAATGTTACCGTAAAAAGATAAGCAACAATGTTGCTGGTGTTGCACAATGAGAAGAAATTATAAGTATATGTACGGAGATTTATCACTCGTGACTCAACGGGCGAAACTCAAAAAGTTGGCATCTGTTAATGTTAACGCGACCATAGTTCACGTTTGTGAATCGAATGATTGCAAACTTCTACGACAAAAATTTATTCAAAATCGTAAATTCGGACAAACAATTTGGTATTGTAAAGATACTGTTTAAAACCAACATAAAAGTGTAGTTTCACGCACTTTAAACAAACTACATATAATGTTAATGATCAATCGAATTCTCGATACAGAACTTTAAAGCTTATTAGATATCCAGTGTAAGCAAGTGTAAGAAGAGGAAACGATTACTTAATCTTCCCTACATCTAATAGATGGCACTTACTTACTTCCCTATGAAAAGGCGTCCAAAGCGTTTTACTCGTTTTACTCATGAATGTTCCTAACCTTTTATACGTGTTTACAACACCATACAGCACTCAGCACTGTAAATGACTGTAAACTATGATTGACGATTGTATATTAAAGAAAGATGTATAATGTTCCTTTTGCAAACTTTGCTAGTGAACGTATGTCGTGAAAATTGCACCGTTGGCGCTTCATTATAATACTTTTTGTACTATTTCTTGTAATGTAAGTATACGATAATGTATATAAATACGTTTAAAATGCATTTAATAAAGAAGAAGCGTTATTTTGTATGAACTTCCGTATATTTGGAAATGTTCTTATGCGAAAACCAACATTTTTAGTGAAGGAAATGTTATTTGTCATCCTGCAGTAGCATTTTAATTGAATATTTCAGTTATACTAAAATATGTCAACTGAAGAAGCAACTCGCAATACAACAATGCAGGCCACGGAGGAAAATAATCAGTCTGTAACCAGTACATCTCACAATGCAGGCAATAGCAGAGAACCAAATGCTGTCAGATCTCAAGAACAAAGTAGCAGACAAAATAATCTCCAAAGAATACAACAGCGAAAGCAACAAATGCTAAATTTGCCACAAATGAAGAAAATTCTAAAAATTGCAACTTACAGTGCATGTAAAGTAGAAGATTGCAAATGTATTGGTTGGAAGAACCCTCAGTTGTTAATTAAATCTCCTAAAACTGACTCGCAACAACCTATCATAAACTTTTTTGATCCTTGCAAGAGTTGCACACATGTTTTAGAAAATCATGTTTCTCACTTAACCAATCAGTCAGAAGAGGATATCAACAAATTATTATGTATGGTTATTGATGCTGACAATATTTTCTTAGGATTACAAAAAGAAGAAGATCCAGATACAAAGAAAGTCTACTTTTACCTGTATAAACTCTTAAGAAAATGTATACAGTCTATAACAAAACCAACAATAGAAGGTCCTTTGGGACAACCACCTTTTGAAAGACCTAGCATAGCAAAAGCAGTAATGAACTTTGTGGCATATAAATATGGACATCTGCCGCAAAGAGACATGCAAGCTATGTGTGATATGGCCAAGATGTTTTTGCACTGTTTGAATCATTGGAACTTTGATCCCCTCAGTGCTAGAAGAGGTACAATTAGCGTGGAGGATGCTCCTGCTTATAAAATTAATCATACACGTTGGCTGGTTTTCTGCCATATACCAGCATTCTGTGATTCCTTACCCCATTATGACACATCCTTAGTGTTCGGCAGAACATTTGTTCAAGCCATTTTCAAACCAGTTTCGAGACAGCTATTAGACAAGTGTCACAGTGAACGAGATAAACTGGCACCAGAAAAAAGAGTAATAGTTTTAACTCATTTCCCTAAGTACGTAGAAAGTTTCTTCTTTTCATTTCTTCTCTATTAATTTATTCTTTAATCAATGAAAAAATTATGTTTCAAGATTTCTTTCAATGTTGGAAGCAGAAATTTACTCTGACAATTCGCCAATCTGGGATCCTGATTTCAAACAAGTGCCTCCTACTTATTTGCAAACAGCATTAGAATCTAAAGCAAACCAAGGAAGAAGACCCGGTGAATTTGAAAAAGTTACAGTTACTCCGAACGATAAAGATAACTACACAACAATTAATATAAGCCCTGGTATGAAGAAAATCCATGAGAAAAGGTCACATTCCGAAGGACGTTCAGATGTAAAAAGAAGAAAAAACGAAGAAGTTTTCGAAGATTTACCAGAAGAAACAGTCGCCGAAATTGTGGCAACTATTAATGACCCTAATTACATGTGCGGACCTGATGCTGTCTTTCCACCGAACGTTCCACGAGATGAAACAGCTAAGATCGAAGAAAGTAGAAAAATTATTGAATTTCATGTTGTTGGAAACAGTTTGACACAACCAGTTTCAAAACAGACCATGCTTTGGTTAATTGGACTACATAATGTATTTAGTCATCAGTTGCCTAGAATGCCGAAAGAGTACATATCTCAACTGGTTTTCGATCCGTAAGTATGGCAGATATTAGAAAAATGTTCAGTACCGGTTCAATATAATTGAAACAGTGTTCTGTTTCTAGAAAGCATAAAACTCTAGCTCTGATAAAGGATGGTCGGCCAATTGGCGGTATCTGTTTCCGAATGTTTCCTACCCAAGGATTTACAGAAATAGTGTTTTGCGCTGTTACAAGTCAAGAACAAGTCAAAGGCTATGGTACACATTTAATGAACATGCTTAAAGATTATCATATAAAGAACAATATACTACATTTTCTCACATTTGCGGACGAATTCGCGATTGGATATTTCAAAAAGCAAGGCTTTAGTAAAGATATTAAGATACCGCGATCGATGCATCAAGGTTACATCAAGGACTACGAAGGTGCTACATTGATGCACTGTGAATTAAATGCTAAAATCGTGTATACCGAATTTACAGCTGTTATACGGAAACAAAAAGAGATTATTAAAAAGTTGATTCATCAAAGGCAACAAGAGATTCAGAAGGTTCATCCTGGTTTAACATGTTTCAAAGAAGGCGTTAGAGGAATTCCTGTCGAGTCTATTCCTGGTATTCGAGAAACTGGTTGGAAGAGTTACGCACAAACGAGGACAAGAGGGGTTGCTAAAGGGACTCAAGGACCAGAACCAATGGAAGCATGCTTAGATATTACTGATTCCTTATACAATGCTTTAAAAAACGTTTTGAACAGCGTAAAAAATCATAGTACGGCATGGCCATTTTTAAAACCTGTGGACAAGAACGATGTCCCAGATTATTACGATCATATTAAATATCCGATGGGTGAGCCTAATGTCTCTAAATGTTTTTGAAGTGTGATTACCTACAGAAAATCATATACAGAACTAAGGGATCCTTTTTATCATTTTGCAGACCTCAAAACCATGACTGACCGATTAAAAGCACGATATTACGTAACAAGAAGATTATTTATCGCAGATATGACACGAATTTTCACCAACTGTCGTTTGTATAATAGTCCGGACACGGAATATTACCGATGTGCTAACGCCTTGGAAAAATATTTCCAAACGAGAATGAAAGAGATCGGTCTTTGGGATAAGTAAATTGCATCATATAAATAGTAGATGCATCGATTGAAAGTTAATTGTTCTTCACTTGTGCATTTACTTGTAAATAAAGAATGTTAAGAACTGTAAATAAGGAAAAAAAAATACTTTTGCGTAAAAATGATAAAAGAGTAAAAGTATTTATTTATTTATTTAACTACATACGTATAATGTTTGCTTTTACATATAATTCTAGTTGAAAAAGTTGAATAGATCGAAACAATATTCAATACTTTAGAATATTTTGCACTCTAAAAAACTGTTGAAAATAGGATAGGATGCAGCAAATTAAGACTAAAGTAGGTACTTAATTTCACGGCCTAATTATAAGCGTTAGTCGAACAGTTAATTAAGAAATGTAATACACCGATTATAATGAGGCTTTTGCCCAGTGGTCATTCTTTGGAACAGTGAATTCTTAAAATGCGTTAATTCTGGGAGGCTTAGCTAGCCGAAACTTCTATTTTCTGCAAATATAAAAGCAATGTAATTTATAGAATTAAGTTCAAATAAATTTGAAACTGAAGCAAGCATTGATATGTTTTGTTTCGTACAAGTGATGTGTTTATTATAGTTTATAGGCTATAACTAATTAACTAACACATATGTATGTATGACTGTGTAACTAAAAATCGCTATACTTGCGATTAAAACAGTTCCGAAATTGTTAAAAGAAATACGTGTAAATTAATGGTTTTTAATTAATTTCCAAAAACCAATTACAGTTACTAAATTAACTATTAAAAAGTACGAGACTTAGAATACATAGTAAGAACTTTGTACATAAGATTTTATATAGCGAATAAAACATTTTGTTTTCTCACATCTATCTTCGTAATGCCTTGTAACGCTTTAAATTCTGTAACTTTAACAAATTCATTTGCGATCAGTGAACTCTTAAGAAACTGGCTTTCACTTTCTTTAATAAGCATGATTTTCTCGATCATAAATATCAGTGAAGACTATTAGGATGTGGCTTGCATCTACTTCTTTAGAGAATGCCGCGTGGAACCAAAGAGACATGGAAATAATTTACGCGCTCTACTTCATACAAACTCTGTGTATGTAATGATTACATATGTAATGATGAAACATTCTCTTAATTGGCATATATTAGAAACCAATTAAACTGTCTTATAAGGTATCCGTATTAGCTTCCGTAATAGCGGCGAAGTTAGCAGTACAGTTATATGAGTTTTATGAATTATATACAATAATTAATATAATTATAGTTGCCCAACTTTTAAGTGATTTTTCTGTGTGTTTGGGCTACGTTATTGCAATGTAACAAAATTAGTAAATACGAAAGTAATTTTTCTGTTTTAAAGATTCTTTTTTTTTTTTCAAATTTCTTGAAACATATAAAAAGTAAGAACAATACAACTGATATTCTGGATTAGTTTAAGTGGATTTAAGTTTACTGGGATGCAAGAAACTGTTTAAAGTATAAGCATGAATGTGTACCTACTGGCGTAGAATATAAGAGGGGGAGTCAATATAAAGCAGCACCATTCTTCCACTGGAACAATATTGGAGGAGTCAACACACTGTTAAGATAGTACAAAATCTAGTCACATAAAAACCATTATTTGTTGTTTTCAATAAATATACTAAAATTTATTTTTCTTACGCGCAAACGTAAACTAAATAAATACTTTTTACAATGTGTGACGACGATGTAGCAGCTTTAGTAGTTGATAATGGATCAGGAATGTGTAAAGCAGGATTTGCAGGGGATGATGCCCCACGTGCAGTGTTTCCTTCTATTGTTGGAAGACCACGATATCAGGTAAAATCAACTTTTTTTTTTATTCATACTATATACTTACTGTGGTAATCCGCAATGTTTATATTTTCAAACTGTCTGGGGAAATGTTTGAAAAATAAATCACAGATCTCGATGAAAACTGTTCAATTAAATGTTAAATAAAGTTAGCAAGTGAGCTAATGTTAAGAATAATATACAAATCGAAACTGTAACTTGCAAATTTTTGAGATCTGAAAAAGTGTTATATTCTTAAGTTATTCAATTTTCATATGTGATTGGTCTCATTAAAAATATCGAAAGGAGAACGAAATATATGTATCAAGTTTTAATGAGATTTTATTTAAAAGATACATACACACGGTATGCTATAATTCTAATAATGATTTTCAAAAATTGCTTAGGGAATCATGGTTGGTATGGGACAAAAAGACAGTTATGTGGGCGACGAAGCCCAAAGCAAACGGGGTGTTTTAACGGTAAAGTATCCAATTGAACATGGTATTGTAACGAACTGGGACGATATGGAAAAAATATGGCACCACACGTTTTACAACGAACTGAGGATCGCCCCCGAAGAACATCCTGTTCTTTTAACGGAGGCTCCTTTAAATCCAAAAGCGAATCGGGAAAAAATGACGCAAATTATGTTCGAGACATTTAATTCTCCAGCAATGTATGTCGCTATACAAGCGGTTTTGTCCCTTTACGCTTCAGGACGCACTACAGGCATCGTATTAGATAGCGGTGATGGAGTTTCGCATACGGTACCGATTTATGAGGGTATGCGTTACTTAATTCAATATCTGTTTATTTATTATTTCGATGACGCGATTCGAATCATTTGATTTTATTCAAGACTTGTGTTTAAATTATACATAATACGATTCTATACCATTATATCGCTCGAAATATTTGTATACATATAGTTTCCTTGAAGTTTAAAAAGATGCACGCATAAAGTAGCGAACAGAATTACATGGATCGAAGCTTTAAGAACGTTTCACTGGAACAGCACTTAACACGAAAGATAAATAATAAAATGTTTTTACTTCATTCAGGATATGCATTACCGCATGCAATTTTGCGTATGGACTTGGCTGGACGGGATTTAACTGATTACCTTATGAAGATTTTAACAGAAAGAGGGTATTCTTTCACGACGACTGCGGAATGCAGGAAATGGCTACAGCTGCTGGTTCAAGTGCTCTGGAAAAGAGTTATGAATTACCGGACGGTCAGGTATGAATCCAACTATGTAGTCGTTACTCTTTATGGGCATAAACACGGGAGTTATTAACAAAGAAAGTCGTAATTCATAGATGGCGAAGAAAAATTAATTTTTAAGAATTATTACCAACAGAAAAAACGGGTTAATTAATCGTTATAGGATGCGGGCAGGTCTTTATATTGATAATGCATTTATTCTTAGACTTTTTTTCTATGTGTCTTAAATGCTTCTGCTGATGGCTACAGAATTATTACAATAATATTCTAATGGTGTGAAATAAAATAATATCAAAGGAACATCGTCTGTAGGTGATTACCATCGGTAACGAACGTTTCCGATGTCCGGAAGCGATGTTCCAGCCAAGTTTCCTGGGCATGGAATCATGTGGAATACACGAAACAACATACAACTCCATCATGAAATGCGATGTTGATATTCGTAAGGATCTGTACGCGAATTCGGTGTTGTCGGGTGGTACCACTATGTATCCAGGTATAGCCGACCGGATGCAAAAGGAAATAACGGCACTGGCACCATCTACGATGAAGATTAAGATAATCGCGCCCCCGGAAAGGAAGTACTCGGTCTGGATCGGTGGCTCGATCTTAGCAAGCTTAAGCACGTTTCAGCAAATGTGGATCTCAAAGCAGGAATACGACGAATCGGGTCCGTCCATCGTGCATAGAAAGTGTTTCTAATACATATACTTTTCATTTTCGTTTTGACAAAGAAAAACCGTGTATTGTGATCGGATTTCACAAAAAATTTAGATACTTTGTACGAAATAATCTTATTTATTCAATATCTCTTATTCATATAATAGAGTATAATTCATATATTACATACAGAACGTTTCGTAAATTTGGCTGGATCTTACCTACTTCGTAACATTATTATGTAGTCATTAGATATATTATACTGTCAATCGGCGGTAATTGCCTTAATCGATTTAATTAATTCTCTGATGTTTCACTTGATACTGAACGCATGCGATACATCGCTATGCATTATATGTACACGCGTAAACACGTTAACAATATATGTATAAGTACGTATACACACATGCTCAGGAACGTTCATTGGAACCTTCATAGTGTTAACAAAACATGTTAAAAACAGTCATATTTTCTGCTGATCCACCAGTCACAAAACATCCTGTATACATAGTTATGATAATATATATATATATTATATATTACATAATTAAATAAATATATTGTACATATATTATGTTCGAAACCAATTAAGTTAGAATCATATACACATCTATTTATACTTGTCTACGTGTGTGATGTGAGCATACATGTCCACGTATACAGTCAGAGATATATGAATGTATATTCATATACATATGTATACAGATCCTGAAGATTATAATATATGTAAGCATTAAAAATCACACTGAAATTTGTGAAAATATTTAAAAAATATTCAAGCCGTTTTCATATTGACTGATATATTAATGAATGAATCAATCTATACACCTTAACATCTTGAAACAAAGTCGACTTATATGAAATTATGTTATAAACGGTGCAAATGCTACTTTTTCTTCATTATTGTTGTTTTATATTTTTTGCTGCACTTAAAAGAATTGAAACAAGAAGGTTTCATCAATGAATTAATTATACAAGATTAACATTGCCCCATACTAAGTTCTCAATGTTCATGTAAGATACAAAAGATATATATATATAATACACCTGTCTCTTTTTATGTAAAAAAGTGTTTGTTTAATATACAGTAGAGGGTGTTACACTCAATAATGGATTATGTTATATCTATGCCATAAAACAATTGATAATACAGAAAATTATTTCGCAAAAAAAAATTGACTGTTGTCAGACACGGCATACTCTTATGCACTTTTGTGCACCTGTGGATCTAAAAAGTGTATATACACGTTTTTTTATTAAACAGTCCTCTATATTTGTGAACCCATCATTCAATGTAGTTTTTCGTTTTCTATACAAAAAGTATTATGATACTTCTGTCCTAAACGTATTAATTTCAGGATTGTTAAGTTCGAGAAACTGCAACACTGAATAACGGACTCAAAAATATGGTGTACTATTCAAAGAAGGGATGTATGTATTTAAATATGTTCAATATTTCGGTGCACTAAAACGTATGAATACATAGTATAAGAATATGCAGTATCTCATGCTATTCAATTTTGCTACATGACATTTTTTCTCTTTACCTTCAATCGTTTCATAGATATATATGTATTATTTATATACATAACTTGTCCCAATTCCGCGGGAAACCGGGTACATATATTTCTCGATAGTACATATCGATATAAATAAAACAGAAACGAAAACTAAGGTTTAATTGGAAAGATGTTCCTTTATTTACAAATTATAATTACTATATTCACCGTGTCTCAATATCGAGCCTTTCGGTTCATGAAATTCTGATACTTCTCATGGACGGTTGAATCGAGTACCTAGTCAGTTGTCACGTAGTATAAAACAAAGTAATACAATAACTAAATGTACACGGATAATAGAGATTAGTACCTATATCGAAATATGTTTAAAGAATCTGAATTAAATGCATTGGTAAAATTTACAAAAGATATGAAAGACATTACATCTTGAATGTTTGTAATTCCTAAAAATGTTTGATACTCCCTGTACAAAAAAGTGTTGAATAAACCATAAAGTTCGTAAACGTTTTGATCATATAGTTAAAAATTTGCAAGTTACAAAAAAGTCATACGTTTCCTTAAAGAAGTATGTAATTGCGTAGTAAATGGTGTTACGTTGAATAGAAAGGAATTACAAAAGTTTATTTAACTTCCATCTGCCGCACTTTCTTAGCTGGACGTCGTAACCCCTTTCCTTTATAATATTTAACATAAAAGAATAAAATTACAACTAATGTATAATCTCCTATATAATTGGTTTATGATGTCCACATGGCCACCATATGTAAGTTGTATCGTTTACATTACTCGTTACTTATTTATCGAAAGCTATGTGTTCCCTTAACTGTAATGCTTATCTGTACCACATTCAAACCATTGTATTTAGCCAAATTTATTACAACAGCGCTGAGCTGAACTCGTATTCTGAACCTAATAATATTTAAAATCCAAGTTAAAAAAATACATAGCGTTTCAAGTTACCAGTTACAATTATGACAATCTAAAATTTCTAAAATATCATCATGTATATGTATGTATATATGTATATTGTATATAGTATATAGAATGTTTGATGAGCTTATTCCAGCTTTATTCATCAAATTTCGCACGCGCGTTCAGTAGGTCATTCTGAATAAAAAATGTTTTTTTCGTTAATCAATTACATCAAAAATAATATATTGAGCATACTTACGGGAAAACAATAATTCCGACGTATTTACTTTATTTACAACATACATTACTTACAATGTACAGTTTGCTTTACCTAATCCGTTTTTCTCAGAATTCTAAAGACACTTTGGAAAGTAAGTAGTATTTTAAAGAACGGTACGATCAGAATACCGTTGCCGATACTCAGTGAAGTACCACAACTCTTCTATTCCCGCTGCAGAAACCGCATATGGTACTTGTTCAGAATGATTTGCTAAACGCCTGGGTGAAGTTTAATGAATACCTCACCGAACACCCTATATAACATTTTACTAATAAATCGTTTCTTCATTTTTATATTATCTCTGGATTATCGTCTTGTTCCTAATAAACAAATACACATAATTTGCACTTGACCATTGCTTAATAATCTGAAAATTTGAAATACAAACATAGTGTTTTTGCAGTTCCGGAATATATTTCTGGAAAGTTCTTTCGATGCATCTTTAACATTTTAGGAAGACAATGGTTATGTTCATGAATGTTTTTAAACCTACCATAGATAATTACACAGTTTACGTTTATTATACTACAAAAATGGTCCACAGAGGGTGCAACATAGCTGAGATAATTTACCGGATGGACGCATGAGATACTTATTGGAATAAATCGCAATGTAAACATTATAGACACTTCAAAACCATATTGGATCAAATTTACTTTCATATACACTGTATTTCTACGAAGACCAATTTTATACAAACTCGAAATTTCTTAACTTCAAACTTTACCCTAAGATCATTTGATATTAAATAACATTAAAACGAATTTGATCCAGTATAGTTTTGCAACTTTTTAGAATTTACCCTATAAACTACATATTTTCACCGTTCCAAGAGTATTCTAGTCCTTAATAATAAATATGTAATACAATAAATACATGTGTACCATCGGTACTTTTTGATAGTAGTTATGAGACAATTCCATAGGTACGAATTTTTTCTTCAGTATCAATCCGAGGCCAAAGAAAGAAAAGGGGCTACGAAGAATCGGAGATAGATTGTATTGTTCGCTTGCATACAATATCGTCATTGCAGCAGATATTTTCAGATTTACATCTGCAGCATACCTATTTGTATTTTCAATTAAAGTTAAATTTTATACAATTGTTTCCGAAAACATACGTTTAACCTGAACGTTCAAGTTAATTATTATAATTTGTACCATTTCGAATGAAATTTCAGACATAAATAATAAATACTAATTAAAATCAAATAAATGAATAACGTTTTTATCAAATTGCGACAATACACACAGTTGTATGAATAAAATGATTCCCACTGATTCTAACAAATTGCAAAATCAGTATATTTTGATAAATTTCAACAGTGAATAAACACGTTATCGGCGAGTATGTAGAAAGTAAAAAAAAGGCTGTAGGTACTCCTATCAGTTACAGACATCTTTCCTGAATTATATTTTAAAAAAGGTAATAAAAATATCTTTGGTGCCCCTATTTCACGTAGAATATGTATACGATGTTAGAAAAGAGGAAAACGGAAGTATAAGGGAGCAAGTCTATAAGAAAGATTAAAAATTATATGACAAAGGTAGTCGTGTCCGGTGTCGTAAAAGTTTATCTCCTAGTAGATTTTCTTCTACCTGTCGATCGTTTTGGCCGTCTACTAGTTGATCGTGGCATGTTTGACCAAGGTAAAGAAAATTCGCTGTAATCATAAAGTTAATAATGACGGATATGTATCGCTATTAATACAAATCTTTATTATTTCTATTTACCTCGGAGAAAAACTAGGAATAGGAGCACCAAATGCAGTAACAGGTAACTGAGAATCCACTTGAAGACTCTGTATTTGTTCTATATCAGGCCATAATGATGACATAGCTTCTTCTTCAACAGCAGAAGGGCAGGGTCCTGTATGATTTGTATTGTAACATGTTGCTTGATGATTCTGACGTTCTTGTCTTTGCTTCAATTTTTCGATATGCCTTTGCTCTCTATAAAGAAAAATGTTTAAAATATTAAATTTTATATCAGAAATCATAAATAAATAAATAAATAAATAAATAAATAAATAAATAATTAAATACACACATTTTTTTAATAACAATACGAACCTTATCCTTTGTACATCCCATCTTTTTCTCCTTCGTTCATCGTTTTCCAATTTTAAATGCCTCTTATTAAAAATTTCGTCATCTAAATTTTCAGTCCCTTCCATTGTGTAGCAGCTCGTATATATTTTCACTCTCCAATTTGGAACTTCTAAAGAGGTATCACTTTCCATTGGACTAGGTTCTTTTAAACTTAACGTATAATTAAGATCTCCAACAGCTGTATAATAATGTTCTTCCGTTGTAAGGAAAGATTCTTTTTTTGCCAATAGCTTGCTCTTCCTGTCTCCTTTCCTGCTGGTCTCGTGAGTTAACACCTTATCTTGCACTGTTGAAGATGTGTCATTGCTGACTGTGGATGAACATGAAACACCTCTTTTTCTTTTACTCCCACTAGATAATGGTATCGGGTCTGATCTCCTCTTTTTTTTCTCTTCCCATTCTAATCTAATATCACCACCACTTTCTATTTTTGTTTCAAATTTTCCTTGATTATCGTTTGGTTCTTGTTTAACAGTAGTAATTCCACCACTAGTATTCAAACGTATTTTAAAGCTTTCACTGTACTGAGAATTATTGTTCTCTGTCTGAATGTTCCTATGAATTTCACTGGTCGATGGCACATTCACAGAATTGATGCTGGGAGGAGAACATGCTCCAATGTGCTCAGATGTAATAGAATTTTCAGTGTTTTCCGACCTCAGTTTTTGTAAGTTCACACGTCTGTCCATACGCTCTAAACGTAGTTTAAGCTGTAACATAAATATTTGTTTATTAATAAAACCAAGTAGAACTTTGCAGGCATTACAAATTACATTGTCCTTATTTGTAAATAAACAAAAAAGAATAGAAAATATAGTATTATATTTAATTCTGTCTAAGAAACAAACATTACACACTGCAAGATCACAGTTTACTATTGAAACATGATGAATGATTAAAGCTGCTATTCTATCGTATTTCTCCGAAAATATAATAACTACATCTAACGCAGTAAGATTGCAGAAAAATATGACGGGCTAAATTCAATCTCATATTTTACGCAACATAAGTGTTTAATGATAAACAATCGCAGAAATGATGTTGTATTCGACTGAACATCTTTATTTACTGTCAACAAACGACAAGTCGGTCGCATTGCGGTTTCTTTTCGAATTCCAGGCATTATTGTCTCCATAAATTATCACACATATACATAGTATCGTGAAGCAATAGCGATAACAATATCGATTAAATTATTTAAAATTCAATTCTTTCACAATGTCCATTCTTTCAAAGACTCTTCCATTTTCCGTTGTGAAGGTGCCGTCATTGCCAAAGAAGATTGCGCGCGAGAATCGAACAAAACGTGTAACGTGCTCCGCGCATTTCGTAGGTATAATTCTATTCGAACAGCGCCATCCCGTGGCAACGTCGTGGCTGACCTTCACGACTGGCTGACCAATGACTGAAACAGGTCCAAGAACCGGGAAAACGGAACAGAGGGAAGGAAGGAGAGAAATATTGACATACGAACCAGGCTTAAACGCGGGTATTTTGGAATATATGTACACTTCGACAAACGAATTTTCAATGAGATGCCTACGAAACCCGAACATAAAAAGGACTATAGTTTGTATAAGGAAGAAATAGAAAGTGATAGTAAGAAACGAAACGAAACGAAAAGAAAAGAAAATAACAGAAAATAACAGAAAAGAATAAAATAGTATAGAATAGAATAGTATAGGATAGGATACGATAGGGTAGGATAGGGTAGAATAAAATAGAATAGAATAGAATAGGATAGAATAGAATAGAAAAGGGAGTACCGTTTCATTCTCTTGTCGAAGTGCGGCTAACAGTTTATCCTTGGTAACGATTTGTTCAGACTGTTGTTGGATTAAATCGAGATGAAGAAGCAACAGTTCCTTCAGGTGTTTCACCTCCGTTAAATCATTCTGACGCGGTTCGTTACCTCGAAGAGGACTGACACCGAGGGCAGAGGTGGCAGTGGCAGCTGCCGGAGCTCCACCGTCTGTCATACTGGCATACATGTGATCGAAATCACAGGGGAAACTGAGTATTCCGGCAGCTGATTTACCGTTTTCGTCAACATTTTGAAATTCATTGCGGGAACAACTATTATTCTGGTTGACAACGGAATTAGCAGTGGTGCTGGTCGCCGACACCGTGTTACTCCGGACGCCGCTGGTGGCCGACGTGGTGGACAAGTGTTCGTTCATAGCCGCAACCATGTTGTCGTCGTTCTCCTCGTTATCCTCTTCTTCGTCTCCCTCGTAACAAGAAGTTGCTGCAGAAGCAGCAGTAGCTGTTTGATCGTCGTGCTCGATGATTGTGGAGATGGTAGTGGTGATATCAGTAGCGTTGGTAGTGGTACTGGTGGTGAGATTGACGATCGGCGTCTCGATGCACGTCTCCGAGTACGGGTCCTGAAATTCCGTTTCACTCAAGTCCGTTCCGTCGTTTGTCCCCCTCTGATCTCGTATTTCCTCGAGATTCTCCGGTGTCTTGAAATCGGAGTTTACGTCGTGGTACTCCACGCTGCCGACGACGCCCCCGGCGGTCAAGCCGGTAACACAGACACCGCTATTACTACCGCTGTCACCGTCACCACAACTACCAGCGGAACAACCACTGTCACCATTATCACTGCTACTACCACTACCACTGCCGGCGTTACTAGTGATACTAGAAGCAGTAGTACCAGTGCCAGCAGCGACAACAGTAGTAGTAGCGTTACTAGTATCACCAGCGAGTACAACTATGGAAGAGCCAGTGCTGCCAGCAGCGCCGTTCTCGTTCTCCTTCCTATTCCCGTACTTGTACTGTTGAATGTTCTCCTTCTTGTTCTCACCGTTCACGAGCGTCGAGGCCGAGCCACTCGACATCTTCCCTCTCTACCACCCTCGTCGTGGCTTCCCTCTTCTTCATTTGTGGCCGCCTCGAGCGTACCACGCGCCCGCACCGCGCACATTAAGCGTCTTGACAATGCCCTCACCGACGATGCCCTCTTCTCACCGCTGCTCTATGTATCCATCACGCACCATTACTTTTCGCTCATCCTTTAGTTCTCGCCCAATTGGTGTCACTTCACAAACACTTCGATTCGGAGGATCACCTTTTCCCTGTCTTTTCCTATCTAAACACTCGTCAAAAAGTACCTGCCACTGGCAGCGCACGAGGTATACCTCTCGCCCGAGTTCGTGCTTGTGTTTACTCTGACGGACGATGCGAGCCGCGCACAGCGTTTCTCTGCCTCCTGGCATCGTAGATTCCTCACATCTCGCGGTGCCAACTGCAAACCTTCTTGTTTTATCATAGACGAGGTATAAAGATAGACCTACCATCTTACGGGACTTCGTAGCCCTATGAAACTGTAATATCGACACTTTGAAGGTTGTGACTTTAGCGCTCTCTACGTTGTGAAAATGTACATACGGTAAACATTCGGTTATTGCATATTTTGGGGGATGCAGTGTAGAGGGCCAGATTCCAGAAATTGTGAATAAACGACCAAAGAATTTGGTGAATGCATTGTAAAATGACTGATATAGAATGTGTCACCTAAAATGTGATTGTTATAAATATTACATTGTCAAAAATATTTAATTTATTGTGAAATAATTTAGAGTAAGCCAAATATTTTATGCTTAAAATTATAACAGTTATTGTCAAGGGCAGAAACAATCAAACGTCGATCGATAAATTCTCACTTTTGACAAATTTTTACGAATTTGTCGCATAAAACTCTACCCAGACACATTTATATTACATAATATTTAGTTAACAATCACCATAAACATTAAGACATAATCGTTGTTTAATAGTTTGCAATAAAGTAAAATGGTATTATCTTCGGTAAAGTATTGTAAATTGAAGGTAATACCGAGATAATGATTTGTTCTCGCAGGTCTCTATAGTACGCATGGATACTCGGAATGGATAAAGTAATTGCAGTACATGTATATGAACTAAACATTTACGAACGGAACAATTTCGGTGATGTATGTGTATACATAAGTGGATACTCGTGGCGCATAGACACAACAATGGTACATACATACAGATGCATGGTGTGTGGGTGGTCTGATTCTCGCAGGGACGAACGTGGTTGTAGCGTGCATGAGTCGAGCGGTAAACTAAACGTGCTTCGGTTGTCGAGATGGTCGAGATATGCAAATTGATAGAAATATGAGATAAGGATCTGAAACCTCAATATATCAGTACGAAGAAAAGCTCTTTACATTATATACTCTGCGAGGACTATATGTATGAGCGAATTCGTGCACAAGGACATTCACCCTCTCCACTTAACAATCCCATAAGACGTTTTTGATAAGTCCTTGTGAACTTTAGCGAGTTGGTAGGTTTAATGTTGTGCAACGGTTCATATTGGATATTCCAGAAAGTTTTAGAAAAAACTATTGCAGTACAATGTATCACAAGCACAAGACATCGTATGTCACTACTTCGGTTACGAGGTAAAGCGGGTCTTTCGACTTAGGGTGGATAGTGGATATGGCACTGACGGTCATCGACCGAGCTGAAATTCAGCATTCAGCTAGGCAACAAGCCCTAGAACCCCACGCGTCAGACGTATTTCACCCATATTTTCGACAATTAATAACTCCAATTCGAATATCTAATTTAAGATACAAATAAAAGTGCCAAAGAATTAAAAACTATGTATTACAATATTGTAACAATCAGAAGAGCTAAGTAAGATGTTCTAATAGATTATTTGGAATCCACATTGCCAATTATTATGTGATAATTTTAGAAAATTTTCGATAATGTCGGAATGCGTCATTGAGAACTATTTATTTCTCAATATTTATTTTCGTATATGTGCGCGCGCATTCGATACTGCAAATTTAATGAACAATACAAAATTATACGTATGAAACATATAGTTTTTTTAGCTAACAAGTAATAGGACAAGATGAACTTGTGTTAATATTTCAGTGAAGAGTAATCTTACATGTTACATACCCAGGAATAGTTGACCAGTTTCATCGAGACCGATGAATTATATAAATTTCCGGTGTGTCGTAGTCAATAATGTTACATAAAACGTCTACATATTTTGATAATTTGTATATTGGCATCAAAAGTCGTAGTCTATAATGCGTTACACATTCTCGTAATGTTCTATGAGAAAATTGTGACGCCGATGAATTATGTGAAAATGTTTTAAATAATTGTAATAATGACCGTGAACGATGAACACCTAATATGCTACATACTAACAGTAATAGAAATGAGAAAGTTTGAGCGTACGAGTTTTATGAGATATTCCTTTGTATCTTATAGATATGTATGTATAATAGATCTGTCACAGAAAGAAAAACTTGATACAGATATTGCGTATAAAAGAACAAGCTAACACTAAATGCTATTATCGTACCGCGACAAACTTAAGAATATAATCGATGAATAGCCATTCCAAATATAATTACAAGTATTTTGTTATGTTCTACTCAATTCGCCAGAAAATCAGTGCCTCTGCGACATAAAACAATACGTGCAACAATCTTTGATTACATAAGTTTTGTTTTATAATATTAAAGTTGAACATGTGCAGAGAGTTCGATGCCGATTAAAAAATTTATTTAACAAATGTCAAAAACAAAACTGACAGACATTAGCGAAAAAGTGCCACTTTTCCATGAATATTTGTTCGTCAACGTTCATCCGTGATACTTTATCGTTCAACTGACGTCGTCTATGAATAGCATCCGAACTCTACAGATTTACGATTCGCAACCGAATCCATACTTTTCAAATACTCTATAAACGGTGAAGTAAGATTGTTATTATTTACCGAGCCTTGGGCTTAAATAATGAAACAAAATTTACGAAATCAACGAAATAGTTGTTGGGTACATTTGGTAAACAAAAACATTCATTACGGCACATGATATTATTATGTCTGTTCCGTGTCATTTGCAATAGCGTACGCGTACGAGTGTACCTCATAGCTACAGCTACTACGAAGTTAGTAATCGTGTATGCATTAACAAATACGAAATTATCATTTTCTCGAATTACTGACTTTAACCACATCACCGATTTGATCACAGTTCTTGGAATAATATTATATAAAAATGTCCCGAATATTATTCGCGAATTATTTTTATAAGTCTGATCCAAAACATATAATAATATAATGTTGCTAATTATTTTTCCGAATAACAATTTTTGTAAAAGCTAAATTACATATTGTAGGGTTGAATTTGCTAGTTTTTAAATCGCACCGTAAGAGTTTCTATGCTTCCGAATATCTCAGTATGCAGAAACGGTAACAGTTTAAGAAATTATATGGTATTTTATACAAGTGGCACACCGTCAAGAACATGTCTTTCTATTAATTCGGTATTAAAAGTCTACCTATATTTGAGTATTATTCGGATCCAAGGATGTACACATGCTAAATAAAAATTTGCATCGTCGATTCGTAGTTAACGACATGACAACGCACTCTTTTCCTAAACTATGCATACAATATTTTAACACGGCCGCGAGTTCCCGTTTACATGACATTCATTAAATACCTAATAAATATAATAACAACGGTTTACAGTATTTAAACATTAACTAATTACATGCATACATAAATATAATTATTTGCTATGCCGTATGATGCTACTTTACGTATATTTCTATGTACAATTGCTATATGTAGTGCTTTTCATTTTTCCATTTCGATAAAATTTCTCTCCTAATACACATACTAAAGTATGTTCGTGTAAATTTGTACATGCAACAAAGAAAACTAAAAACTTTTCGTTGAAAATGTTTGTTTTAAAATAGTGAAGTTCTTAGAATGAATCTCACGAGCTCTACCAAATTTCCTGTTATAAGTATGTGTTCGTTTTTTTGCATAAGGATAACATTGTATTTGAAAAAATGTTTTGAACAGAAATCTAGGCCAATTTACCCAACTTTTGGCAGCAGATAAAAGTGCAGTTACGAGAAACTAAACTTTTATTAAGAAGAACACTTTTAATTGCGGGAAATACGTAACGGTTTTAGAAAAAAACAGTACGTTACGGTGGAAATTCTTGGATGTTACTGCAATGCAAAAAAATCGTATTCTTATGACTAGAGTTATAATGTTTAGTATCAACACAGTTAAATAATATCGTTCCCTAACTATTTTTCAAGTGAAGTTGTGTCATAGCAAATGTAACATAAAATTACTATCGGTTCATTTCCTAGCGTAATTACGCATACAAGCTGAAATATTTTCTCCCACATTTGTTTTTCGGTGTGTTAAATATTTTCGTATTCAAAGTATATTTCATATGTCTGTACAAAGTTGAGCTGTATATTATCTTCTAAACCTAAAGGGTTGCGATCTAGAATGTGTGATTCAAAACTGGACAATGCAAATAAAAAATGTTAAAAGGAACAAGTAAATCTGTTACACTAAACGAATAGCAGTGCGCAACATTGAGTCTGTCGTTTGTAACCTGATATTTTCCATTTGGTACGATAAGTTTACTGTGCCAGTAGTAATAGGAACTAGATTTAACTTTACTTAAAAATCAAACTTCTTGAAAAACATACGCGTGACTCGACAGTTATCTACGACGACATTAGCAACTTGTAGACTGCTTCCATGGCGTAATTGCGTTGATTCGTTCGATTCGTCAAAAGATAAAAATATACAAACTTTTCTAACGTTTCCTCTAAAAATATTTAATACTTTGATTTTGTTGCTAAAACATTCAATGTAGTCAAGTCACGGGGGTTCTTCAAAGAAATTCACATCTGCGCTCGATTCATTCGTCTACGGAAACGTTCCATTAAAAAATAGTTATATAATTGAAATTCTTCTGCGCAACGACAACGCGCGCGAACAAACTCTTACTGGTAGGATCTTTGTCGGAACATGCTACTGATCTCTTCCATCGTTTTGTTCTTCGTTTCGGGCACTTTCTTGTAAATAAAGACGACGAAAAACGCTTGTAGCACGGCGAAAATAATGAATACGTAAGCACCTAATGACTCTTGCAACGGTAGGAATCCGATACTGACGATGAAATTCGCTGTCCAGTTGACCGCGATAGCAACAGACGTGGCCGCCGGTCTTGCAGACTGATTAAAGAGTTCAGACACCAAGAACCAAGGAATACTTCCTGGTCCAGTCGCAAACAGGACTACAAACATGATTACCAATATGATCGACATGTAAGCTGCTGCGCGAGACGAATCCTGGAAAAAAATACACCAGTAATATTACACCCCTCGGTATAGTATAGTATATTGGAAAAAAGAATGAAATTGATCGAAACAATGCTTCCGCGTTTCCGTTTCCGTTTCCATTTCTGTTTCCTCGGCTAGTCTCTGACACCTATATTCTTATCTTTGTATGCGTATGCGATAGACGGTAGACGGTATAGACGCCAGTTTAGGAGAAGTATACTTACAGCGAAAGCGAGACAAACCGCGAGTAAAGCGGTATCTATAAACATTCCGGTGAAGCCAATTAGTAGCAGTGTTTTCCTTCCAGCCTTTTCGACGAGAATCAAAGAAATGAATGTCATGAGAACGTTCATCGCCCCGACACCCATCGTTGCGTTTTGTGCCGAGTTCTTATCCAGCTGCGCCATAGTGAAGATTTTTGTTGAGAAGAACATAACGGCGTTTATGCCAGACAGTTGCTGCGCAAACATCACCATAATCGCAATTATCAGTGGAATCCTAAGAGCAGAATTTACGAACAGTTCTTTCAGCGTGACCTTTGGCACCATCTTTACTGATTCATATTCCGCTCTCATTTCCTCCATCTCATCGTGAACTTCGATCGTGCCCCGCAGCCAAGACAAAGCTGCAACAATAGACAAAAGTTTCGTTATCGATAAATGTTTCGCTCCAATAATACAGTAAATGTTTATATGCTTCTTTTGATTAATTGGACATCATCACCGGACGCAACGTTTGCGAGACATGTTTATGATGTACTCAAGTTACCAGTCTTCACGTATCAAGATCAAGATACATTCACTGGCTACCGTTTAAGCAGAGAGCAATCATTAATAAGCCATTCAAGACGTACCTTTTTGAGCCTCCATGTCCTTTCCTCTGCCCAGTAACAAGTATTTCGGACTCTCGGGGCACATTGGAAGCGTAATTACTTGGAAGATTGCGGGAACGATCGTCAAGCATAAAAGAAGCGGCCACTGATCAGCCGTACCCAAAACTTGTTCCAGACCAAGGATCTGCGACACCAGAATAGACATGGTGATAACCAATTGATAAACGGTGCCAACAGCTCCTCGCAGATGAATAGGCGATATCTCGGCTAAATACATGGGTGCTAGTCCAGCGTTCAATCCAGCGTTGATACCGATTAGGAATCTTCCAATGATTATCATCTCGTAGCTCTTCGCTGCCTTGGCGCAACCCTCGAAAATGACTGTGAGGAGGACCAGGATGTTGTTCAGTAACAGACCACCCTTTCTACCGAAACGATCGGCTATCGAACCCACCAGAGAACCGCCGATCATCCCACCAACGCAGAATATCGACACTGCTATCGACCATATCATCGTTACTTCCGACTGTTTCGTTGGCACACCGGTACGATTCATTTTCAAGTTACTGATCCAGTTCTCGATAAGCTACAACATACCACAAACGTTAAACAATACTACCATCGTTGTATTTTTCGCAATAATTAAACGACATTCGGTGGATGATCGTATGGAAACTAATTAACGCGGGAGATTTAACTGAAAGATTATTGTGGCGTATCATATACACATTAGCAAAACAATCGTCACTGCCAACGTCAATGAAACGAACTTCCATGTTCACAAAGTTGTTCGGTGATATTTGAAAAAAGCGATTTACGTAGCAGCGGTTGAAATCGATTTAATGACATGCAAAAATTAACGATACCTCACGAATAAGGGTTACATAAGCGAACTTGTAATTAACAGTACTGCGCGTATGCTTATACAATGTATACGATGCATGTATTGGGTCACGAACTGATTTAAACTACACATACGCGCGATGCTGCATAAGTACGAACAACAACGTAAATACAATGATTAGCCGTTGTTACGAATAAGAGCAAGTAATTGTCATAAACTTTTAAAGATTACGTATACTAAGTATATCGAGACAAGGAAACGAGCTTCGATCGATAATTAAGATAGCGAATAAACGTGTCGCATACGTCGACGAGAATCGTGATTAGCAAGTTTGAGAAAAGTGCTGACAATGTGTATTATCTTGCGAAATATATACCTCCTGAGGTGCATTAACGACACCAGTGTTATACCCATGTTGGAAGGATGATCCAAGCGCAGCAGCCGCAATAGCAAACGCTAACCGTCCGTTTAGACCCTGTAATCAACATAATTCATCCTCATTAACGTCCATCTTTATTCACCGGAAGTCGTAGGACTTGGATGCCAAAATAAAAACACTTCTTTACGATCGTTCAAACGACACGCGTTACTTTTTTTTTCCACGGGTAAAATTTCTGTATTTACTAACGGTCGTCCGATCGAAACGTTCAGTTTTTTTCCATTCTGAATATTCGTGCGATAGAAAATTAAATGATAAAAGTGTACACCTAGATACAGATAAAAATCGAACAGTTAATCCTTTGGATTGAATCGTCGCGCGCGAATAATATATTTTCCTATATTTTTATTCACACAGAGCAGTGATGAGCAGTCTTTTTTTGTAGCGGACCAAAATTAAAACCTCAATAATCTGTATGGGCTACTACAACCGTAACATTAACAAACCTAATTTGTTAATTTAAAAATTCACCATTTACTTTAGTTTGCACCAAATTTCTTTTCACTTTAGCGGATCGAACTGGGTCGCACAAAGAACATCGACGGACCGCAACTAAATAATTACCACGCTGTGAATTGCTCATCACTGGTATAGAGGATCAGTAATTTTTAATAGGACGATGTAGACACTTATCTTTTATCTCATTCATGGTAAACAGTAATCCGTGTGTGTCTTACCGTTCTCTCAAAATAAGGTACGTCCAACTCAATTGTCTTTAGTGTCATCGAAAGCCTAAAACTGATTCACTGCTTCGAGTAGGAGCGCATCCGACAAATGACTAAAACGAATTCGATTCTAACGTTTCTGCAAAATATCGGTAACCCCGGTGCTTTCGCACACGTGTCAAACACTAGTCTGCGGGTCGGTACCCCCGCCACGCATTTTTATATCGTTCCTGCCCACGGCATATACACAAGCATGCTAGTCGCACGATACGACACGATACAACACGGACACACAGCCATGCTGCAAGGAAGCCCACCACAGGCCAGTGTTTCTCAAGTTGTCAGTTTACAGTTTCGTTCGTTTTATTAAAAATTCAACAAAACGCGCGATCCCCACTCTTGCGAGCGTTTTTAGTCAATTCTTACTATCTTCGAATGACGTTAATTGTTGTTTTTCAACAAAAACCTTATAAAACTCATCGACGTAAACTACCGTACACTCTGCGCGTTGACAAATTAAAAAAATTTCTTACGAACGATGACACGCGAACAAATCGAACGATAGTATCCCTACCAATTCCGATTTGATTTTCAATATTTTTTTTATAAACGCTCTCTGTCTCGCATTATACATATGTAGATAATGCTAACGGCAGGCAAACATGCAGATAGAGAACATCTACTCACGTGGCCTCTGATAAAAATATGAATCTCACGCGATCTTCTACCTTTTCATGAATATGCATATTACGAAACGCATTAGAAGAGGCTCACGTTTCCATGTGGGAGCATTGCCACAACTGACTCTCGTCGATTTCTGTAAGTCAGTCTTTAATCGATTTACTATTGTTCAGAAACTAACCAAAATACTACTCTTAACGGTTAAGCAAAGAAACGACGAACTTTCTTCTCGAGAACAGGAAAAAAACAGTGACACGTGTTTTTACTGATCAAATCATGCAAATCATTTGTCGATCAATGTACGTATATAGGTACATATGTATAACGTTCAAGCGGTAATTAACCTGTACGAACTAAATGAATTTTTTAGTTTCCATTTAACTATGCACAAATATTTATAGCATTGCAGAATCATTTGAATATGTTAAAATTAGCGATATACGGAAAACATTATTCAAATATAATATTATCGATACTATTGATATCGTGCCGAGATAAATTTATTATGAGGCCGAGTTATGAACATATACACACTGACTTTATTGAAAACAAGAAATTATACCGACTTCCTCCCCCCCCCCCTCCCTCCAAAACCATTTGGTTATCATCAACCATGAAAATTGGCATAAAAGCCTGAATCTAATTAACCCTGCGTCACCATTTTCCGGTTCATATGAATAATTTATCGCGATAAAAAAAAGACGCTTGTCTTTTCGATTCGATCGGATACAGCGAGGTTGAAATTTAAGAAAACAGCACCGTCGGTTACGAATACGAAAGAAATTGCTTCATAAGCGTATTTTATGCAGTATTGTGGTCGTGGGATCATTTGCACACATATGTATGTACAAGTGTATTTGTTACAATACGTAGTTCATAAATTTGCTAGATAGGTAATGGTAGTTGTGACGATCATCGCGATAACAGCGGGATCAAAATTCCATTCCGCTGTGTGTGACGTCAGACCGCCAATTCTGGAACGAGTTCGTTACGACTGGCGAACCAGCGAAAATTTCCCGCTCTTCGGAGCTCGGCTGTGATTGGTCGACGTAGAGGTGTGTCGATCCTGTACGACGGCGATTGGTTCTCATTGCCGAGCCTCTCCTAACGAGCCTCGTGGCAAGCCAAGGCGTCCTAATTATAGTAACAGACACACGCGAACGCCAACATTTTACTCAAAGTTACGAAGCACGATAAGCAGAATCGATTTATTCGAAATTAATCACTGAAATTTGTATTGAATCGTGTGGAACTTGAATTTCTTCTGATCTAACAAAAATTCTCAAATTCAGTACAATTACCAAACGTCCTGCTGATCAACTATTGTCACTGTCGCGGGGCTTACACGATGTGGCTGATTGTAAGTCGAACCTATCGATCATGATTAACAGTTAGAGCACTTACAGTTTCGTTAAATACCCATTTCAATGTTCAAAACGGAATTATCTTCTGATTCGTGCATAGCCTTATCGGAACGTTTTGTGACTCGGAGCACACTGTCATAGACCCGCTAATTATCCAGAAAATCAAGAATATATATAATTGGTAAAAACATTGGTTCGATCGTGCCCTTTGTATCGAAAAATAAAACTAAGTTAGTAGCATTTTATTGTAACAAAGAGCGGGTGTATTCTGTGCGTATATTGCGATAAACTTGTGCGACGGCAGATAATGGAACGAGATTGTTCCCATGTTTGGTATCTTCTATGTTTGGAATAAAAATAACTTCTGGACGGCGTGCCAGACACTTCGACTTGTATTAACCGGTTCATTCAACGAACGAGACCATGCACCTATACATATTTCTATAGAAAACGAAATGCGAGTTCGGGGAAATGGCCATGGAAAGTACTTGATATACTGGGTCGTCGAAAGTATTATCGATTCATTGTCGATGTCTTGTCGATCAAAATAAAAATCAACCCTTGCCAGTGTAATCTAACAAGTTGTGAAATTAAAACTCTGCTAAACTAATTAACATATATAACATACTGTTCTTATTCTCGTGTACTCTTGTGTGATTTATATTTATGTATATTTAATATGTATGATATTGAAAGTAATGGGTTTTTGCATTATTTATTAGGTTACGTCATTTCCTCAGGTGATATACAGAATATCAAATGAAATTTATACGGTTTTGTTCGTTCATCGTGTAGAATTGGCGCGGTGAACCGTTCAAGAAAAGTTTATCGCGTTAAATTGGTCTTGTTGCTGTGGTAGTCGTACAAGAATATTTCACTAGGAGATTACAATGAAAGCAGAAGGGAAAGTTTCTTCATGTTACCGCCGGTTACTTTCCAGTAATCATTCAGCGACTGCATCCATGAAACACATGGACCGTAATTCCGTTTCAATGTTTAAAGATTAATTATGAATGCGAATGAAACGGAATAAAATAAGATATTATTCGTCCACTATTTTTCGAAACGAATGTTATATTATAGAAGTCCATTTTGTAGAAGGTTTATACTTGAATACACTTCCATAGAAATTGTTTTTCGAGCATATTATCACTACTCTTCATCCATTGTTTTCGTTCGTCCTGTCAATTTAGCGATATTTTTGAACAACAACCACACTTTCAAGGGAATGCAAGAAATTTTACCTCCATAAATGCATAAATTGCATTTTTGTCGTGTACATAAAAGATACTTCCAAGAATATTGAGAGAATGAAACAAGTATTGTTTGATTGCGTGTTGTACGGAAAAATTGCAACGATGTTGCCTGTGACTGGTATGGCAAATATTTATCACATATGTATCACTGAAATGGCTCGACCAATACAATCTTGAACGAATGCAAGGCTCAACATAGTTTCGGATTAATGTCATCTCCTTTTATTCATTTCCTTTCACTGGTGGTGATGGCGGAAAGGAATCTGGCTGGCGCGACAAAACTGCAAGGTGATCCGAAATGTTACCATGAATCTTCGAAATCGATTATGTAACGTTTTTCGAGCCACTCTTGTACGTTTTTTTTTTCACTAACGTGACGAGCATTTCTATTTTTTCTCCCTGTTCACACAACTGACGCGTTTCGTATCCAAGGACCGAAATAATTCGACCACTTCACTCCAATACATACATGTACGCCGTAATATTTCATTGTATGTTAGTTAATCTGCTCAGTACCGTTGCAATTTTTAATCCGTCGATAACAGATAAATATCTAAATAACTTCAATCTCGTGAACTATACCGCGAAACGTCCAAAAACGTAGCGACGCGTTGGTCTACGTTAAATTTTAACGCGTAAAATTCGATCGATAAGAATGAAATTTTGTGAAAAAATATAGTTTTACGCCTTGATCCTTTTTTCTCTCTCGAATGGTCATCCAACGAATGAAACCGAAATTCAAACGGTTACTACATATTAGTGTTTTCTTCGACGCTACGAAAAAAAACGACGAACGACGAATCAATACAATTTCTCGAGCTTTAGTTAGAACATCGATACTAAATTTTCTGTGCTTCGTAAATCCGCGACGACTCGAACGCAGAAACTGTGCGACAGCATTTGGACGCTAATGACATTCATACACTACTCAAAGCCGCTCGGAATAAGTACAATAGCCGATTTCGAAGAACGCTTTATCGTTCCCGAACGAAAGCCGTTAAGTATCGAAAGTTAGTGCATACATACAATCTATGATACAATTCAGTGATGTTTTTGTTACGAGAAAACGTGATACACGATGATAACTTCTGTATTAGGATTCGAATTCTCGGGTTCTAATCTTGATTCGATACTGGACGGGAGTTGATTGTAACCAGAAATGTTTACCTCTAGCCACCCTACACTCATGGCGGTGTGTTGGTTGATGGTTAATCGATGGATAATCGGTCACTCTTTTGCAGGGAACGTTCTGCGATCGGTTACGTTCATACACACGGTAAGTTTCCAACGGATGCGAGAGATCGAGTAGAGACAGAGACCAACGACCAAATTGTTCCGTGTCACGGTCGCGTTTGTAAGCTACTGAGACGATATTCGTGCGAGCGGGACGAAAGCCGATTTTCGAAACCAGTCGCATCTCCCTCTCTTCCTTGCTCCTCGTTACTCGTTACTCGCTCCAGCTCTTGCTGGGCCCCTTGAACGAATCCCATTGGCCGACAGCCACCAACCTACACCTCTCACACCAGTCCTGCCGGCATTTCTCTCGGCAAGAATTGTGAAGAAAAGGGATTCGTTGGGATTCGTGCAGGAACTGTCTGTCCCTTCACAATCACACTCGCGATAGCCTCATTCTGCGACCTTTCTCTTCTTTTACTCATATCTGCCTGCTAAAACGGGTCTGTTTGCTTTCTATCATTAAATACAGATGTCAACCGTCGTCGAATTACAATATTTATGCTCTCCGTGATTAAAAAGTGTTCGATTAGGCCAGAATCTCTACAATGATGAGTATAAAAATAATCGATACCGAAATTATTTATGGCAGAGTTCTCGACTGGATATTATCTGTCGGTCTGTCGGTTGCCGACGAAAAGTATGATGCAGTCGTACAATGATGATAATATGTACATACGTTCAAAGTATGGTATTCATATTGCGAAATTCATTAAAGCGTAATTATAATGTGTTTTTCTAGAAGATAATATAACAAACACGGTGTATCGACTGATCTCGATTTCCTTGTGTTCGTGTCCTTGCCGTTCCACGTGTTTATCCGCGTCTCGATTTCATCGATATTAAATCGAACTTCGGCTAAATGAGTTTGTATTTCATCCGCTGCTTATTAAGACACGTTTGTTGTTGAGGTCGTCTGACGTACATTATACATGTGTGTGTCAAATGTATCTATAGGTTCAGAATAAAATGAAATTTAATCGGAACAAGGCGGCACTTTGTAATAGAGTGTCGCGAAAATTTTGCTAAGTAAAAATAAAACAACCGCACGGTATACGTACATACGTACATACGTACATTACATACATATTTAAGTGGAATCGGGGGACAGACGAGGTCGCCAGATTTCCAGATGTGTGCAGACAATATTTGGACGGAACGGTGGACTTTGATCGCATAAAAATTGTTCGATCGTTTCGAATTTGCACTTTTATTATTACGAGGCACCGCAACGAACGGACTTTCTCAAACGGTACTACAAAACCGGACGCAGCCTGTTAATAGAGGTGCTTTAGTCGAGTGCACTAATTTTATGATTGAAAGTATTGAAGTAGAGCGCATGTCCGTACCACGTACTCTGGGTATCTCTTAAACGGACGCATTACCTTGTCCCCAAGCTCTTTGTTACGAAAGGTAACCGATACTTTGATCGTACTACCGAGCCTTCTAGAAAACGTCTAAGTACTTGTTGCGCAGAAAAACATGTATTTTTAGCCACTTAGAAGTTATGCCTTCGCTTCTTCCTTTTTTCCATACAATTATTCCAAAAAATCTCGATGCGGTTGACAAATATATCTTATTTTTTAATCTTTCAAATATTTCAGTGATTTTCGCTAAACATTGAAAACAGTCAATTTAATACAACAATTAAGTAGCTTCGACGGCAATTGAAACGCGATTCACCGAATTCGATGCGATCGCACTGACAGTGACACCCGCTGAACAGAAAATTATGTAGAATATGAGAAACTTTCGGATTACGAGGACACGTATCCCAACGGATTAAAATTAATCGAAGATAACTATCGAATATGTATACACGTTTGTTCACATCTTTCGAAATAAAAAGTCAAAGAGTGACGAAAATAGAACGGATTGCTGGACAATTCGCAACGCAATCTCCTGTTGAGTGCGATTATTATTAGTTGAAGATATATGTACATATGTATACAAGACATGTATACACGACGAAATGTACAAATACACGAAATATGTGTACAAAGTTTCCAAATATACGAGAATACACGAGATAAGGGAAGAACCTAAGAAATCGACGGCATGACCTTTATTCGTCCACTGCTTTTTATTAGGGATTCTACGTTTTATGGCGACGAAGCAAACGACGATCTTTTTTATCGGCAGACTTTTGACATGGCTAAAATTTGAACTTTACCAGAGATTAGATTTCATTTGTTTTTTACCAGTACATTTGTCGCTAACGTACAAGTCAACAGAAAGCCTTAGGTGTACCCTGTACTATTTTGAAGAGTTACAAAGCAACGTTAAGGTGGTATACATACATATAAGTACAGAGTAACAGAACAGTAAAGTAACTGTGCACTTCCTGAAACGCTTTGTTTGGAAAGAAAACAGTAGAACAGCGATACAAATCAAAAATACAATCGTAACTATGTATATCGTTTCACGAATTGTATTTTAACTACATCGATGCATGGTAAATAACTGAGAAATAGCTTTGCCTTGAAAATTACCATGCAATATTTTACTGGAACGTATCGCGTACTCACCCACTGCTTATCCACCGTTGTAGACTGCGTGTAAAAAATCAAACAAGTACAGAGGAAAGATAAACCTGACCGACAATATTTGTAAATGAGTTTCAGTGAAATTTTGTTACCTGTGGCGCCGGTGTTAAAGCAGTCGGCGTTGAAGCCTGCTCCTGAATTTCGTTGTTTGACTAAAGTAAAAGCGTTAGTTAAGCATTTATTATGTCATCGAATTCTGCTAATTTCTAGATCTCACGATACGTACCTTGTCCTTCTCTGTTGCCATCGTCAAGCTGCTTGCAAAAGACGCGTTGTTACATTCAAAACACTTATCGTTATTATGTACAAGGGGATTGGATATTCCTTAAAACACTTTGAATGTTAATGATTCGAAATTACTGATTTTAAAAAGAAAATTGTGATAAATGTATCTTAGACGTTCGCAAGAAGCTTCTTATTTCGAATTGAGTAACGACATTAATAATTCCCTCCCCATAGACCTAAGTCTAAAGAGATAGACAGTTCAGTGACAACGTATTGTCGGCAGAAGTATAATTGCGTATACATAATCAATACTCTCCGTGAATATATTGTTTCTTCTTCCCGATCAATCCATATACATATGAATTGATACGACAGGGTAGCTACAGAAATTTGCAACTGGTAAACGTGACGAAATTATCGAATATCTTTCCTACGCCATCTAGTATTCTATTCTATTTACTCGTGATCACAATTTTAATTGTGTTCCTTTGAATTACTACAGTTGCCTAGCTACGATAACAAATATGTCTCAATAATAGTATGATCACACTTTTCTCGAAAGAAAGTTGTTTTTGTTTGGGTCGGCGATACAGGATGAAATTCGATCAGGCTTCTTAGTTTTACTCGAGCAGATAATTCTACTAATATTTCTACGCATAATAGTTTTTCAATACTTTATGATAATGCAATGCAGTCAGAGGGAAGCCGAGAAGAAAGTACTAGGCTTATTTGTTGCCACAAACATGTACGTATGTAATTTCGTGTTATATGTATAAACACTTATACTGTATTTCATTAACATTGTAATTGTACTTGTAAATACATATCAACAAGACGATAATTGAAAAGAGTACGTAAAGTTTATCAGTAGTAAGGTCTCTAAGCTCGCGTGTGTATAAATTGTATGTAAATAATCTTCTTCTCGATCAATACAAGGAAAATTATCTTTAATCATTATACTACTAGGTCGTAACCCTCGATAATTCTTCGCGTAGTTGTCAGTCAAAAAGATGTGATAAGTTTCCAAAGAGACAATAATTGATAGCTTCGTTTGAATAGTGTGTTATTTTTTGCGCGTAAAATTTTTGAACTTGTTAGCGATCCACAGTACTAAATCTATTTTATTCGATTGGAGTCGTCATCGCACCGACAAGTTTTCAACAGTCGTAGTCGTCTACGAAGGCCTACTTACTTACGGGTTGTTTTATCGAATGCTGACAGAAATTTAAAACGATAAACCTCGTATATAGAAACTAAAAGATCATGTATGTACGTGCAAGCGTATATTCACTTTCTGTGAAGTTATACATATATAGCTTCGTTATATTTATACCTATCAATAGGCGTTCTTACAACAATTGAAACAAATTGCATATATCCAGTTTATAAACCCGAAGATACGTGCCTGTTTATCCCTTCCTATTATTGGTCTCTCGTCACTCGTCACTCGTCAGTCGTTGTTTCACCCCGATACCGGCACTATCGTCTACCAACAATGGTCAATGGTAATACATATGTAGTCGTTCGAGGTGATATTTGTACGGAACGTTTGACTCGTTCGACGAATCTCTTTAAAATAGAAGAATCAACCGGTCTCAATGAAAACCGTTCACGAACGAAGTATCCACTCACACTACTCACTGTTGATGACGTATGGAAGAAAACGCGGGCTCGACTATTCCGAGAGTATATACGCGTTCGATCCTCGTGCGCTTATTCCCCTTGGATACACGGACGGAACAGCCAGCCACCGACGCCGTCGATCGCCAAGCTTCCCCTAGATTTTCAAGCGCAAGCGCGAAAATTTACAGGCCCTTCCTTGCACCTTTCATTGCAATTCTGTGCCTAAAATTGCTTCATCTCGGATCCTTACGCAATCATCCTGGAAATCAACTACATATTCCATACGCAGAAGTCACGATGATCCTGCTGACGAAACGAACTCACTGACTTGCTATTTCCGAGTTTCCCTTATTTCTAATGGCCCAAGATAATTTACGGAACGATCGTTTATTCTGAAGCACAACACAAGCAATACGATAAAACTAAAGTGTATTGTAATTCGTCAACTGTAACACATCATACCAGTTACACTGTGTTTACCTTGATAGATATATATGGCTAAATTTTATAATGTTGATAGAACTCCCATTTTATTATCAATTCGCGCACGTGTATATTTTGTATGAAATCAAAAAAGAGTATTTAGAATCATATAAGCAAATCTTACGTAACAATTATTAAGTTATAATTGCTGTATGATATTATATTTTTTCTAGATCTCTGCACGAAAGACCAATATTTTGATCTCTTCAGAAGTAATTAACCTAAAATGTTATCCATTATGCGTATTGCATAATATTCTTACACTTAGGACGATTCTGTGGTTCGTATATGTATGTGTGAATACTTTACAAATTTGACGAGATTCAAATTTTACGTAATATATCTTTTAAAGATATACTCTCTCATACGACTGATTTAAATATGAAATTTTACATGCGTGTGTCAAATCAACTGTACCCTACTAATGATTAGTTACACGATTTTACTTGTTTTTACCGATATTCGTTATGCATTTCTGTGTACGCAACAGAAATATTAAATTACGTTCCTTGACTAATAATACACGGAAATACATACGTATGCGCGTAAGGTAGGAGGCATACTGATTCCTAGTTTTGGCTCTTTTTGTCGGGCCTGCGCCTCCACAGATTCTTATTTGGGACAAACGTTACCACTAGATCGATAACATTTCTACTTATACTCAGCTGATAGAAATAATACTATACTTTATTGAATTTCTCAGATACATGAATAGCGTGGCAAACCTTCGTGAAATAACAATAATGACCATTTGCATTATTCACGGAATGATCAATGTTGAAACATCAAAACAGTTCAATTCATTCGTACAAAATGCTAACTTATTTGTATCAAAAGTAATTGAACGGAAAAATCACTACGAAAATGTACAAATTTTGCAACGTTCGTTAGAAGAATTTCTCCGGCGATGTTATTAGACGATTGCAAATGACACAGTAAATAGAAAAACTGTTTAAGGTTAAGTATCATTGGTATAACTTCCACAAAGAAAATTTGTCTTGAAATTACTGGTATAAGTATAGATGATGACATTCGTCTATTTGTTTTTCTCTGTGTAAACAAAATTACACGCGGTGCCCTAACCTCTTTTGGAGCAAACGGATAAAAAACGAGTCCACATGTGTACGAAAAGGGACTGAAATTCACATTTAACTGTCAGATGTTTACCGATCCATTCAAGTAGGAAAGATAAACATAAGAAAATGATCGTATGAAGAATTTTTGGAACACACTTGACTAACTCATTGTCAGGTAAAAACATATGGCGCCATAGCGTGGGCGACGGACGATGGCTTTTACGCTCGACCCACTCGACCAACCCACGCAACGTCACTGCTCGACAGATGGCGAGCCCCCAACAATTGTTCGCTCTCTTTCTTTTTTAATGTTCTCAGAGAAAAGACGATATAGAAGTAGTATTAACACATTATTGACGGGTACACTGCGAAACGAATCGAGCTTCAGTTCCTGCACATTTTCGGTATGTATGTAAAATATAAATGCACCCATTCAAAACAATTATTATAAATATTAAACGAAATATTCTATTAAAAATTGGTTTTACACAAGATGTGATTTGTTGCCTCGCGTCTTCAATGTCTGAAAACTGAATAACATCGATTCGCGTCTCCCGTCTTCAATGTTTGGCAAATGAAAAACGCCGATTAAAAAATGAATTTATCCAAGAAAAATAAATTTATAGATCTCCGAAAAGTACGTACACATCTGCTCGGTATTAAAAAATTATCTTTGTAAAGCAAACTCGCGTTGTAGTTAAAGAGTAACTTCCCTTAACACGCTGCCATCGTAAAACACTTATTTATCCTGCAAATTATGCTTCATTCCTTTTGCAGCAGTGGGTTAAATAGTTTTAAGCTTTAAAAATATTCAATCATGAATTCTAATCTATAAACGAAAATTGTAATACATAAATAAAATTGAGGTATCAATTAATTTTATATACAAACATTGTCAAGAGAAAAATGAATATTACAAAAGCATATTCGACGAACTTAAATACTTACGTATATTTCAAACGAGTGTCACTTTTTAAAAATTTCAGTACCTACATCTAATCAAACATGCGAACACGTTACATGTGCATCGTTACCCTATATACGTATGTATGTATGTGTATACATATATACATATATATATATGTATATATGTATCTATACATGTATGTAATGCAGTTAAACGTGAGTTTAATTCAGTGCTTGCTGACGTATCAGTGCATCATAATTAATCTTTACGCCAATAATACTAATGAATATTTGCGTCTAAACTTTGACTTTCAACGCATATCAGGATCGATATGAAAATTCTGCGAGAAAAATTTGATATAATTAAATGAAACGAAGTAATTACTCCAGTTTGTTTACGCGTATTAAATAGCTGATATCGCGATAAATAACATCTCAAAAGTCAGATAATCTCATTACAAATTAAGTGTATTTATTCAAGGCTCCATTTCAACTTCATTCCACTGTAATTTTCATGACCGATTGCGTCAGACAACATTACACATCTCGAGAAACGAAGGAATACCGACAGGTGACGAGCCTTGCCCACACCCACTGAATTGACCAATCGCATGTTGGGTTACCAAGTATTCTCAATCGCTGTCGGCATATAAATTGCTTTAACACTCGTTCGAATAAAATAAAACATTTATAACGAAACCTTCGTTACGGTTACAGATAGATAAATGAATAATACGTAATAAGATATATTATAAAACAAATACTGTCGATAAATCTTATTAGATACTTCTATTTCGCCGATACATATATAGTATATCATGAGAATCACTGTTTGGGTCAATAAGACTTTCTATAAACCCGTACGACATACGATAACGTTGAAACCGAATGAAAGGGAAACTCCACCTGTTGATGATTACGTACACCCGACGCTAACGATGACATTTTGAAATTTTGGCGTCATTTCACTAAAGAGGGTCCTGGAACCAAAAATCTGAGAAAGTTGTTTCCGAGAAATTGTTACTGCCGAGTACATTAAACTCGAAAATCATTACTGAAACTGAAAAACATGAAATATTTTACGCGAATGTTTCACAGATAAAATACATTTTACTTTCCAGACAACACAGGGACGTCTCACAGACGTCTGTTTAAGACGTCAAATCTTATTTCTGTCTTAAAAAGACGCTTTTCAAAGTGAACATAACCTTCAAGCTGTTTGAGTCCAATGCATTATTTCTTCACATCTTATAGAATCTATGAATAATCTGGCTATTAGTCGGAGTATGTGATTTTTTTAAAGCAATTTGTATTTCCTCGACGAAAGTCTTCTTGGCGTTATGACTAAACCGGTTTTGCTTCCAACAATGTTCCGATGTGTGTTACAAAAAATATAATTATACAAACGATTTGAAATTATTTCTTGTACAAGTCATAATAAGGATACTTGTTCCCAGATAGCACACATACGGCTTAAGACGGCTTAATGACATATACGGCTAAAATAGCCGTAAAATAGGCGTTCTCAGGGCGTCTTGTGCTATCTAGGTTACTATTGTAACTAATAATAATTATACATACTACAAAGTAATAACTTATCCATAAGTCGTCTTTTAAAGACGTAATTCATAAGATCACCTGAACGTCTTTCACCAGCACGTAAAATCATGTAAAAAATTCACTCAAAAAAATACGCACGTGAAATGGACATAAAGTAAATGTCGCAACGTTTCTACTTAAAACGTCGTGTGCTGTGGTGTGCTGTCTGGGTTTTGACGCTTGCGTCGCTAGTCGATGCCAGAAACACTTGCTGTAGTTTAGTTTATTATTTAACATTGTATCTTTTGTCTTCGAACACTGAGCATTGTGTTTAGATAGGTGTTTTACAATGAAAGATACGGCTTTAATATTTTCGGAGAAATGCGTTCGCAACAGTTCAATTTCCATTTAGAATGACATTTATAACGATACATATTGCATTTGAAAATTTGTTACCATACAGGTCTACCGTGATATAGAGTCTTTGCAAGCGATAAGTATCGTTTAATTAACCGATAAGTACTAAGGGCATATTAATTGAATGCTTAGAATTCCATTAACTAGGGTCAAATACGTATGTACGTGCAGTAGTTGAGAACATGTCGTGCGTCACTCGAAGAAACTACAGATTGTCCGACCAGGAAAGTATGTACGTATTACTGAAAACAACAATATTCACTACGGATAGCTGAAAAATCGATCAATGATCTTCGATACGCGAGGTCAAGAATTACTACTTTAATAAGTCATGCGAGTCGTTTGTCTTTCGCTTGCGTCTATTTCCACGAATCGATGAAAGCTGAAAACAAAGTATATGTTTTGCAAGAATTTCTTACGTCTGACAATCATGTAATATTGCTCTCGCACTACGCGATGTACAAAGAAATCTATAGACTCTATGTGTGTTTACCAACTCTGTCATTTAAATGTCCGAAATTCTATATGGGAAGTTAAAATACGTTAATTAGCTCACGGTATAAAAATGTACACATACATACATTTGTACGTATGTATGCACAAACATATACATATGTAGAGTGGGCCAATGTCCAAGCACGAGACGTTACTTTCTCAACGCATTTATTAATGCGCTATATTTTGCATTGACGCTCGTATTCACTGTATTCGTGTTGTATTTCTACAGCTAACTTTGTATACATGTACAGTTCCTGCGGCTCTCTAAAAATAAAGTATTTTCCTATTACACTCGTATTCGCACGCGTATGCGTATACATGTGCCCGTAGAAAGTGGTTAGGTTGTTACACTTGCATCATCAGTCACCAATCAGACCGTTTATTTGGTAATTTATGCAGATTCGAAGATCGTTCGACCGACGCGTACTTTTCTGTTGTACCGAAAATATACGACATCGTAAGTGAATTACATACGAACCGATTGATAATCTATGGAACAAATATTGTTGAAAGTGTTGGACAAAATTATTTGAAACAATGCCTTCCTTTAAAGGGGAATATGTGTTTAGAATGTACATATATGTATATTTAAATATGCAGCGAAATTAATTGAATGGCGCGTTAAAACTGAAAGTACAACTTACTTTCTGGGCTGAGACGGGTATAGTGGTTTCTCTGGTGTAAATTGGGACATCTAGATCACTGACACTGCTACTGATACTTGGTGCTCTGGAATCAGGTCGACCACTGAGGGGTACGGAAAGATGCGTTGGCCTAAGTGGATGAGATTCCGCTATGTAACCCTCTCCAAAATCTTCGTCATCTCGATCCATCTATTGTAACAACAGCAAACACAATAATCAACGGTACATACATAACAATGCTCGAATTTACGATACATGAATTACATAGCTACTTCGCCTTTTCATTTATTTGTCAACAGCTGCTAGAAATCTAATAAATTTCTGTCATCTTCTCGAAGAAATATTACATACAAATTTCTATGTATTTCAAACCTATTCTTCCTTTTTCGATACAGAGTATAATACGTTTTCGTACCATTAAAGTCTTTCAATAATACTTTTATTCGTCATGTCAGGCTGTACTACAGGAAAAATGATTTATCGAAACAAAATAAAGAATGAAGGTACGTTCCACGGTAACGATGACAATTGTCAATTGCGCCTCGTAAGTATTGCACGTAAAATTAGCACGAGAATGTGACAACAGTACGCTTTCCCTATCAATTATTTGGCAGACGATCAAGGCTAGTAACTCGATGACATACTCCCCACTCCGATCAAAAACTTTGTCCTACGATCATTCAAGAAAATAAGCAACAACACGTAGAGTGACATTCATTCCAATACACGTTTCATTGTATTAACATAGTTTGACGCATTTAAAACGCGATTTTCAATATAAATCTATATTCTGGCTGCAGTTTCTCGATAATACAGATTTAATACACTTAAAAATGAATCGACGCTTAAGACTTCGTTTGAAGACTGACTCTAAGTAGTATACTCCGGACTTTGTGAAATTTCCAAAATTTGTCCGTCGTCGTATTGTATGTTAGAGACATACGTGCCCGTAATTAACAGGTAATTGCAAGTTGACTCGGTACATCGCGACGTTATGTATAGTAAATCATCGATAACGAATCGGCAAGTTCCACTAGATCGTTGTGCATTTGTACGAAACGACGCGTGAAAAATTTAAAAAAACGAAAAAAATCATCCCGTCCCCACTTGTTCCAGATAGCGTAAAATATCGGCCCGCTCGAGCCAGTCTCAATACCGTCTTTGAAAAAACAGGACGCGCTCCACTGACGCCACCAAGGAACCTAGAACTTGCCACGAGAAAAACATGACTTTTTTTTGGTTAATTACCTCGTGCTCGAGCGAAGCAGAAGCGGTAAGGAGAATATAGAGAAGAGAAGATGAGTTCGGTAACGGATGCTATCTCAATGAAGGAATCTGCACCAGCAATTCAGGCCGCCGATTTCGAAGGAAGACGTGGTGGAACGTCTTACCGATGAGTTCGTATGACGATAACACGAAAGTACGGATAGAAAGAAAAAAAAATTGAAGATCGAAGAACACCCGTACAGCCGAGACGTGCTCTTGAGACTGAGCTAGAGGACGCATCTCGTCGCGACGTCGCCGTCGTCGTCGTCGTCGCCGTCGCCGTCGCCGTCGACAAGACGTAGCCGTCGGCCTCCGGCTGGATTTAATTTTAACGCGTACGTCGTTAGACGAGCCTCCGAGCTTCCTCTAACAACGAACACAAATACGTTAATGCAACCACCTCTTCTCCCCGTTCGACTCCTTCTCTCTCTTATGTTGCTGTATCAATTGATTCCTACTAAACTTCGCAATTGATTTCACTTGACCCGACAGTGCATCTTACCGGCAGTTACACCGATCGGTCTCGCAACAATTGGAATATTTTCCGAACGCGCAAGCAGCTTTTATTCCTTTCTGCCTTTCCTTAACTCTTTATCGTTCGTAATGACGTAATGACAGATTATCTTGTAACTCATAGTATAACCGAAAACGACGCGCGACGTGTTCTTTCAAAGCATTCATTCCGCTATACTTGTCACGAATTATATACTTACATATGTATGTATACAATTTGTGACAATTGACAATGAATCGGTACATCGATGAGGCAATACTAACAGAATATGTATGCAACTTCCATAATCGCGACAGCTTCCGTTTATTCATAAAACTCTTTCTTTGACGATAGACTGAATAATCATAGACAACCACTCTTATACGTCTATGAAGAATCTCTTATTTATTATTCGCTCTTTCCCAATGTTACACACGTTAGATTCGGAAACACAATCGACTATGCAAATTAATAATTTTCGACTACTAATAAGTTATATAATGATACTGATTGTATCTTAAATGTGCTTGTCACTCTTCGGACAAATTTACGTATATTAAAAATAGGTTGTCTAATACATATAATCAATCTATGTACATATATGGCAATATAACGTTTCTGTAGACGGTACCGTTAATGCGATGCATTGCTAAACAAAGATGCGTACGCTAATAAAGTAATTAACTATGCAACAAGTAAAACAATTTCAGTACCTAGTAGAACGATATTTGCAATATTCAAAAATGTCTTTATAATAAGGTATACCTTATTCTAGATATCTAACACCCACATATGCTTCTGTTCAATATTTAAGTTAATTTTCCTTTTGCAAAAATAACTTTATTATTTCCTCATAAAATGCATTCGCTCGCTAACAAACGTCTTCGTTCATATTCTAATAAAAATATTTCGGTTTTCAATTTTCCCATTTAAATACACTTCTTATGCTTTTACCACGTGCTTGAACTGGATGAACTTATTGGCGCCGCCATCTAATCACTTCTCAAACTGTCGTTCGTATAATATTCGTGTTTCTCCTTCTCTGCTGTTTCGAATTTTCCTCGTTGGTGAAATATAACTCTAGATACACAATATTATGATACAAATACAAAAAAACTGTATCGCAGCTTATGAAATACCGTATAAAAACCTTGTTTATTTAGTCACTTCGGGAATAGATTCTTATTAAAAATAAAATGGTCGTATTGACACAAGTTCTAGGTTATACGAATAAGGTAATTAAGTGTACATAATGATGTGAATTTTCAAAAATTGGTAACGTTAATGAGAATTAATGTAAATTACCTGTGCAGTTGCCAAGAAAATTTAGGCGTCGTGGACTGATAGATTCTTTACGTATTCATGTAAAAGGGGGTCCTGGGGGTTCTGGACTCTGTCGTTATGGTGGAAGAGGTGGAACAGGAGGCAGCGTGTATGTCGTATCAGAAGAGGGATTTACTTTGGAAAAAGTTAAATCCACGATTAAAAATGTAAAACTAAAAGCAGGGCCAGGCGGTGAAAGTACATCAAGGGGGATCATTGGTATACCTGGAACAGATTTAAATATAAATGTTCCAGTTGGTATTACAGTTTACGATGAAAACCATATTAAACTTGGTAATATGCATTTATATCTCATTTCAATTGAATTCTGTCATGTTAATAATCGACTACAGTTTCATGTGTATGCATCTATGAAAATATAGGTGAATTGAATTCTAAAGGTGAAAAAGTCATGGTTGCAAAGGGTGGTATTGGAGGTTGCCAAAATACAGGATTCTGTGGACTCAGAGGTGAAGATCGAGCCATAATTCTGGATCTTAAATTAATCGCTGATGTTGGCTTAGTTGGCTTTCCTAATGCAGGAAAGAGTACATTTTTAAATGCTGTTTCCAAAGCAAAACCCAAAATTGCTAGCTACCCATGTAAGTTTTATTTTTTACAAACTACATTACAAATTTATATTTATAAACAATACTTCTTTCAGTCACAACAATGAGACCACAAATAGGTTCCGTAAACTACAAAGACCACAGACAAATCTCCATTGCAGATTTGCCTGGCTTAATTGAAGGTGCTCATGCTAATATGGGCTTAGGTCATAGGTTCTTAAAACACATAGAAAGAACAAAACTGTTATTATTTATTGTGGATATTGAGGGATTCCAACTGTCTCCTAAATATGTACATAGGACTTGCTTGGAAACTGTACTTTTGTTGAACAAAGAAATTGAACTTTATAAACCTGATTTACTAGAAAGACCCTCAATGCTTATAGTAAATAAAATGGACACAAAATGTGCAAATAAAATTTATGATGAAATCAAACCAAAATTAAGTAATTTATCAGAGGCAGTATCAGAATTTGATGAGTCTATGCAACCAGAGAATCTTTTACAATTCGATGATATTGTGCCGACGTCTTTAATTTCGAAACACACAAATGAGATACAGGATATCAAAGAAAAAATTCGAGATATTATTGATAAATACGAAGACGAAAAACTTCATCTGAAAGATACTGATTCGACAGAAGATTTTTTACTGACAAAGTTGAAGAAAAGTACACAACGATATGCACCCACACTTGTATAGTAGTTCTTATTTAAATAAATTCTATCATAACATAATAGTATCTTCTAAAGAAGTGTAATTTAAGTTACAATTTTGTACAGTAATAACAATTTTTTTATAATGTTCAGTAAACTTTTACAAAAATCTAATAAGAAATATGTTGACAAGAAGCAAACTTGTCTTCCTATTAAATTGTTCACGTCAGTTGTTTCTTTAATTTTACCCAGTTACACTTTAGATTGGCTTCTTTTACTTTCTCTCTCCAGTCTTCTCCTAATGGAGCTTTCTTCTCTATACACACATTATCAATATCGTTTTCATTCTTAATAACACCCTTATCTGCAATCCACCTTTCCACTCCATTCCATGCAATCATTATTCCATTGTCTGTGCACAATTTAGGGGGTGGCCTGACAAAATTAAAACCTAATTCCGTACTTACAATATTTAGTGCTTTAGCTAAGAAATCATTACACGCAACTCCTCCTGATACAACCTGCTCAATAAAACAACAGTTAGATGTTATATGAAATTTAATTCACTTAGTACGTTTAAACATACCAGTGTCCGTTTGTCATTAGGAAACAATGACATTTTATCAACAAATTCTATTGCTCTTTGAGTCCTCTGACAAATATGTGTTACTACAGCTAATTGAAATGCTGCACATAAATTGTATGCATCAGGAATCAACATATCACCAATTACACCATGTTTTTCCTCTTCTGTTTCAATGTATTTTGTACATCTAGTCAGCATTCCACTAAGACTAAAATTGCAATTGCGATAATGTGCCATTGCAGTATCAAAAAAAAATTGATCAACATTTGATGCTTTACGTGCTGCAGTTTCTATAGCTGCACCTCCGTTTAAAGAACTAAATTCTGGAACGTTTCGTAATTTAAGTCTTCGAGCAACCTATGAATGTAAACTTGTACTTTAGCGTTGTCTTATACAGGGTGTTCGGTTACTTGTGTCAGAAAGTGATTCTACATGTCAAATTACGAGAAAATCAAAAATTACGAAATTGCATTAAAGCCCTATTGTCGAAATTACGAACGAAAAACGTCTGGAAACGACAAATGTCTATAATCATTTTTACCTTATCAAAGATTTCTCCAGGTGCAATATTTATTGTAGTTCCAAGTAAATAAAACTTGTTCACATCTTCTACAATTGCGAGTAAACAATGACCTCCAGAAACCAATAATACAAGATAAGGAAAATCAACCTGAATATAAAAAATATAATTTAAATTTATATTCTGCAATTAAGAATCTCATATTGAGTACTAATAGACGCAAACAGACTTTTTCCTTCATTCGTACTGTCAAGGCATGAGCTTCCATATGGTGTATAGGTATAAAAGGTTTTTTTCCAATTTTTGCTAAATGTTTTCCAAACCTTGTGCCAACATCAAGCGACATAGGCAGACCAGGTTTCACAGTTGTAGCTATAGCACTAATGTCTTTTAATTTCAAATTTGCAGATCTCAATGCATCTTCACAAACCCTAGTAATATTATTTGTATGCAATACACGTGCAATCCCAGGAATTATTCCTCCAAAACTAGAAAAATCAAGTCATTTTTACAAGCAACATTTTATGTCTCTTTATAAAGAATCATTTACAATATTACACAAGTTTATTAATAATCATTTAAATTACTTCAAATGAACATAATGTTGAGAATCAATGGCTTCACCTAGAATGGTTCCCGTATTATCAACAATTCCACAGCCTGTATCATCACAACTGGATTCTATTCCCAAAACTATGACTGCTTTATTATGTAGATTATTTTTCAACAACTTTAAATCATTTCTATGTGGATACAGTAATATATTAGGACTGAAGAAATGTTTCAGTGGACACTTATAAAACAAGTGCATATTCCAAGCCATTCTTTTTTCAAATTGGGCTTTACATATATGAAGAACAAATTACATTCATAACATGTACTAAACCAGTATTGCAAGTATTAATTACATTAAAGTATATTCAAGTAAGTGAATACATGAATTCATATTACAATATAACTACATATTTATATTAACAGAAGAATCAATTTGGTCAAAATAATCCATCAGTATTTGATAAGCATTTTATCCTTTTCTACGGTGTTCTCGTTATTATTTTTGTTTGTGACCTTTCACATATATAGAAACCTATTTTATTACAATTACAGTTATTGAATATGTTTCATGAGATATAGTCGATAATTTCTTTTAGTTTCTATTTTGTCTTTTAAATCACAATAAGCATTAGAAAGATGTATATATATGTATACATCGATATTTAGATACTTGAAATCAGTTTTTGTAGTGTTTGCTTGATTATTGCCCTATTAATTAAAAAAAAAGAAAGAGATTCAGTTTATTGCAAGTAGGCACGTTTATATCCGCCATAAAATGGACCAATGAGAATATCAGACGTGCGTGACGAGTGGTCCGCCATTATTACTCTGACGCGCCATCTTATGGGAACAAGACTATACTAAATTTTGATCTTTGGTGTTTTCCGTGTTTTCAGAGTGTTCTGTCGAGAATTTTGTAAGTGAGGTCGATATATCGAAAATGGTTATCGATACGACCAGTACGACTCATGCAAAGCCTGAAAAGCTTACTGTCTTGTAGCCATCAAAGAGCTGCTGCAGGACTTTCACCTAAGTATCAATAACTGAACGTACAATGTCAGAACAGTAAGTGATAGAAAATACGTACCCTTATACCATTTCAGTGATCAATGCAGTTATTTCTCCGTTATTTTTTTTTCTCTATACATTTCTTTTTTAGGAAATTAGCCTTGATTATCTTAGTAGGAGTAGAGGTTAGAGCTACCATCGCTTCTGTTAATGACGTACTTACATTGTATTTTATCGGGCATCGTTCGTCGCATTCGTTTTTCATTGTTTGTTAAATTGTTATATTTACCTTGTGTTGAATGTATATTTTCTGAGAAATTGATGAAGTGTACTGAATATGATACTATACCTATTTCGTGTTACATACTTAAAACGTGTTATACTGTGTACTGTTTATTAAAGTCTGTACAATTTTCTATTATTGTCCTGTTTATGTGTTAAAGATTGCAATAGTTTTATTTCAAATAATTTGTGTTAAGTGTTTACCTATGGAAAATTAATCGTATTTAAAAAGCAACTAGAAAGGAGTTCATTGATTTGTCTTTTTACATACTTTAATTATTTTTGTAGCGATGATACTTTATTGGATGAAGATCTTGGAGATGAAGAATATGATCTAGGCAATGATGAAGAAGAGGCACTATTAGCAGATGATTATGAATTGGAGAGGGTGAGCATATTGCTGGAAAATTATTTTGTTATTAAATGAGGAATAGCACATCATTATGTGCCATTAATTGTTGTATGGTATTAATCCATGTTGAAAGTTAATAACAAAATTGGCAAAAATTACAGTTCTGAATGAATATATATATAGATTAATTAATCCATTTGTGGTTTCAAAGTTCTCCAGTATAAGTACTAAGTTGTAAAATAATTCTGTAAAATATGAAAGATCCAAGGCTACTCTGCTTTCTTTTTAATATTTCAAAATTTATGAATTATATGATATAAAAAGGTTAAATATAATGTAACTTATATTCATGTTCTTTGTAAGTAATATACTTTAGCGCACAAGGTGGTAACTTAATACTGCCAACTTTATTTAATCCATACAGTATTCTCTCTATTATGATTCCAACTTCGGATCCGCTGTGGATTCCTTATGGAACCAGTTGATAAATTCCATACATTATAAATTTCGCATGGAGTCTCGGTAGCTCACTCTTGTATTTCGTTGACAGCAAATGAAAAACAAAGAAGGAACCGAGCGTCGAGGCCGCTGACAAAGACTTAAATGCACGTGTATTGGTAAGACACACTAGACAAAGATGAAACTCCTTTGCTTTTTATTCTTTGTTAATGAAAATTTTATTGAGGCACTGGAGAAATTTTTCTGATTAAATGAAGCCAAACAGGATATAATTTGGATCATTTCTAATTTATCAGAAGCGATAGCTCATATTTATTCGTTATCGCTATTGATAAATTAGAAATGATTCAAATTACATATATCGTGTTCGGTATCGTTTTTATCAGAAAAATCTCACCAATATATTAATCAAATTTTCATTGACAAAGAACCAAAAATAAAAAAGTTTTATCATGTATTAGTCTTGTCTCACCGATACATAGGGTTTTAATCGTTTTTTTTTTGTCTCTAAAACTTTCAGTCTTTGGCTCATAAAAAGGAAGCCGTTGCCCTGTTACATTATTCGCTTGATTGGTTCCAAAGGGACCACCCTACCTTCCCTGGTAGTGGGGATAAAGCAGAAACTCTTATATAATAAACTTGGCCAAGCACTTATAGAGACAATACTGTAGTGTTTTATTTGTATTACATTTTATAACTATGATAGGTAAATCAATAACATCATGCATACTTTTCATTGTTTAATGATGATGTTAAATTAGACTGTTATCTCTTTATATCTGTAGCCACTTGAAATTGGATGTTTAAACAGAATTTATAAAAGGAATTATTTATGTTAATACAAATAAATATTATATAGTTTTGGTCTTCCCAATTTCTCAAGACCATACAAGCACTTTATTAATTTTGTAGATCATTGCATGGTTGTAATACATTCAATATAAGGATAAAAGTTAATATGCGTATGAAACAACAGATGTCTTGGAGCAGGCGAGAATTTCATGTTGTATTTTGACTATTACCGCAGTCAAACAGTATGAAAATACATTTGCGAAAGTATCATATGGAATATGTAGAATAAGTGACACACTTGATCAAAATTAGAGCAGGGAAAATGAAAGAAACTATTATAAATATATCTAACAGCTGTCTAATAACAATCAAAGAAGGTATAATCACTTTTATAGTGTTTCATTTACAAGTGGACGTAACACTTATTCAGAAGTATACATTATTTGTTATTCTGATATATATTTTAGTAATCTATATGCTCAATTTGTATTTATTGATATAAATTAAATTGTGTATATTAGTGAATTTTGATCATTTTCATTCTATTGAATTTTCCAATTAATTATGTTTAGAGTCAGATATTTATAAATGCTTCGACACACTTTTCCTTTTCCCTGCCTTCTCCAAAAGTCATTTTAATCAGCAGGTATTGTAACAAGAATCAAAGCTGATTGTAGATAAAAGATTGATATCACACATCTCTGTTAAAGTATTTACACCGTTTCAAAAAATTATAGTTGAAAATGTTATAAGTTCTGTAATCAATAATATATGTATTTGAAAATATCGCTATATGAATATAATTTTTTCATATAATGTGTTCAAGTATTAAAATCTGTAGAATAAAAATGTTTTAATGAAAGTTAACAAAATAGTAACGAGATGTTTGATAAAATATTTCGAAAGAACTTGTTAAGATTTTAAAACATTGTTAAATTGTAATAATCCGATAGAACAAAAGTTTTAATTTGAAATCAATAACTGTTAGACTCTTAGTAACTGTGACATAGTTATTTTACAAAGTTACAAGTTTATAATGAATTTTAATTGACAACAAACTTTATAATAAACTGAGAATAAGATGTCTTTCAATTGTAAATGTATAGAGTTAAGTATGGTTTTTATATGAAAATCAACACATTGTGAATTCTTTCATTAAAACATTCAACTGTTATGTGCAGATATTTTGAAGTCGTTTGTAATGATAAAATGTTATTGTAACAAACATTAATATTGTTCACGTTTGCCACGACAATTGTACTAGTTTTCTTAGCGTGTAAGATCGTATATCTATTTTCATTTTTGTGATAAACAGCAGTATGAAATATCTGAACACTAAACACATAAATTTGTTCTTATTGGCAGGACTGTGAGTGTAGAGTAAATGTTGTGACACCGAAGAATTTTGATATAAGCAATAAATGAAATAAATACAAAGTATAAGACTGTTATGTCATGCTGCTGTGATCAGATGTCATATTACATGTACAACATATCTTTATAATGATTTTGATTATTGTTAAGTATAAGCTAAGTAACTCAAAAGCAAAAAATTCAGAAAACAGTACTTTATTATCATTCTAATTGAGTACTGACCGTTATGTATAGTATGTCAGAAATGATCAACCATACATACATTCCTCCATCCGTTATTCACATGCATGAAGCACAGCCACGGTCGTCAGCAGTGAAATTTAGCGAAATACTTACTTGCGATTACCTTTGATTACACAAATTTTATTATAAAATGTAGCGAATGATACTTACGAGAATTCAGTATTGCGATATCGTGTTCAAAAGTCATACGATATTTCTTCGTTTTAACCATAAAGAGTTCATTTCTTAAATATTCATATATATATATGTATATGTATATATATATATATACACACACACACACACACACCAACACACACACACACCACCTTACCTACCAGTCAATATATTATTTAAGAGTAGATTGTAACAACCACGGCTAACTGTTATATTTTCATTACAAATATTTGGCAATTTAATTCCCTGAGCAGCAGAATAGCTATAAGGGAGAAGAGGAGACAGATGATGTACTGGATTTAGGAGTAACCGACGCACTTGACGACCTAGATGGTGAAGATGAAAATATAGACTTTAGTAGAAGCAACACCAATAGAAGTAATGACAATGATTTTTATGAAGACGGAGATCAGCTTGAAGATCAGTCGAAATATTACGAGCAAGATGAAATTAATGAATACAAAAGCGAACAAATGTGTCAACAAGACGACCGTTCTGCAGGCGACAGCGTCAGTACTTCTACCAATATTGGCAAAGGAGATTTGCGAGAAAAATTGCAGAAGAATGCAGCAAAAATCTACGCCGGGACCGGACAAGGAATGGAAGACGATGAATGCGAAGAGGCCAAGGAAAGGAGGAACAGATTTCAAAACGAGAGAACTATAGTTTCTCCGAAAATGAATAGCAATATACCAGATACTTTGGAAAACGTTCTAACATCTGAACCATCAAAATTGATATGCAGAGGCCGAGGAAGAGGCCGAAGTACAAGAGGAAACCGTGGAGGAAGATTTAATACACAGAATTCTGGAAATTTTAATCCAAGGTACTTAAATCGCATTTAGTATTTCTATTTCGTATGTAATAATGAATTTATTGAAAAAAAGATGTCTTTTAACATTTGTGAAATATTATGTTAGATTTAATAACGCGCGCAACGTGAACTTCGATAATCAACCACCAGTGTGTAGGCCACCGTTGCTCGAAGCCAGACCACCGTTTCTTCTCGGAGTACCAAACAACATACAAAATCAGCAGATAATCTATCAACAACCAAACTCTCAAGTACAACCTTTCCAGCATTATTCTCCAAATGGTTCTCTCCAAGGCCCTACGCACTTTGTAAATAGTAGACCGCAATTCAATCCTAATCAATTTCAAGGTCAAGTGGGTCCTCGAATAATCGGGCCGAGACTAGATTACAGACCTCGAGCTAGTTTATCAGGATCGTTACAAGGCCCGCCTTATAACCACCCAGCGAATCAACCGCCGTACGCCCAAATTCAACCGGGTCCATTTCAAAATTCAGGCGTGCTCATGCAGGATAATCAGACACGTCTGATACAAAACAACCAAGGTCCGTTGTTACAAGGAAATCCAGGAGGATCCTTACTGGGAAATCTGAATCCATTGGTACCGGGCACTTCAGCGTCGTTGTTACAAAGAAATCAGACTTTACCAATGCAAGGGTTTCCGCGACAACCTTCTCAGGGGCCACCCATTAATCATCCTAATGTACAAATATCCAATCAGTCGCCGTTTGAGAACAGACCAAGTTTTCAAGAAGCTCAGTTCGAAAACCGACCAGTTTACGATTCGAGGTCCGGCTACTCTGACCAAGTACCTACCAGCCAATTTAATATTAACACATTACCGGTACCGCAACAGTCCGCTCCCAATGTACCCAATGTACCTTTACCCCCAGGACACAAGATTTTAATCAATCCACATTTTCGAGGCGCTGTTCAATCGACGAATGATGGTAAGCATTTGAAAAAGTTATCTGGTTCTGACCAGTACTGATGACGGATGATATGGTATTCCTTTACAATTTTTCAATTTTAACGACCAATATTTTTCAATACGTTAAGCGGCAAGGCTTGCCTGGGATTCTGCTCAACAGCAGACATCTTTATCATCCCAAATACCCAATAGTCAGTTCTCACAACCAGCATCTTCTTATCAAAATCAAAATCCATATGGTCAAACTCAACAAGGACCACAACCGCAGTACCAACAGAATTATCAACAAAATAAAAGTGATGTATGTGGTTGGACATATTTTTACGTAAATGCAAATTTTTATGGGAGTCTGAATGCTAAATATATATTATTTTGTGCAGGATCCTTACGCGTATTTCTCTGACGTGTGGCAAGAGAATAAACCGCAGAAAAGTCAGAGTGGAACTTTGACTAAACAATACTCTGTGGAAAGTAGTTACTCGCGAGACAGTAATTACGAGGGTGGTTCGAAGTATAAATCAGGACAATGGGATCAGAAGGACAATTACCAAGAGGTAAACAACGTGTGAATTGTTACGAAATAGAAATACTTGTCGGTAGGATCATTCATTTATTACAAAATACTGTGCAATAGGAACACAGAGGAGTCCATCAGAATTATCGCGACAGAGACTTATCATCCAAAACTAGAACTGATCATGTCGCAAAAAGCAGACCGCCTCCGTCGAACTTATATCGCGACAGCTACGATCAGAATCATGCACAAAAATCACCTGGTAACAGACCCATGAATACTTCGGTCAGAGCTAGGTTACCGCAAAAAAGAGTCTCCGATCCAGTGGAGAGACCTCTGCGTGACCTAAGTCCAAAACGAATGAAACCTAGCAATAGGAATCTTCAAGAAGTACGGACAGTAGATACATTAAATACTACAAACAATGAAAAAAAGGTACACTACATTGTATGGTATTTAATTCTTTTGAAGATAATATATATATATATCTATTGAATTAAATATTTTAGGATGAAGACAGTGATCCGGAAATGCAAGAGTACAGAAAGAAAATGGAAGAACAGAAGCGACTTAGGGAAAAGATTTTGCGTGAAAAGGAAAACAGGCGAAAAATGGCTGCAATGGAAAAGCAAAATGAGGAAGCTAAAAATGAAAGTAATATATGTATGTATACTTAGTATCTCTTTGAATTTTCAGTTTTTGTAGACGATAAGAATTATAGAATGCGTCTTTATGAATTTATAGTCTCGACGCATAGACGGACAATATAATAAAATAAATAAATACTCATCTATAAATATGTGTTCCCACTGAACACACCACTATATACCATTATACATTTTGATCCTCATCGTTCATAATCAAGAGAATAAACAATTTGTTTAAGTGATCTCTTTTTAATTCTGAATTTTTCGTAAACGTTTTAGTAACATAAGTTACATAAATACCATTATGTTCCATAGAAGTTACAATAGCTGTTTACAGTTTTAAGCAAAGTATTTACCGATCTTTTCTTCTACGTACTTATTCTTTGTATGAATCATTTCTTTTTCAGCAAGCGAAAGTACACAGGATACAAAACCAGTGTCGGTACTTATGGGAGTTGTGAGAGATGCTTCCATGAACAAAGATCATATCAGTGTTGGCAGAGGACGCGGACGTCCTGTCAGTACACAAGCTACAGAGGTACAACACTAACGATATCGTATTCTTTTAGTAGCAAATGATACACATATCTTTAAGTAGGGACAATTTTTTCAATTGTGTAAACTTATCTTATATGAGTCGTTGAATAAGATCGATAATCTCTGCTTCTACATACGTATTTTTCTTTTTTAAAATTATAAGCAATTTTTGCTTATTAAAAGAAGACAAAATGTACAAAGTATCATATACATATTAACGTTTTGTTTGTTCATATTATATCAAAATAGTATTTGCTGTTTGAGTACGTTGCATATAAACATTGGTGTACTTGTAATTACGTACATATGTCAGAGAAAAATCATTGTTGCCCGTAACAATATAGTAAACTTTATTTGTCTCATCATCATGTATAGTTGCATTTCTTATACACTCCTGAGAAATATGTTGGTTTTCAATAGTTATAATCACTAACAGAGTGAAAATATTCAATTTTCAAATGAAATACTAATAAATAAATTATATACACATTTATTAGACTTTATTGTACATTTTTTATTTATGTTTCAATAAAATATATTTTTTAAGTACTTTTTGTTCGTTTTCATTTCCTCCAAACGTTTTACTATTCTGGTAGAGTTACCTCTCTTGAAAATATTTCATTAACAATGCATTGAATAATAATACTCTTGAAACAACTGTCATAATGACGAATCTTTTATGCAAACATTAATTAGCAATCCAACTGTTGATACTCCTTTGTGACTGAATATACTGAAGTATTTTGATGATTAATTTTGTTGTAGGCTGCAGAGAAACCGTGTGTGCGAATTGTCAGAACAATACAAACTGTACAGTCGAACGATTCAGTAGATCCTACAAAGGACAATAACGCTGGACATGCAACTGGTCAAGTCAATGATAATACAAAAATTTTGAATGCGCAGTCTGGAACGCGAAGAGTTGTAATTCAAAAATCATTATTGAGCACACAGAAGATAGCCACCACTATACAAAAAACGGTGTCAAATCTACAAAAAGGTCAGTTAGTAGGACAAAATAAAGCAACTAACCCGGTACAGTGTATAACTCAGAAAGGCGGGCTGAGTCAGTCTGATCCGCTGTCAAAGTCGGTAACGATTGGACAGAACATCGGTATCAATCCGCAGAGAATTGTTAAGCAAAAGTCACCCGTGTGTCTACAAAAAACTGTTATCAACGTACAAGAAGTAACGAACCCCAATGCACAAAAGGTTATCAGCACACAAAGCAATCAAAGAGTTGTACTTCAAAAGGCAGGGACTCAACAAAAAAAGTTACCGGAAATAAAGACAAATATTGTGAAGGTAGACAATTTAGCAGCAAGTACGTCGGAGACACAGATTAGACGTATGTGTCAAGGGATTGGAACAATTGAGGTGACTATCTTTGCTTGAAAACATTTATTGCGAGTTCACAATGCCTTGTTTAATTTCTTTTACCTGTTTCTTAAGTTTAAAAGTTATTTTAATAGAACAAAATATTAGTTCAATTTGTACCTTTTTGTTTGTTACTACTTTAAGTTTATTTTGCTACCATTGTTTAAATGAATTTTTTTTAGTACACTTTTGCAAAGTTTATTGGAATGGTATTTTGTCTCAGCATAGTTTATTACAAATTTGAAGAACGCAATGACTGCCAACTTGAGTTTTACAAATTGTTTAATATAATTGAGACCAAATTGTTCCAGTCTTACAAATCATTGAAAATGTATTAATACGAAGCGTTCATGACATAATCTAATTCAGAACGACACCTAAATACTAAATACCGTACCATTATTACCCAATACTTAATAATGCTTATTATCGCAAACAAAGGAATAAGCATTTTATTCACTAATAATTGCATTATTTTATTTTTATATTAGTCGCATAAATCAAACAGCATATGGCGATATATTTTACATTATATAGCACTATGTCATATAACACAAAAACATTTTTATTAGTTTACTGAAACATCGTGAAATGTTTGAAATTTTTCAAGACGTCACTCATCAAAATTATGTTTCTATTGTTCAGTTTATTGTTACAATTTTACTGAGTTTTTGTAATCACTTTATCTTCTGTTTTTTTTTTTTTATAAACGATATATTATTTACTGTAATAATCATTTGTTCATGTTATTCGTGTTATAGAGCATACAAATGGGCGAGCGTAGCGCAACAATTGTGTTTAAGACGCAATCCGCTGCCATGGTGTTTCACAAAAAATACCAACGTAAAATGATAGACCTTTCGCTGATAACTGTTCGCCTTGTACCGCAATCGAGCGGAACTAAAACCACGACTACAGTTGTAAAAGTTTCTTCAGAGATACACTAGCTAAAGTAACATAGTACATACCTCCAAGTACCAAAAATATGCATAGTATATTTATATTTGTGTTTAAAAGTAACAATTTATAATTTAATCAAAGCAGCCTGAATATAATTCAACATGCATTTCGTATTTTACATATTCCTTATCTAGAAAAAAAATATATATGTATACATACATATATATGCTATATATAACAATACAAGGATTAGGAGGAAACATATTTTTGGCTGCAAATAAATTGTACAATATACCTTTATAAATCAAGGTAAAATATCCTAACAGTTTAATTTGTACATATGTCAAATGCAATGTATATTTCGTATAAAAATATACGTAGTAGATCCAACAATGTGCTGTGCATTTAAAGGCTACTATTTATTATGTAGCTTACTTATATAGTAAACTGGTAAATTTATAATTTTAAGCATAAAAGTGCGAACATTCTGATAAATAAAATATATGCATCACATAATCCATAGCTTTATAGTGCTTTAAGATAAGACCGACAGTTGTGTAAGTATTTATACCCCACGAAGAACGTACCCGTCAAGAAATCACACCTTTGTACTATTACGATAAATTATATCTTAATTGTGATGTATCGCAACGTACTTCAAAATCATGTTACATATATACCGGTTTCTAATAATAGCCAACAAATATTGATAATTTCACCTATATTTTCTGAATTTAATTCAGTTTTTGAGTTATCTTCTTCAGAATTAAGAGTGAAATGCACACGAATAATACACGTATCCTTGGCAATACAATGCTGATACTTTTCGGACAGATTAGAAATAGAAAATAAAAGTCTTGCACTGAAGAACATTTTTTGTTTCTTCTGGTGTGTAGTCATAATTTAATCATATGTTTAATAAATTGCTCATTAAAATCTTTTATGTGTATATAATGTTCGTGCTTCACATAAAGCATACGTGATAGATTGCGCAGTCTAATAGTGATAAAAGTAGCATTGGAGTAGCTCCTCTTTTGCTCCCACATCGCAGTATATATACCCGCATGTAAATGCCTCCACCAACAGCCCCATTAGAAAGAGAAGTAGCTGTTCCAGTTATTATCCTCTCTTTCTTATATCGACTTCAGTCCTACCATAAGACCGCGTAGTCTATTATATATGTCTATGATGCAAGTGAAGATTTTCGTAAATTGAGTTATATCGGTGGTTACATCTGGTTACACAATCTAGAATTAAATTGAAAATAAAAATCTCATTACATTTTATTAATCTTTTCCTGTAGCAAACATTAGACAATTGTGTAAATTGCAAATATGAAATAACCATATTCCCTTTTAACACGTAAAAAACTTAACACTTTCTCGTTATTTATTTTTTCGCGCGAAAAGTACGTCAATTAGTTACTGTTAACGCCGTATAGTGACGTTACTGTCACAGAAATGTCACAATTCGTAAGTTAATTACATATACACATACTGTACATATTGGACATACAAGTTCGTGTCATTTTGGTACTCTGAGTCTGATTAAAAATCGGGTTGTGTTCTGAATTATTGGAAGCGTACCGATGTTAATATGGCTTCGGCTAAACTTGATTGGGGCAAATATGCGGACGAGCAAGAAAAACTGTCTGCGAAGGTAACACGTTCTCATCGTGTGTATACATAGCACCGGTTTAACCTCAAATTCCTTGTTTTCCTCCATTCTTTGTTAATCCATGTTTGTCAGCGAAAACAAAAGTTATTTTGTTACAATTTATACTCTTAATTTCTTCATTATTTGTATTCATCCTGTAATTAAATAACATTTAATTGAAGAAATAATACTCCAAATGTTGTATAATGAAAAATATAACAACTTAATCCTCTCTGTTATAGAATATATTAAGAGCTAAGCATTTGAATGTTAATAAAATTAAAGTGACTTGAAAAGTCACAAAAGGTCTTTCATTCAACAGGTGTCTAATTTAAACATAGAAAAACAGCCTACAGAAAATACACCAACTAGTGAAGATTCTAAGAGTGACAATGGAACGGATGAACATATCCCACCAGCAGAACAGTCTTTATTACAAAAGATCATACGTATAGGTTTAGTGGAGACAACAAAGGATCCAGAAATTCTAAGGAAAGACCCAGCCTCACCATTATATAGCGTTAAATCTTTCGAAGCCCTTCATCTGTTAGTATTTTTAATTTGTCATTTCCTTATACTTATGTTATTAAAAAAAATTGATTTTGCTTTTAACACACATTATAGTAAACCAGCTTTATTAAAAGGAGTCTATGCCATGGGATTTAATGCTCCATCAAAAATTCAAGAAACTGCATTACCTACTTTACTAGCAGACCCGTAAGTTTTGTTTTTGCCTGATAGTATTTCATAACATATGTATAAATGTAAACTGTAATAAATACTTTATAGTCCTCAGAATATGATTGCTCAGTCACAATCTGGAACTGGCAAGACAGCAGCATTTGTGTTAGCAATGCTGAGCAGAGTAGACACCACTAAAAATTATCCTCAGGTGCTTTGTTTATCACCGACATACGAGTTAGCTATACAGACAGGGGAAGTGGCAGCAAAAATGTCTGCATTCTGTAATGAAATAAAAATCAAATATGCAGTCAGGGGAGAAGAAAGTAATACATATTGCGGATAACTCTTACATTTCCAAGAATATAATATAATCAAACTAACTAGTCACTTATCTTAAATTATTGAATTGTTTTAGTAAGTCGGGGATCGAAAATTACAGAGCACATAATTATAGGAACACCAGGAAAAGTACTAGACTGGGCCATAAAATTTAAATTCTTTGACCTGAGCAAAATATCAGTTTTTGTTTTAGACGAAGCAGATGTGATGATTGCAACGCAAGGCCATCAGGATCAGTGTATTCGTATTCATAAGTAATTATTTTTATCCACAAAAAAGATTTCAAACTTTATAAGATATTATACATATAATATTACAATTACATACTTCATTTGACCAGACAACTTGAACGCACATGTCAAATGATGTTCTTTTCTGCAACTTATGAATCAGAGGTGATGAAATTTGCAGAAATTATAGTTAATAACCCTTTGATAATACGGTTGTTGAAAGAAGAGGAGAGCTTAGATAACATTAAGCAATATTATGTCAAGTGTAAAGGCTTGGATGAAAAATACACAGCTATCACTAATATCTACGGTGTGATAACAATAGGGCAAGCAATCATTTTTTGTCACGTAAGACATCTCAAATTTTCTCATTGGTATGAAATTTTTTTGGTTTACAAATTGTAAATAGTACGTTATATTTACGTACAGACTCGAAAAACAGCAAACTGGTTAGCTGAAAATATGACAAAGGATGGTCATGCAGTAGCTGTTTTATCTGGTGAATTAACGGTAGAACAAAGAATATCAGTGTTGGATCGATTTAGAGCTGGTCTCGAAAAAGTTCTCATCACGACGAATGTCTTAGCTAGAGGTAATTATTAATGTTAATGAAATTTTCATATTTTCTCGAAACGTAGACGATTTTAACAACTGTTCGAATAACAATCATGAAACCATTTGGATCCGGATACAACGTTAAAACAATTCTTTGAAACTCTTCAATCTTCTTACTGAATCTAATATGTTTATAAACCTGTTGACTTAAGTAAATCAGTGTTAAGAAGTTAAACAGAGTTCTTTTAAAACTTGAGTCAAAATAAAGCCAGACACTGTTATCGGAAGATTAGACTCTTAAAATTATTTGAAAATATGTTCATAGGTATCGACGTTGAACAAGTAACAATAGTAGTAAATTTTGACCTACCAATGGATCAAAATCGACAAGCGGACTGTGAAACATACTTACACAGAATCGGCCGAACAGGACGGTTCGGTAAATCTGGAATCGCCATTAATTTAGTAGACTCCCCGCATGCAATGGAAATATGTAGAGATATAGAGAAACATTTTGGAAAAAAAATACATTATCTTGACGCAGAAGATGCGGATGAAATAGAAAAGATTGGAGCCTAAATTAGCGTGTAAGAAATATAATTATGCTTTTTATTAAATATACGTAGATATATTGTAATACTTTCGAAAATAATACATCTTTGTATTCTTAATATACCGGATCTTTGTATTTCTTTTCCAATGGCACATATTACTGACAAATTTCACACCTTCTTCTTCAATTATAATAACCATTATTTTTATTTACAATAATTTTATGCCATCAATTATTTGATAACTTATTGAAATATGGCAATTGGATCAGGAATATTATAGAATTTAAGGGATACAACAAATAAAGAAATATTTTTGTATATTGCATAACAAAGTGATTTTTGCGCAAGGAAATATTGTATGGCTCTTGTCTAGATTCAATTATAACGTTGTTTATCAAGTTTTATATTAAAGACAACACGCTGTGAATAAGATCATCATACCTTCTAAAATTCTTTGATTTCACTAATTGTACGATCTATAGCAAAACAATAATGATCACAAAATCACGGTTTATATGGAAACACATAATGTATAATAAAAATTATTACCTACTATCACATTAATTGTAGGTTATCTCTTACAATATGTAATTTATATTGGTGTCAATAACTCGTAAGTGTCGCATATACATTTGTATACTTATTTAGTTTATAGACATTTCATAACAAAGTATTCAAACGCTGCCTACGAAATCCAGTTGACACCAGAGATGAGCTATTTAAATGTACAAACTTTGTACCAATATTGAAGTAAATTTACTTCTAAATTCATTTCTATACATGATGATATATCAAATATACTACAGCAATCGAAATTAATATTACGGTTTATTATGTTGCTGAAGATTCCTTTTTGTAGAAAACCTTTTAGCTCGTTCCATTTTGTAGGTGTAGTGGTATGTTTTCTCATAAGAAGGGGAATTTCATTGCGAAGAAACAACAGTAAAGTAATTTAAACATATTTATTGAGACGAAAAAATGAAAAATAAATTGTAACATTTAAAAAAGAAAGTATAAGACAACTAGTATTTCTACCCTAATGTAATACATGTTTGTACATTTGCATTCTCTTTCATCCACACGGCTGAAAAATTATTAGTTTCGAATTTTTTTTTAAATTTGAGAACGTAGTTTTTATTTCATGGCTACACTTTTTTAACAGCGTAAGTGAGTCTTCGGTCGATTTTGTAAATGCGTGCCATAACACAATTAAGTGGATGTCTATTGAAAAGAAATTAAGTCTTAGATGTATTAAATTTTGTTGGTCCAATTATTCCGAACTTAACAAGTTTTAATATTATTCGTCTAAAGTAATAGTATGTGGTATGTTCACACATTGAATTCCGCATAACTCAATATAAATTTGTTTGTTTAATTAAATCTATATACGTTTCTATTAAAACAATAATATTTATAAATGCAACACAAAGGTAAATGATTACAGAACAAATGTTACAACATATAAGCAAAAAAAACTTGCATTTTCTGTGTGCTTTTATCCTTCTGTTCAAAGTACAACTGTCCTAAACACGTCCAGCATTCTGATTACGCAGTTGGAAATTATGGTCGCGTATTTGCAACTTTAACCGCAATTCACAACATGAAAGTTAATATTGCGATTAAACTGCAATTCTAACCGAATATTAATTGTAATACGAAATTCAGTCTTTATGTGGGATTTCACTTCATTACATGCCCATGCCTCCCATACCACCCATACCGCCCATTCCACCCATTCCACCCATACCACCACCCATCGGCATCTGAGGTTCCTCCTTAGGCAATTCTGTTACCACCGCTTCTGCAGTGGTAAGCAACGATGCAACACCCGCGGCATCGGTAAGGGCTGTACGTACTACTTTCGTTGGATCAATAATTCCTTTCTCGATCATATCGACGTATTCATCATTTAAAGCATCATAACCGAGATTACTTTCACTAACTTTGGCCACTACCACACTAGCATCAACGCCTGCGTTTTGAGCAATCTGTAAGCACGGCATACGTAAAGCGTTCGCCACGATTTTGATTCCTGTTTCTTGATCATTGTTCAATGCTTTTAAATTTTTCAATATCGGTATACACCTTAGAAGGGCAGTCCCACCTGTGAAATAGATACAACGAATGAAATGGAATATATACATAACATGGATACAAAAGGAATTTTCATTGGTGAATATTATATCTATGTACTCCTGTATGAACAACTGTGTAAGGAAGAAAATTATATTTACCTCCTGGAACAATGCCTTCTTCAACAGCGGCACGGGTAGCATTAAGAGCATCATGGACTCTATCCTTCTTTTCATTGACTTCTACTTCGCTGCTACCACCAACTCTTAAAACTGCAACCCCAGATGCTAACCTTGCCAAACGTTCTTGCAATTTTTCCTTCTCATAATCAGAAGTTGTATTTGTCCTTTGTGATTACTACTTCTCCTACTTCACCCAGATCGCATGATTGTACATTCTCCAACTTAACAAGATTTGCATCATCTCCAAAAACAATTCCTCCAGTCAAAATTGCCATATCCTGGAGCGTCGCTTTTCTATTGTCTCCAAAACCAGGGGCCTTAACCGCGGCCACCTGCAAACCAATTTTCAACCTATTGACTACAAGAGTTGACAGAGCTTCGCCATCAACATCTTCAGCAATAATCACAAGTGGTTTTCGTTGTGAATTTGCCAATTCCAATGCTGGAATTATAGATTGTACAGACGATATCTTTTTCTCGCTGAAGAGTAAAAGTGCATCTTGAAATTCAACTTTTGCTCCTTTACTAGAATTTATGAAGTATGGAGATATGTAGCCTCTATCGAACTTCATTCCTTCTATAACCTCAAGTTCATCGTGCAGTGTTTTACCATCCTTTACTGTAATAACACCTTCCTTTCCAACCTTTTTCATGGCATCAGAAATAAGAGTACCAATGGCTTGATCTCCATTAGCCGAGATGGTTGCAACTTGAGCAATTTCTTCTGGAGTGGTTACTGGTTTACTTAAAGCTTTCAATTCATCTTTTACTTTATCAACAGCTAACATAACACCTGTAATATGAATACCGATATATTAACAGAGTAGTAAATTGTTATGTGACAAACAACTTAACATCCATGATATAATAAACAAAAAACACGAATGATTAGTTAATAACATTACATAACAAATTTGATTATGAGATCACAATAATATTGTTGTATACATTTTAACTTACCACGTCTAACTTCTACAGGATTGGCACCTTTACTGATTTTTTCAAAACCTTCCTTAGCAATGGCTCTTGCTAACACTGTAGCTGTGGTTGTACCATCACCAGCTTCTTCATTTGTATTATTTGCTACATCCTGTACCAACTTTGCTCCAATATTCTGAAATTTATCCTTCAACTCTACTCCTTTAGCTACTGTAACACCATCTTTGGTAATCTTTGGGCTACCCCAACTTTGTTCCAAGATAACATTACGACCCTTAGGACCCATTGTCACAGCAACAGCATCTGCTAAAATGTCTACACCTTGTAACATGAGCGCTCTAACTTCAGACCCAAAACGTACATCTTTAGCATAGGAACGAGTTTGCAACTGGCGCAAAGCAGCACCCCGCAATACAGTTGGTAATCTATGCATCTGAAAAAACAATAAACAAATTGTTACCCTTATAACTGCAAATGTGTATAATTTAACATTTTTTATACACGCATGAAATTCATAATAATATTTTACGAAAATTTCATTCTTAATCAATAAAATAAATGAAACTAATATTTAATAAAATATTTTATACATTAATTATTTCATTTTCATAATGAGAATAATTCATGCAAAATAGATATACGATTGAGTTTTGAAGGTAGATATGGTTATGTAAACTGCCGCGTGAATAACGACCAACGATCCTAATAATGAAAATTATTTTAAAAAATATATATAAAAATCGTTTGCACCGAATTAGAAAGAAATCAATAGCTTATTACGATATATTTCCTTTAAAATTCCTTTTGTCTTATATGTAAGTATAATATACAGCAGCCAGTAACCAAAGACCGGCTAACCGGACAAAGAACGATAGAAGTAATAGAAAAGCAAATATTATTACGTATAAAAATAAGAATTTGAGAAAATGAAAGTAATTTAAGACACTAATAAATTAGATAACCGAACATTCAAATTTACAATTTTCTTTGTCATATACTAGTTACCCTTTCATACCTATTTAGATACACACTATCCTTCAACGTGTACAAAAATTATATTTGTCAAAAGTATACATTGAACAAAATATGTTATGACACTTGAATTAAATTAACATAAAGCGATAAGAAAAATATACCATGAAATAAAGGTGGTCGCAGAAATAAATTACTCAGAATACAATTTAGCCGGCTAATAGCGTCAACAAGAACAGTGTGTGTTTCGTGTAAAATGGAAATTGTGATACTTTAACTAAAAAAAATAACTTTTACCTTTATTTAATGAAAAAGCAAAAGCCGTTCGTTTAGAAATCGCAGTTGCAAAAGTAATTGAAAATCGTCGCAGCGTGACCGCACGTTGTCTCGCCAGTACAATGAGATGTGTGAAGGAGTTTGCGCTATCACATGGAATAACTCCCCACCCCTCATGACTTATACTAACCTAACCCTTCTATACTTGATTAAGAAACGTGGAAAAATTCTAATTATATTTAAATGAAACGAAACGTGAATAAAATCGAAATTTTATATTTAATTACTTTTTCTTTATTTGATAGCATTTTGTGCGTTAATATTAGAAATGGACTGTTTTCTTTTTATGGGGTTACGAGCTTCTAGAATGTACGGGAACGCCTGTGATGCAATCATCTACCCTACACCAATCAGATTCGTCGATACAAAGAGACGAATTTGTTATTCGCGCAGTGTTTCTCAATGTTTTGATCGTCTCTAATCCATAAAGATTTCGCCAGTTTTAAATATAAGTGCAAGATAGCTTATAATTTATTCACGTTCATACGCCAATTTTATATCAAAATGTTACGCTTTTAATGTAGTGTCCAGAAATATCTCGTCCTTTATTATTTATATATTCAAAGAAAACCAAATTTATACATATATGCGTTTTCTGCGTTCCTTTTTACATTTGTGGTTTTTTAGTGATTTTTTTCTATTTATATGTCAACAAATTCGCAATGCCTCTGTACCCATACATAATCGTATGCGAAGAAGTTGGCAGTTTAATTATTCTTTAATCCTTTACATATTGCATCAGCACGTATTCAAAGGTTCGACAAATTTCTTAAAGTAACTTTCGGCAAGAATTATCAAGTACTGGCAATTTGTTAAATACTTAATGTTTACAACATTTTCAGAATGTTTATTCTGTTAAATAATAGTAATTTTCGGTACATATGTATATGTACATTTCAATTGATACGTCTTTACCAGCTTTAAAGAACCGATGTACTGTGTAATAACCCAATATAATGAATCATTTATTGAATATTTGTTTATTATCAGTTAGTTATTTTATTTTACTTGCGGATGAGATACCAGCTATTTAGTATTCCGCAACAAGAGTGTAACAGTTTTATACAAATCATTCCTTTTAAATACTCTTGTAAATTAAAATATAATTATATAACGTAATTTTAAATGAAATATAAAAATGCATTTAGTTGTATTCGGAATGAGTATCTTTCTTTTTTTTAATGACACCCGTCTAATTTATTGAATATTAAACATTGCATAGCTGTTATTTAAGAGTTGAGTCCACCAAATATATGCATTTGTAACATTGTTCACGTGGTAAAATGCACAAAAGTACCATCTAGCGGCTGTCTGTTGCATCTAAATACGCAGTTACGTAACACGTGTGTGTAGGCATAGGTTCTCATGCAATCGCGAAATCATTAAGTTTGGTGGGGCCAGGTGGGGCGTAGAAAGATAGAGAGGAGACTGGAACTTTCGAGAAAACTGAGAACGGAACGGAGGACGGAGGTTTGTTAGACGCCACTATAGGTACAGGTTACACAACGTACACGAGGGTGCTTGCCGGTTACATTGTCTGAACTTGTAATTTTTGAAGCATCTGTTTTTAAGAATGGTAAGAACTGAAACCCCGTAAAAACAGCCAATTAGTATGTACAATTTCACGTATTGAATAATATGCTAATAATTGATATTTTTGTGCACACTTTTGAATATAACCTTCAAATCTTCCGTAATTGAACAGATACTTCGTACAGAAAGATAATTCTGTAGTAGGACGAACGTATTTAAATATTCAAATAAACTTCCGATTTTAAAAGTTTCCTACGTTAATGTTTTGTTTAATTGTCTACATTCAATGATGTTGAACTTTCCGAATTCTGTGGTGTGGCCGGTATCAAGTTTTTTTTTGTTGAGATTAGGGAGAAACAAATGATTGTAAAACTACCAGTGAAACAAAAGATTGTACGTAAAAGTCAATTCTGTCATTTATTTATAGAATTCAACATTGTAATTTCAGTTACAACTCCTGAAAAGATCATTTGGATTTGCAAATCTATAAGTTCATATTCCAAACATTGACTTACCATTTGTGTATTCAAAAATTGTACTTGAACATTATCTAAACTTTTTTAAAATTACATCATGCACGACCTTAAAGTAATTATTTCTATTGTATATGGTTGGCAGATCTATTGATATTACATTATACAAATTCTAATTTTTTTAGGCTGCAGCTAATGCTATAAAGCGACTTGTGCCTCTCTTTGACAGAGTTCTTGTACAAAGAGCCGAAGCTGTAACTAAAACAAAAGGTGGTATTGTTTTACCAGAGAAAGCTCAAGCGAAAGTTTTACAAGCTACAGTAGTGGCAATCGGACCTGGACAACGAAATGAGGTACATGAAAATCAGTTATAAGAAATATTATATCAATAGAACAGCGGGAGTAACAATTTACATTTGCATTTCAGAAAGGAGGTCACATTCCTTTGAGTATTAAAGTCGGTGATGTTGTTTTGTTACCCGAATATGGAGGAACTAAAGTAGAACTTGAAGATAATAAAGAATTTCACTTATTCCGTGAGTCAGATATATTAGCAAAGTTAGAAGTTTAAGGATGTTTTACTTATGTGCTTATAATTCTTTAAATATTACAAACGGTTCCCTGCAAAATTCAGGAGTAAAGCAACAGTGATATACATATGAAGGTCATACATAGTTTAGTGTTCACTGTTAAATCATACTTATTTCTTTAAGAGTCTGATATAATATAAATGTTATTATGCTTTCCTACATATTAACGGAAATGAAACATTTATTCATTATGTTTATGTAATTATCGCTTCACAAATTTACATTTTCGTTTGACCGTGATAATTTGTACCATTAAGAGATAAAATAAAACCTGTTAATATTGTCCACATGAAGGATAAGTTTCTTTATTGCATTTACATTTATAGTTTACATGTAAAACAAGCTTTTGTATCTTAATAGAAAATAAACTAGTTTTACAATTTTAATTTTAAATGTCCATACAATTCTTTTCTTACTACGCTTATTTTAACTTAGTACTTTTCATTACACTAGCTTTGATACCTGATATTTCTCCAGCATAACGAGTAATTTCTTTTCTCACTTCTCTTACCTGTAAAATGGGAATTTTTGAATATTTTGAAATATCTCTACAAGGATATTTTAAGTGCCTAAAATATTATGATACATACCGCGCCCTTCCTGCGAATTTTGGCTTTACGATATTTATTCCTATGTTTTACTCTGGGATTGCGTTGTTCTTTTTTACGATGCGGTGTCAAACCTTTGTTTTTCGCTATCTGATATGTAATTGCTCTCTTTCCTTCACATTCAGTCATCCGATCTGCCATGGTAGTATCGTCTACTTCCTCTTCTTCATCTATGCCTATACCATTTTCAACGTCTTCTGCTTTTTCTATGGATGCATGACCTTCTGAATCTTCCATTTCATCTACAAAGTCTTTGTTTCTCGTGTCATATTCGGATTCTGATAGATGATGAATTATAACTTTTTCTTTTATAGATTTCTTTAAGTGTTTTAGTTTTTCTTTAAAATGACTAGTAATTTTCTTTCTGTTGGTTCTCACTTCAGTACCATTGGACACATTATACAGTGGTTTCCCTTGTTTTTCAGCATTCAATATTTCCTTGATTTCTTGTATTAAATTTCCTTGTCCTGACTCCAATTGATTTAATAACTGACGGTACTGTGCCAAACGTTTTATGACTGGATGAGTATTTACAGGTAATCTCTTAGCTTTCAGCATCAAATAAAAAGAAATATTAATGCAATAATTCAATAAAATGTAGTACTTTGTTTTCACAAAAAATACAGCAGGACAACCAAAGAATACTTCAGTGTTAGCTAATTTTAAGAATGGTGACAATACATCTCTTGCTTCTGTCATTCGACCTAAATCGTAGATAAATATATATTAGTGTGTATACTAGACATTGTATTTCATTTTAAAATATTTACAACAGTGTCCTTTTTGATTAAGTAAAAAGTAAATAATTTAAGAATAATAATACTGTATGTATTAAATACCTTTAAAGTCATTTACCAATGCCATAAATTCAGGACTTTCTTTCTGCATTATTGCTTGTTTTTGTCTTTTACTAAGTTTACTGAGATCAGTCTTTACAAACTGGTCTGTGGCTTCCTGAATTCCTTTGTCATCATCTTTTGTCGACTCTATAAAATCTAACCCAAAATCAGCATCGTCTAATTGTTCTGCTAATCTTCTTTGAATGTTTCTAGCCTCTTCTTCTTCCATTTCAGCATCAGCTAAATCCTTGTGGCTGCTAGTCGCATAATCAGGATCTACATAATCTGTAGAATAATAAGCTCTTTTCTTTTTACCCCAAGCTTTCTCATTTGGTAAGTCAAAATTTTCTCGTAATCCTTCGATATCAGATTCCATAGAGTCTGCTTCTTCATTGT